CCATGAGTGCTCTGAGGTCTTCAGGGTGCATCTGTCTGGCTCGGTGGGTTTTCGGTTGCAGGCAATCCCACATGATGTGCCCTGGTGTGTTGCAGTTGTAACACAGCCCATTTCGCCTCTGGTCGATCCTCAAGCGGTCGAGGTCCATGGGTTGTGGCCCTGCTCCTGCTGCAGGGCAGGGCGCAGGGGGCTGGGGTGCAGTGGCGGCAGGTAGGGGGCATGGCTGCAGGAGAGTGGTAGGGAGTGGGGGTCTTGGGGGCAAGAGTGGGGGCCTGGCGGGGGCTAAGTGGGGTTGCGTCGCCTGGAAACACCGCCACTGGTTGTCGAGGAGGGTGGCCTCGTGTTTCCACTCAGCCCAGGTTGTTGGCATGGGATGGAGGCGGTAAATGCTCTCGTAGAGCTGGGAGTTGATCGCCTGTTCGAAGCGATCCACCAGTCCCACGTCCCCTAGCTGTGAGGTGGGTCCGAGGATCTCAAACTCCTGGATGATCTTATCCACGGAGTCACTGCCCTGCCACAGAGTGGCCAGCTTCTGTCTGGCTGTGGCCTCGTGGTTCGGGTCCTGGAACATGGCGTCAAGTTCTGTGTTGAACTCGTCCATGGTGAGCTGGGGGGATGTTATGGAAATGGGAATTTCCCATTTTAGACTCTTATGGGTTCTGTATCACATGATTTGTATAGTAATTGAGTTTAACGAATCAACAATTACCAAAAAACCCGCTGTGCTAACATCTGTTAAACCTCATGTTAAACCATCTGTGAAACCACCTGTAAACCCCTATGTCCAACCCCCTTTCCTATTCCTGTGCCAGAACGGACGAAAATGGGCGCTTCCAGCCCCATTTTTGTAACAGGGGAGCCCGTCGTCAGTAGCACGATGGTGCGCTGCATCGCCCACACCCCCACAGTCCCTCCCTTCATATAGGACAGGACAAAGAGGATCTGGGAGAGGGTGTTGGGGAATTCCGCTGCTCAGACATGGAAATATATGCCGCATTTGGCCTTGAAGCAGTCAAGGTCTTCGGCTGCTCCAGAGAAGGCAGTGGGGGGGGGCGACTTTAGGTGGTTTGGGTCTGGGGGTGGGTGCGGGTGTTGGTGTGGGAACTGGCGCCAGTGCAGGCACAGCTGGGGGCTGGTTTTGAGCTTGGCTCTCTACGATGGCCTGGAGCTCTTGGAATCGGGACAGCAGTTCATCGTACTGCTCTTCGGTCACCATAGCAGGGGAGGCAGGGGAGATGAGGTTGAAGCCTTCTTCTGCTGTCAGGGACAGCTCCGAAAGCAGCAAGGTCCCAGCCTGCGGGACTCGGTGGGATGAATAGCGGCTGTGCATAGCGGCGATCCCGTTGCGGGGTGAGCGTCCCTGACCACTTAGTCTGAAGTGGGAATGTGAGTTATCATTAAAAGGGAAGGCTACACTACTTGCCTGAAGTGGGAATGTGAGAAGAAGGCTACTTCTTCGGTTCCCACTCCAGCTGTTATTATATACATGCGGGGTTGATCACATGGGGCGCTGCAAGCGGGCTAGAGATCTAACCCCCTAAATGCAAGCAAATTTGTGGGGAGGAAGTCTGGGATATCCTAAGCTCATCCTAGGTTTGGTCCGGGTGCTAACAAAACAAAAATAATCACAAAACTCGCTAAGAATTACATACCCCTGGTCCATCTTGGACAATCGTCAGGGATTTCCTTATAATACTCAAAGAGTCAAGCTTAGAATTTCTCTCTTTTTCTTGGATCTCTCAGCGCTACAGTCTCTGGTAGTCAAAAAGGGACGTCGCTTTTCCATTCCTACATGTACAAGCTTTTAAACACATGGAACCGCAATAATGTGGAAAAACAAATGAAAGCAAAAATATAAAACGAAGGATTGTTGTTACGGACACCATGTGGACTGTTAAGTATGGCCGATAAGTCCAACGGCCGACGTGGAAGTTCAATAAAAAGAAACAGGAGTGATAAGCGGGCCATATCCACTAATAATTGCCATTCTCCACCAATTTCCACCATCACACTACACTCATCCATCTCTTCCTTCCTGTAGCATCCTTTCCTGACCTCTCCATTTGATTCCCCGGGTTCATAGCTTTCTCTCAATACTAAATTTGTCCCAAATGGTTGAGATTTGACCGAGTGGTGGGCGTGAGAATCGTAAAATTGGCCCGTGCACAGGGTTAGATGTCCCGAAAAGTGTTTGCGAGAGTCCCCATGTCAATTGGATCTTCATACATGTCCTTTGTGATTTTTCTGAGTTTTTATGAGCACTCCAGAGTGCATTTTGGTTGTTTGTTTGCTTCAGTATGGCTTGTGATTTCCATATTGGGCTGAAAACCAGTTTTGTGATCTCCCGAAGTATGGATCTTGGCTCCGCCACATGGGACTTTCAACACCACCACCCTCACATGCCTTTCGACATCGTGCAGAACCTCGCGGTAAGATGAGAAATCATCACCACCATTGTTCCACAACGGCTGGGTCAATCTGGACGAAATTCGGGTAATCCATAGTTATGATTTTTCTCTATTTTCTGAGCCCTTGATCGTCTTCTGGCGGCCAGTAGCGCCAAGCGTAGTTTTTGGGCTGAACCAATTCAGTACCAGCACATTATGCACAATTGTACCCTGTAATGAATGAAATAAAATGTTCTTATGCACCATTGGCATTGGTAGGTGATCATCGCATATGGGAAATCCTGTAAAACCGCAAAAATACTGGTGGTGTAGGGTATAGTAGGTTATCCCGCCTACAGCGTGTTGATGAGCGACACTTGTGATCTCGGAGCTGGACTATGAGTAATGACTTAGTCTCAGCCAATATGCGTGAAGAACTGGATATATTACCTATGAGTAATGACTAGAGGTAATATACATAATATAAGTTACAATGATAAAGCAATGAGGGAATGTAACTAACTAACCTCAGTCTCAGCCAATATGCGTGAAGAACTGAGGGAAAAGGAAATGAATTCAAATGAATGAATATGTCCGTGGCCTGGCACGGATTAGTCCGAAATAATATAAAAGAGAAAAGGTGTTGTGACTAAGTAGTCACGCTACCGCGGGAATGTGGCTGTCCGGGCGAGTTCCTCACCCGGATGTGGGAATGTGGCTGTACGAAAACTCGTCCGGCCTCCCATAGCACACGGTTCCTCCAACACAGCGCGCCATGTCACCCTCACACACAGCCATGGCTCTCCGGGTGCCTCCACAGGAGATCCCAAGAGGGCCCGCTGTGGGTGCGGGGCAAGTGCGGTGGCGGTAGCGGCGGTATAGGGATGGTAAGATACAGGAGGGGAAATGGGCATGCGCACTGGTGATACATTGAACAGTGGGAAAGGTGGTCCATGTACATAAGAAAGAGAGAAAGGAAGGAGAAAGGAAGGAGAAAGGAAGAGGGAGAGGAGGGAGAAGCGGTGCAGAGCGGGGAAGCGGAGCAGGGAAGCAGAGCGGGGGTCGGGTGGGGCGTGTCAGGGCATGCCCTGACACTTTTATACACTTTCTTACCCACAGTAGTTGTGCCCTGGACAGGGCTGTTCACAGGTTAGACTGTGGGCCATAGAGAGGGGTCATGGGGACCCAGGGTCCGTCCCCTGACACATATCCTCATGGGATGGCTTGGATGCTGTCCACAATATCCATGACTTGGTTGGATGTCATGTCCATTTGTGCTAGGAATGGGAGGAATAACCCATTCATGTCCATGATTGTGTCTTGGACAGCTGTGACAATGTCCTCCTCATCCTTGAGTCTTTTGCTCGTACCAATTGATGAGGCAACAAAGGTTGTTTGAAAGGTTCTGCTTACTTATTTGGGGACGGTAACGTTCTGTTCCCCTGTTCACCTCAGGCCTCAGTTAGTCTGTCTAAATATAAGCTTAAATGTGCTGTATATTCAATGGGGTAGAGGTAAAAGGCTACTGGGCCTTTACAACTACTCCGAGGTATATATATGTAAATTACATATCTTGACACAAATAAATAAAGAAATAATAGCATCACTATAATCGGAATTATAGTGAAGTAAGGTTAATCCCTTACATTGTTGGTCTAAGTTTTAGGTCTATCGCTATAAACCCAAATTATCCAGAGGTATTCGTTGACTGCATAGGGTGGGTTAAGACCTTGGACTAGGAAGCTCCATGGTTGGGCATACTGCCCATAGTTTTTCTTTCCTACCTCGGCTGGGAAGGGGGGAATGATTCTCACTCTCTTTGTTTGGTCCGGGAAGGCTCTTTGTGTTAGATACTGATCCGGGGTCGGGCACCGAAGGTCGCCGATGCGGACCGCTAAGGGCCGCGATGGCCGCGATGCCTCAGACAAGGCCCGAGGGTAGGGCATTTGGCCTCAGCAACTCTAAAGGGAGTGCTGTGCCCCCTAGTTGTCTCTTGGCCCTCATTTCGAACTTACTGGGGCTGCCTTGTTGGGGTCAGGGCTTGGGGTCGTGGTCAAGTCGATATTAGAGCTAAGGTACTATAATGTAGTATACAGGATATATATATGAAGGTGGAATGAATAGAAGCGGACCCGGGCCGAAGGCCGAAGGGTCTGGAAGCAAATAGGAACAAAGAGCGGGGTTGGCCGCACCGCGGCCGGCAATGACCGAGGGTCAAAACAAACAATAACAGATAAATAAACGAAGGGGTGTAGGGCCGCGATAGCGGCGATGGTATCATAGCGGAGTAGGCGATGTCGCGGAGTCACGCTAGGTCGGTACCAGAGGCGGACTCGGGGCAGGGAGGTTGGTGTGGCTGTGGGGGAGTCGGCCAAGTGTAGGGGAGCCTAGGGGCAAGTGGGGGAGTGAGCAGGGAGCCCTCAGGGAGGATAGGGCTGAGGTCGGGCTCGCATAGCGGTAACGGGCTCGGGCGGCATCGGGACGGGCGGCTAACGGGCCGGAATGCACGGCCGTGACACTTTGTCAGAGTCCGCGCGTCTATTCGCAGCGTAAGAGTATCCCCAGGAAACTAGTCGATATCAAAGCTGGGGGGCTAGCCCAGCTGGCATAGTAGCCTTATGTACATGAGTTCTGCTAACTCACGAGAGCGCAGTTACATTGGGAAGATGGTAACTAATAGAAACACGACATCAAATAGGAAGATAGAAGATGCGGGAAATGAGGGAATGTCGGGTAAGGGGTGACGCGATAGCGAATATAGCGCAATGAGTTATATCTGCGTTCTAACTACGTAATTATCTCACGCAATCTCGGCTAACAATTACCTCATTGATATCGCTTAGAGTAAAGGGGGGCCAGATAACCGGGCGTCCCCTGACACTCTTTCGATGAAGATTTCCATATTAGTTTGGAAGTTGCATGTGTTTTCTTCATTGTAGGCCACATCCAGTGGCAAGGCAACCTTCTGTGCACATCCATTCTTCAGCTCTGGCTGGGTTAGCTCCTTCTAGCAGGTGGGATGGGCGGAGTCCATGTGCTACGAATTTCTCGAGGTCATGTCCAAGGGCGATCCAGTTGTAGTCCTCTTTTCCATCTTTTGGCCTCTCTGCTTTCGTGGTCTCATACATAGCTAAATCTTGCATCTCGTTAATGTCCTCAGCACTGGTTACTGGGTGCCAGGTGGGGGGGTACTCAGAGGGAGTTATGTCTGATCGGAGCATGTTTTCGTTCTGGCTCTCATTCGTACTTGCCGCTGTGAAGACATCCTGGGGGGCATCCAGGTTTCCGGGGTAGAGTTGGGTGCCAGTCCCTGGTTTTATGATGGATTTTTTGCGGAGATGGATTCTAGGAGGCACTCTGGACGGTCCTTGTAATTTGGCGGCTGTCGGGGATCTAGCATGCTTTCTTGTGTCTAGTTGTAAAGTGTCCCTCATATTTGTGGTCATGTACCTCAAGTTCCTGATTGTTAGGGGACTGGGGGGCCCGTCAGGCAAGCTGCAGAGGTCATCATCCTCGCTTGTGGCCTTTGTGGTAATAGGCTGGGGTGGTATGGTTGTTGGGCTTTCGGTGGCCAGCTTTTGTTTGGGGAGGTTCTTCTTGTTTGAGAAGAGGGCCTCCAGTGTATTCTCATCTTCTGGGGTAAGCGGGGCTGCAGACAGTGGTTCATTAAGGGGGAGTGTCTATTTTGGTGGCATCTCTGTCAGGGGGGGATTTCTAGGTGGTAGTAGGTTTACCTCCATGACTCCGCGAGTCGTTTTCTGGGGACACCGGGCTTGCGGCTCGCAGGCTGTGTGGTAGTTCAGCGAACTGCCTAGTTCCATCGGAACTACCCGGTAGATCTGGGTTCTAGACGCTCTTTGTCGATAGCCCTTGGCTCGAGTGTCTTCTCGACTCCTCGCCAAGGTGCTGCCTGAGCTTTAGTCCCCCCCGACGAATTTCATAAGATTTTTGGTTCATACTCATGTATTTTATGGTATTCATCTTTTTTCTTGGCGTTGCGCAACAGATGCGGTTTTTTCTCTTATCCTTATCTAGTTTCCTCCCTTTTTCTAGTTTAACGACGTTGCGGTCGTTACCTAGTATCATTTCATTCTAGTCCGCATTTCAAGCACGAAGCCGAGAGGCACTGATCAGCCCAGGATCAACTAACTGGCGTAGATGCGGTCCACCAGGCGTATATACTGACTACGAAATGTAAATGCGTCAAGAACAAACACCGAGCTCCCGTATTGCTGGCAGATTGTGATTCCAACACATACAGTAATCGACGCATTTTATACTTCGTCTTAGTACCTCTTGTGGACGATAAACCAGATGACGCAATGCACAGAATAGACTTGATTATGGCTCCGCGCTCGAAGACACAATCTTGTCGTCTGAAAATGAAATCAATCACCATAGGCGGATAGAAATAGGTGGGGTTCTGATTATATTATTGACTCGTTATCGTTTATAAGATGCCCAGACAGTGGTGGGTCTAAATGCTAGATGTTGTACTCAAGTTTGCCTGAAAAGAGGAGTATTGGCATTCCGCGTATTGTGAACGACAGACTAAAATGGACTCACTTTCATGCTTCTTAGCGTCACCGACTTTACGTGCTGCCTTGCTCAAATCTTCTTGGGTAACGTAATCGCTGAGAGGGGAGGCATGTTCAGTTTCGCAACCTTATGGCAAGCAACGTACGATGCACTCACCGGTCTTCTCGTATAGCAAACATTCCAGCTTCCGTAACAACGTTTCGGAGATCGGCACCATTGAAACCATCGGAAAGCTGATATAATGACATGTAACCGTGGCCAAACTCGAAGAAACTCGGAGATGCATGAAACGAACCTTCACAATGGCTTCATAATCAATTTCTCCACCTTTGTTGACCGGCGCTGCATGGATCTTCAGGATCTCAAGTCGCGCCTGGTCGTTGGGCAACGGAATTTCGATCTTTCGATCAAGGCGGCCAGGACGTAGCAAAGCCGGGTCTAATGTGTCAGGGCGGTTCGTAGCCATGATGAGTTTTGTTCTCCCGAGAGTGTCAAAACCATCCATTTGATTCAAGAGCTCCATTAGCGTTCGTTGAATTTCACGGTCGGCGCTCGTCCCTTCAGAGAATCGTCTACCGCCGATGGCATCTATTTCGTCCATGAAGATGATACATGGCTCATGTTCTTTGGCGTATGCGAACATTTCACGGACGATGCGGGCCGATTCGCCTATGTATTTGTCGACAATGGCAGAAGAGACGACCTTGAGGAAATTGGTTGAGAGTGTAGCTGCAACAGCTCGAGCCAAGAGAGTTTTCCCAGTGCCAGGTGGGCCATACAGCAACACCCCTTTAGGAGGCTTTATACCAACACGCTGAAAGAGTTCAGGGTTCATAAGGGGAAGTTCTATCATCTTCGTACAACAATTAACGTTCAGTAATAGACAGGAGGGGAAACGCGGCTTTTACTTCTCTTAGCTCCCGGACCTGCTCGCCAAGGCCACCGATCCCAGCAAATGAGGCACCTCCAGGGTCCTCAAGTGACATATTATAAACAAGGGGATCTACCTCCCGCGGTAATATTCGCATTATTGTCAGCGTTGTCATATCTAAACTGACGCGCGTGCCAGCCTTGAGTTTGTCAACGGGCAAAGTTGGCCTGAATGACACGACGTAGCGGGGCCCAGATGATGCCTTCACAATAACTGAGAAATGATCAATCTCACATAATGAAGAGTGGATAGGCGACGTACAACGCTCGTCATCAAGTTGTTTAAGCACTTCGCCTATGATTTGGCCCACGGATTGAACTGCTTTGATATCTTCTTCGGTCTTTTCATACTCCTTTTCTAAATCCCTAAGAGAGAACCGCACTACACCGTACCAAATGTTGACCAACGGAATGACACAACGCGAGTTCTACCCACGATTCTTGAGCCTTTCACTGAAGTTCTCGTGTTCTCGTTGTTTCTACCATTGCGAATGTTAATATATGTAAATGGACATGGACATGAGAGGCTAACAGCCCTGTACGCTGTCAGAGCGTCAATCTTGCGTGAATCAAACTGTGCCAATGCAGGCGCTGACATCGTAGTTAGACGCGTAAGTGGACCGGGGATTCAATCTACACCTGCACTGCCACTTGATCGCGCGCCAAACATGACAGACGTGAAACCTAATATCACGCCAGTCGTAAAGGACAAAATCACCCTTAATGTCACTTTCAACACGCTATGTAATATGGCTTCTGGTGCACATACTGGTGCGGAATACTGACTCAGATCTCAGCCGTTAAGTTCAGTCTAGGTTTGTGTCCTGAGTGGGCTGGCAAAGTCTGTACCCATTGAGCTCGTCCCAGGCAGGAATGTCCCATTCAGGAAGATGTTTAAAGCTGCCCATGTGGGTAGCGCATACTACAGTCATGCTCCTAACTCACGCAACTTGACCTAGGACAAATGGAACATGGCGGAAGGTCAGTGGCAGCCTCCGCGCGCCATTACATTCCTTGACGACTATTTACGAAAGGAACGTTGAGATTCACCTTTGACGTCAGTTTTTCTAAGCTCTCTTAACGTCTGTATGCAACTAATTCTCATTCCAGGGCGCTATCTTGAACGCTGACGAGACACCAGCGAAGGCAAGTGAAGCGTGCAGCAATGTTTGGCTTCCCAGACTAAGTCGAGATAATTGAAACCCTAGCACGATATGGAGGATGACGACATGATCCATGCGCACACCATGCAGGCTCGTGTTGCCTCTTTTATCATTTCTTTTCTGTGACTTATTTCGGTTCTGTAGGTTGGAGGCGCTCGATGTTAACAAACGTTCCTGCGTAATTTCCGCTTATCTTGGATTGTAATATGCAAAGGACCCCCAGCACAGGCACAGCATAATATTGTCGATAAGAAATGGCTTTTTGTCATGTCTTTACAGTACACGCCGATAATACGTCACCTAGCTCCTACTATTCACAACTGACACATTCCGAGTGCTCTAATGTTCAGTAACGAAACATGAAATCAATATTGTGAAAGTTGGGAATGGGGACGGCTCTTAACCGTCCTATCGCACCGTATCTCTTACCAGTCAGGTGCTCCCTTCAATTCCGCAAACCCCAAGGCATGCTGAGCTACTTTCAAGCCGTGCGGCTAGGGTTCCTGTGCGTGAGCCAATTTTTCGCGTCCCACATGACATGGATTGCGCCCCCAATGTTCCCATCCGTTGACTGTCTAGTCTGTTGTCAAAGCTAAGTAACTCTCTCAGATCGAATCTCGCAACGAGAGATGAACAGCGATTCTGCGGCTAAGTCTCACTCCCAAAATTGGCCCTAGCTCTCCCACACTTCTAAGCACATGTCCCTGTGCTCCTGCCTCCCAACACCCGACCGAGCGACTAGCCTTCGGCTGCAGATGGTCAGGACTGTGGGGTGGTAACAGACGGTAGATATTGCTCTAAGTGATGAAACACATCACTCACTTGCCGATGTACCCTTCCCAGTATGACACTATGTAACGTGGTGGACGCCACCTGTCAAACCAAGATCTCGCTCCTCTTTGATTGTTTTTCCCTTTGTTTTCTTCTTGTTTTCCTCTCCTTGGAACTTCTGGGGCGATGTAGTAATTGTGTCGCAGTGCGCACACTAGTCCATGCCTCTTCTATGATAAACTCGCATTCTTCCTCACTAAGAGCAAGCAGTTGACATTGTGAGCGATGCAGTGGACCACATCCAGCAAGAGAGTTGGCCAAGTAAACTGAATTGCATTTGCTCGAATACAACTGAGTTCATTTGCTACACGATGAGGAATGTGCTGGAAGCATCAGACAGCAAATCGTTCCTCGCTATTCTCGCCAAATGATAGGAAATACAATTGTGTAAGCAATGCATACTTGTTCGAAATAGAACTTAAAAAAGGCCAGACGAGTGGGCAAATGTATGAGATAATAATGTGGATGGTCGGAAACACGCTCACCACAGGGGCACTGTGCATGGGTTGATGACGGAGACATCATCAGCCAATATAATCCAGGATGGTGCTTGCAATTACAAAGTATGGGATGGCACTAAAATTGCATGATGATCCGCTATCATCGTGTCCAGTGCAGGATACAGGATCAATGCTCATAGTCGCATAGTAGAGGCAATAAACAGAAGATTTGTATGCGACTCAAAGGGATCAGAGGTTCCGTCTAAGGCAAAATGATGGGTTGCTTGTACGGTAGAATTCATTTAGGGTTCAACATTAACAGGACCTGCTATGTAGCTAGAATAATGCTCTTTCCTGGTGCATTCGAGAGCCGGTCCGGACAGTAGAGATTGAGGGAAGTGCCATACAGAATGAGAAAAAGACGGAGGGGAGGGACGGCCAATCAACGTTCCCGAGCTTATGAGGCAGAAGTTAGATATAAGGATGTGTAATTCGACAAGATCTCGCCGCGAGCAAGGTTAAGACAGCGCCAGCTGCCTTTCTAGTCACTCAAAGCAGCAAGTTTTCGGTTAGGGCGGTTGAGATGTTACGGCGTGTGAGGCCAGTAAAATATTGCGCACATATGAAACACCAACTCCGCATACGAACAGAAGACGATCCAAGATGAGAATTTCCATGGGCGCAAGCTGCAGCCCTTCATGTTAGATGGTGATGCCGTGGCCTACCACCCGTGTGAACGTGGCGGTGCGGCTGTCCCCTCCTTGAGCTTATAATATTTCAAGGTCTCTGGCCTAAGTGTTGCCGGTCGTTCGAGTTCGTCGACAATAGAGTACCAGTACTTGCGTCATTAGGGGTCTCATGTCGAGAATAGTTACGTAAGCCAATTGAACCCTTCACCGCCACGGGCCCACGTTAGCCCTTCATCGTTCCCGCAGCAGCTGATGCAAATCTGGGTCTCGGGCTTTTGGGACGCTCAGAAGCTTTGGGAACCGTCGGATATGGCTCACGTCCCAGTAAATTTTGACTATCTCCGGGCGCAGCCTAGTCGGTATGGGCTCAACGACTCCAGCGATCGAGCAAGCGCCATCTCTTCAGGCTCCTCCGATCGCCCGGAACGACCGCTCACGGTTAAATGCGAGTTCAATGGTAAAGTTCGTCGAATCACTTTCCATTCCGCTAGAAATTTCTCGTTCTCGACCCTCAGAGAAAGAGTATGTAGCCCTGCAAACGAGTCCCCAGGTACCAAACTGACAAATCTTGTGAATGACAGGTGGAACAGGCTTTTTCTCTGTCAGCTTCAAATTTTAATATGACGTATAAAGATGATGATGGAGAGACTATTGAGCTTGTTACAGACGAGGACTTGACTGAAGCGATCTCATATTTCCAAGGAGGGGAGGATCATCCCAGTTCTTCCGGAAATACTACTTGGTCCGGCCATTCGGGTCGAACGACCCGGAAAATCACCTTGCGCATAGTTGTTTTCGTGGAATACGACGGCCCGAGCCTGTCTGATACTTCGTCTTTGGCGAGCGTGGAGGAATTTGCGCGAACACGCGACCGGAGCCATCAGGCTGTTACTGGCGCCGAACTTTCATCAATAAACTATGATATTGAAGATGACATGGTTACTATTAGTTCTAGAGACACAGCACTTGCAGCGTCTCAAAAGAGCAGTGCTCGGGGATCTCGAGATTTTAGAGCGCAGAAGGACACAGCGACGGCGTCTCTAATATCTTCGCAAATCTTAGCAGAACAAAATGAAGAGACTGACACGCCAGCGGAGGAGTCGGTGGAAATCTCACTCTCATACGCTTCATCAAGCGGTGCATCGCAGACTCCTGTCCCTTCGACCACTTCCGAACCACATAGCCCACCTAGATCTGGTGTAAACTTAGCAACTGATGTTTCGGTTTTTGAGCGCTTGCGCAAGGAAGCTGTGTCGAAGCTTCCACCTTTCCCCCCGACCCACACACCCAATCTCGCTGTGTCATTTGGTGGAAATCCTGATGACCGGGGCGCAAGGTGGCTCCAGGATCAGAACGATCGTGCCATCCGCACCATGATGGGCCATTTACCAAGGCCTTCAATACCTTCATCTGCTTCCGATGAAGACATCATCGAAGGAGCTAGTTCTCTTTCGTTCCCTTCCGTCCGATCTGGTGTTCTTCCCTTAATCCCGACGAAGCCGACACAGGGGGACTGGCCCTGCATCGACATCCATCGGGAAAGTTTTATTACTCTTATTCATCCGATATTTCTTCAATCCCAGAGCCCTCAACCGGGGTTGACGCAATACAATCAATGGAATCCGGTCATCCGGTTGTTAAGGATTCGGAGTGCGCATCTCAGCCGTCACCTTTGGCGTCACAGGATCGACCAGGCCAGAAGGCACAGGAAAATGCAGCTACTTGGTCAGAAGCTAATCCATTCCGTGATCCATCAGACGTCTCTCCCGAGCTGTTGCAAGCCATACTGCAGTCCGAAATGTCGGCTTGTAATGGTCCTACCGAAGTGACCTGCTGCTCTTCCTGTAACGAAATCCTGGATTCTTTCAGATATGTATGCGCTACATGTGGCGAGAGACCAAAACGAAATCGAGAGGAAGTCGTTCTTAGTTCACTAGAAGATCATTCACGAGATGAATTGGGCGTACTTGTGCCATCATCAACTTCGATTGGGGACGTAAGCCAGTCCTCGCTATTGCTGCAGACCTGGGATGACACCTACACACACCCTGCTCCACCATCCAGACAGCTTGAGGAGTCACGATATCGGCAGAACGGTATTGGGCCAATCACGGAGCAAGAAGTGAACCGTTCAGCTAGGGACGATGGAAGCGTTGACGATTTTCAAAACATTCCTTCTGCTTCCACATCATCGTTGGCACCTTCGTTTTTTGGCCGATCGATACATAAGAAACCATCTCGGGTTCTTGGGGTCGCTGCAACTTTTGCCAATCTATTTGGGGGAAGCAAGACTGGAGGCGGAATCGCAAACACCGGGAAAGGGAATCTCGCAAGTGATGAGTACTCGTTGTCTACTTTCACAAAGGGGAAAGGGAAGCAGGCTTCTTCGGAGGCTGGACCATCAGCCCGGACCCCCCTTGCAGATAAGCCCCTTCCTTCTGTACCTAGCCCTCCTTCAACATGTGCTTGGGTTGCTCCACGACACCCACTTACCCAAAAAACGGAGTGGAGTCCACTTAGCTCCCCTTCGAATCCGAGTCAAGCGGACAGCAATTCTCCAGTCTCGTCTTATCACATACTGCCGCGCCCTGCTCGAACAACTTCATCTGCTTCCTTGGCATCATCCCCTTCCATTGAAACCGGTCCGGGCTACGAGCTATGCCCAAATTGCATTGGAACTGCTGGGGTTCTTCATGCGGAAAACGCTTTGAATGCCGCTCACAGTCCAAGTGCGACATCCCTTTCATCGTCTACCACTCTGGCAGTACCCATCGGGTCACCATCCAATTCCTCGCCGACTCATCACTTCATTACAGGAGGTTCCGCAGTAGGTAACTCGCTTCATGGAGATTCGTTAACAACAGTGAGCCCAAACATTGGGATGGGTATGAGGAATGCTCCAAAACGAAAAGCACTAATCCGTCACGCGTACATAGAGAAGTTTTGGGGAGATACAGGATGGCAAGACGTTGGTGTGTAATTTTGGACGCCACTGAGATGCGTGCTATGCCGACACGATCCGCAGAACTTGATGACGAATGCTCATGTGCTATATGTCAGAAGACAATCGATAAGGATCGCTTCAAATGCCTTTCATGCGAACAATTCAATTTATGCCGTTCGTGCTACAGGTGAGCTGCGTCAGTTACTCTTGCCGAACGCTTATTGGCTGAGCCCAGATGCGCGGTTCTGACTGCGCATCCCGCAGTTCTGTACATGAAATCCATCCTTCCCATGCGTTTGCGGCTATTCCCGACCGAAAACCACCTCCCCTCCAAAGCATAAGTATGGAGGAACAGTGTACGTGATGGTAACGTTCCCAGGATGCCTGTTAATGCCAGCCGCTTTCTAGCCATGAAGCACCCTGGAGTCAAGTGCAACCAGTAAGTAAGAGCTTATGGCGGACTGGGGCATTCGATAAATATTCCGTAGCTGCCTGCAAGACATTGTAGGAGCCCGGTTCCACTGTGCCTTATGCGATAATGTCGACATATGTTCGAATTGTGAAAGTGCGGGACTCCCGGGTAATTTAACCGCCCCCGATGGAGAACACGACTCCTCCCATATTATGATCAAGGTGAGCTAGCCGTCAACAATGAATGTTGATGCAATTTATCTGTCCCCAAAGATCCCAATGCCGGTGGAGACCAAGGAATTAAGAAACGTCAGCCGTCGAGCGCGCGCCTTAGTGATGGGAAGGGACGCTTCAGTTATCGGTGTCGATAATCCCTGTTGGAGACCGCGGGCGAACTCCGCCGGATCCAATTACCAACAAACCGTTATTGGGTTTCCAAATTCCACAGCCGAGAGGATGGATGAATGGGAGAATATGAATCATCATATCTTATGCCGGGGATGCGACAAAGTATGCGGTTCTGTAGAGGTGCCTTTTTATCGTCCGGATCTCACCTATTTTGCAGTCAATCATCGGCGTTCGGTACCAGTGTGCATCATGTCCTTCACAGCCATCCTCCTCTGCATACAACCTCGTAGGGATTCGTCACTCTGCTCTTAATTCCATGCTCATGGCCTTGCGTTACACGTAGTGCGAGGATTGCGAGGCTGTTTCCTTTACTCTTCACGATGCCATGCACATCTTTGTCAAGATTCCACGGCCAGTAGACCGACCAATTGAAAATTCTCGGCCGCTCATTACTCCAATGTCGGTACTTCTTTTCCCACCCAAGGCTGCTGTTCCGACGTTGTTTTATCGTAGTTATGAGATCCCGGCTGGTCAAGACAGAGACGGCAATAGATATGGGGAAGGATATCGAGGTGCGAAAGTCCCGACTTCCTCAATTTGCACTTTCGAGTTTTTTTAATGATCTCAAGCAGACTACCTTTCTCGCATCAAGCACAATGCGGCGCTGTGCGATCGTTGTGTAGACCACATCTATGGAACATGGTACAGATGTGCCAACTGTGACGCAGACCTGTGCGAATTTTGTGAACAGTTATCCGTCCACGACTCCACACACGTTTTCCTGGTTATCAAAAGTGCGGTGGATATGACCAAATTCAGGTTCGTGTTCCTGGTTGCGGTATTCGAGCAGTACTGAATGGGCATGCAGACGAGCTGTGGACCATGACAACCCAACGAGGAAGATAGGAGTATTGGATCATGTCGTGTTTGCTTCCTGAAATCATTTGAATGTCATGAATGAATATTCGCTCTGTTATACAGCAGTAGATTCCTTCTCGAATGGCAATGATGCCCCGGGGGGATTACAGGTCACCGGCATGGATATTAGTCAGTGCCACGAGTGAAAGCTCGTATGGGAGACGTCTAGCCTTTCTTGAAACCTAAGAAGCGAAATGAACAATCGTTGCAATTGCATCTGGGTTTCGTGGGGCTTACCCAATCGTCTCCGTTCGTAGAAAAGATCCGTCCTACTGGCGCCCAAGTTCACAATCTTGGGGCACCCGTCCCGGTCCTTTTCTAGTCTGGTGCACTCCGCGCAATAGTAAGCATCGGAAATACCTGGCCATGTCGAAAGTTAGCTCCGAAGGCGTTCAAACCGAATGGAGGACACACCAGGCGATCCGCATATGATACAGCGCCCTCCGTATGTCCCAAAGTTACATTCATCACAAATACGGACGAGAGTTTCAGGTCTCACGTATGAGTCGCATATGGGGCTGATCGGCAAAACCGCTCTGAAATATGATTATCCAAGGAAAGAAAAGGACTTACCACTTCCCGTCACATTTCTCGCAGAGACGTCCAATGGCTGTTTTCGTCGAGAAGATGCAAAGAATTGGCCAACGTTGAGATATGTCAGCAAGAGGTACAAACTTACCGATCCCAGGCTGCCGACGGCACATAATCAAATCTGTAAAGGGAGCATCAATAGAACAAATGGGGCATAGGTAGGCTCGGGGCTTACCAGGATGATGTTTGGACATCTTGATACGATGGTGGCGCTTATGAAGACAGATAGTATTATTATTTTCCAATTCTCAAAGATCAGATGACTCCGCATGCACCCGTTGAGGCCTTCCCCACTTTCATGACCACAAACATATTAAGGGGGCCGCACTTTGGATAATCTAGAGTGTGGTATTGACAACGGATGGTTTCTCAATGGTAGTTCTGCGCAGCATGATAAGACAAAGTGTGATCTGGCGTGTACACAAACGGACCACTGACAGGATTCGCGGAGGCCACAACGGTAGTGGATTGGATCCAGTCTTTGGAGCGCCTAAGTAAATGCTTTGACAAGGTGACGGAATCCCCATTGTACTGCATATCGGGAGGAAGCTCCAGTTTTGGGTTACCCTTGGATTTTCATCCAGGCACCCCTTGAATATCATTAACCCCCGCCCTCTCCTTAATGTTTAATGACTATAAGACTGTTGGGGAAATGTCCAAACAGTATCGTTTGGTGAGCAACTACCAAAAAAGATGCACTTCGTGTAGTTCGATGGGTGTGTCTCCCAACGATGCACAGTACCACCGAGGGCGGCGAATGAGGCAGAATCTGAGCATATGGACATTTCCTGTTATCACAAAATGGATGTTGGACCCTGTAGCAAGAGCAAGTTCCAGTAACGACCGATGTTCAGTAAGCGAAGTAAAGATGGGCATTGTTGGAAAGGTGACATCGATTGTAGGGCGGTACTTTGCAGCGTAACGATTCACCGAAACACTGATCGGTCAAATCCAAACTCGCGAGCACGAGATTCGATTCGTGAAACACAAACAGCCTTCGAGGATTTAAGTGAATACGGTAGCCAGTTCCCCTGCTATTCCCGTCCTCCTTAATGGCATTGGTTTCTACTGTAACATTGACCATAGAAAAAGGAAAAAGTGCCAGTGAGGTCAGCGGAGAAAGTATACATTTAGAGCGAAAAAATTGGGCAGTAAGGGCCGGTATGCTGCCGAAGGTGTGAGAATTGTCCGCCAACATCACCTCACATCCTTACAGCAACACAATATCCGTCCAAATAGAAGAAGGTCATCATGATAGGAGGTGGGTCCATGCATGGCTGGTCCTAGTGACTTCCATAAAGAGTTGAATTTGGACTGATCAAGGTCGGTGGGGACAGGGGGCCCAGCACCATCTCTATCATCGCTCTCGAGCCTTGTTTTCCACGCTTCACGATGTCCACATCTCGTTACTCGATGCGAGTCATTGGCAGAAAAGTTAAAGGATACCACAGCGGAATTGATGGACAACTCGAAGATTAGCTAGCTCATTGTGGCAATACAAAATGAGACGCAGTGTTGTCATATAGATGTCAAGGACGGTAGGAGCCTGCCCGTTCAGGTCGCAGATCCCCTTCTGGAGTAGAAGACGGGTCGCAAATATTCGATGTAGGCATGACAATGTGTCAACAAGTCGTGATTAGGAATTATTGAAGCAAAAAAAGGAAAATGAATAGCCAGCATCGTCTAGCTGCTCCGTCAGGCAGGTCGCAGATATGAAACCACGGTTTCGTCGTAGGTGGCATGGCAATGTGTAGGCAATGGATCGACCGTCGCGTTCGCCTCCGGGTGTTCCTCCGCGGGCTCATCGACTTCCGGCCTCTTGGTAGCGCCCAAGTCCGCAACCAGAGCTAGAAGTTGGCCCAGCAGGGCATTCTGGGACCGAACTGCCTTGCCGAGTTCGATGATCGGACCCTTGATCTGCGCGACCAGACTTTCCACACTCAACTCCTCCGCTTCCTCCTGAGACACCTCTGACACCTCTGACACCTCCGATTCCACCCGCACCCGCTTCCTCGCACGTACCGACGACGACCCCAACTCCGCGCGCATCTTAGGGCGATTGCATCCCTTCTTCACCTTCTTGCACGCCGCACACGGTGCGGATTCCCCGGAGCCCGGGATGCAGCTCAGTCCGCGCTCGGCGCATCGGAGACACGGTAGCCTCCCACCCAGCGTTGATGGTAGGACCACTGCGACGGACCTGCGCTAATTATCAAAGCGCTCAGCCTTCCCCATCTATAGTCCGATGACAATAGTGGTAACCCGGTATACTCACCTTCGTCGCCTCTGCCCCTGCCTCTCGCTTCCTCTGTTTCCTCAGCTCCTCGGCAGCTAGCCGCGCCGCCTCCTCCCGCTTTCGCTGCTCCTTTCTCCCCTGCCGTCGTCGCCTGCGCTCCCTCAACTTCGCAACCCCAAGTGACTCCTCGTCCTCCGAGTTTTCGGCCAGACGGTCATCCGACCAAGTCGAGAGATCAACGTTGTGCGACATTAGCGACGGGAACGATCAAAGTGATTGTGGTCCAAATCACGTTGAATTGAACGCGGGAAGTAAATTTTTTCTCGGGTTTTCCCGATTACGAGAATTACTGAAGCGGGGAACGAAGAACGAATAGTCAGCGTCGTCTAGCTGCTCCGTCTCCGCATCATTGAGTACGTCCTTCAGTAGTCTGCCCAGATGGGAGTGATAACGTAGCAAAAATTATGAAACATCTTTAATCATCGAATGTGCAGAGTGCGGCGCTATCGTCTTGGTCCCAAAAATCCGCGGGAATAGCTGCCCGACGGTTCTGAAACCGTAACAATTCGCATCCCTAGCAAGATCGCGAAAAATAGAGTGCATGCATGTGCAAGCGATCGTGAATCTTGGAAGTTGGGGAAGAACTTCTCAACGAACGATGACGTGTGAGGCAGACACGTTATAAAATATGACCCTTATAGATGGTGACATGAGAAGCAATGGTGCTGTGCACCTGACGACCGGATACCGCAGGATTGGGTGACAAAAACTGCACCCTTCATGAAGAGTCCTGATAAGTGGGCCAAAACAGAGCCGCGCATGATTGTCATCACATCATGATTGTTGTGACCAGCAGAAGCCATAGAGTATAAACTTAGAAGATGATATTTGGTCATAGTTGATTGGAGAAAACACCACGACCGTGTCGGGTATTGAAGGGAGTGTGAAGCTTTGATTAACACTGGAAGTGTGTCCGAGCGTCGAAGGCCATCACAATATTAATGACTCCGGTAACAGATGACGAATCCTAATCGTGGTGAGAGTAGTTCGGGATCCAACAGGAAGATTAACTCCTGGCGTTGTTGTTCCGCACTCGCGAGAACGAAGACAGAAGCACATCAGCTCCAACCCAGAGTGAACCTGGCTTCCTTGCTTCTAGTAATTCTAACCCCCCCCATTATCCCATTGTCGCTTATCAGAGCCCATCGATCAGAACGAGTCACATGGAAACAAGGGTTCAGTCTTTGTGCTTGGGTTAAAAGGCGATGAAGTGAATAGAGATATGTGCCGGACGAAGTGGCTGTACAGTTGGTGATTATCCGAGAACGATCCGATTTGCTTGGGTGTGTTCCAGAACATCGAGGAAGCGCTGCGAGACCCCTCCCCTACTCGTCCAGCAGTGGTACTTGCACGCGCACACCTTCCGGTATTGCGATTCGTTTTCTTGTGTGACAAAGATAATTTTAATTGACACTCTCCGGGGCCCCCCTGCCCCTGCACACACTGAGAGATGGCAAGGCGTCTTGGTGTCTTCCATAGTTCCGCTGGTATCGGTCGGATCCTGTTGGGGCTATGATTGATTCCTATCGCCGGTGTGAACTACTCGCCCGTTCCCATCATTTAAGGCAGTGAAGATGTGGCGTTATTGAATAGTCTGTTTCCCATCATGGAAATCTTCGACTGACGACCATGATTCTGCCCGATCCCGTTACATACACCGTACTCTGTCAGGCAGTTCATAAAGGTGGCATGCTCCATTTGTGTTTGCACGAAGATTGATCGTTACTAGTCTTATAAGAACGATTTCGAAGCGGTGAGAGAACTCCATTTCTCACCTGGGCCCCGTCACCTGTGATGGAGAGAGACCTCCTAGCCGCAAACCCCATCCCTTCATTGTTAAACCTCTCTCACCATGTTCCGAAAGTGCCGGGTATAGACGGCTGTGTTGGAGTTGTGTTGATCGCTGCCACTTTATCTGCATGGTCAGCGGCGCTACGCTACTTATACTTACGCATTTCGCAGGCTCATAATTTTTCCTTAGCATCTTCGGAGTGCTCAATGTCCAAGCATTCCACTATTTCTCTCGTTTTCCGAATGACCCCACCTGGCTAAAAGTAACGGTGAGCTTTCGATCTATAGATCATGTCTTTTGCTTCTGTCTTTTAATACCTCTTATCCCAGGTTTCGTTGGTTTGGTAAGCGCGAATATCGACTCTCTCATATGGACAACCTCTAAAGGAGTGCCGGAAAGCGTTCTTGATTTTCTCCACCAAGTTTTTGTCACAATAGCTGTGTACAGATACGCGGTATGTTCAAACTTGTTCGTATGTAGCATAGTGCAATTGTTGAGACCCTCTTCGCAAGATTTCACTGTGGGGACAACCGGAAGCTCTTGGGAAATCGCACTGGTAATTTCATACTTTGCGTTATAGTTGCTGGATTAACGAAGCTGAACGGACATTGTCAGGACATTTTCGGTAGTTTGATTTATCATCATCCTAGCCATCTTCCGGTTCTGAACACACCATCTCGCTAGATGTCATACATACTTGAGCCTATCATTGCTTTAGTTGTTCAGCTGTAAGTCCCCCCTCATTCAAGGATAAGCTGAGACGTTGATATTTGGCATGATCCCTACAGTTTTTTCGCTCGCAGGACATGGCGTTGTAAGCTTGGTGTTTCCACTAGTGCATGTTATGTGAAGTGCTGAGTGAAGTTGTTAGTGAATCGGAGAACTTGGTTCATGGGAATGGTCATCGTAGGTGGTGAATGGGGCGAGCCTTTAAGATTCTTTCTAACACATCGTAATAGGTCCTCGTGGCTTTGCTTTCGTTCGGTGGGTCATAATGTTTGCTAGGATTCTCGTCATCACTCATGTCCGGTAAAACCCCTTTTAGCACTTGGGGAATGTGAGTGTGTATGGACCCGACATACCAGAGTTCAGATTGATTCTGTCTTCTCTAGTCGCTTGCATCACAACTTTCCGCTTGCGCCTTTTTTCAGAGTACGAGAGGTACAAGGTGAGTCATGGATGTGCTGCACTCCTTATATCCCACTTTGAATGAATATTCTTCATTTCTTCAGTACCAGGTTACGGTGTGGCTTTTCAGCTCGGCTGCATGTGATGTGATGATCACTGCGACAGTTTGTTGGGTACTGTGGGCGAGTAAGACGGGTTTTTCAGAGTTAGTGATCATCATACCGTTTATGTTCCTCGACGACTCATCTCAATTCCCCAGAACTGACCACTTCATATCGCGGATGATAGTGTGGGTGATGTAAGTTCCCCGTTTGGTTTTCGTATTCTGGGCATCGAATTGCGCCCAACGTATAGCAATACAGCAGCACTCACAAGTACTGTAGCCATTCTGGACGCCGTGACGGTATGTCTTCATTGTGCTGTTATTTCCCATAGCTCATAAACCACTCTTGCACGTTTAGTTCCTGGCATATCCGAACGAATTAATTCACGTAGGACTCAACTATTGTGTGTCCCTTCTATGTGTGCTGTAGCTTATGCTATTGGGCACTGAAAACTCTTCTAGTGCTTGCAAAGCTTTACACAAGCACGCTTCTTGCAAGTCTAAATAGACGTCGGAGCCAAGTTGGTCTCACTTGTCCTGGGAGGCCGCAACTCTACGGGAGCTTAAAATCTGAATCCGATGTTGAAATGCAGAGATCCGACCTTGCGCGATTAGGCCTTAAGCCGATGCCATCGGCTCTTCTGAACACTTCGACCTCAGTGCACCTGTCCCGCAACCCGTCTTCGAAGCCCCATCCATGCCCTCAACAACTCAACTCCCCGATTCCAGGCGAAAGAATTAGCAAGTGGTCCGACTGTGTCAACTGTTGTCTCCGTGTTCGACGATGAAGTGATAGGCAGTTTGGCTACCCCAACAAGGAGTTCGAGTATGAAGTCCAACAAGTCGAGGAACTCCTCCGCTGGACTACCCACGATCTGGGATGCCAGCCATGATGAGATAGTGGGTTTTCCCCCTTGATGATGCACCCATAGTCGAATGGGGAGCTTACTTTAGTCCAGATCATCATAGGACGTCGATCAAAAACATCTCCATAGAGATTGCACCACGCGTCAACCTCTCACTTTCAGTCGTTACTCGACATCTATACCACCATCGTTTAGTGCCAGACCGTATGGCCCCTTTTTATCCCGTTGAAACTGAAGTAAAGTTAACTACCTTCGCCATATCTATTTCCGACATCCAACTCTCGTATGTACCGTTACGTAGGACATTCTTCCGCTACTTTCATGCGCCCCCATTTATTTCGCTATCCTTCGGGTCTTTTCGTTGTAAAAACATGCAGCCTTTCTACGTTGCGGGTGTTTCAATATCATCCAATGCAAACGGGCGACTCTTGACACCGAGGATTTTCGAATGAGGAAGCATACGCGTCCCTTACAAATGCCAGTCACAAAGTCAGGGGTTGTGGGGCAATGCGCAAGTTCACAGTACATTACTTCAGGAGAAAGCTCGGGCAAGAGTGAAAGGCGAACGGGGTAAAGAACTCACATAGCGTTAGCTCCGTCCAAGGCATCCCTTTGGTGTTGCACGCAAATCATCACCCTGTGCCGTGCAACAGTGTTAATGCTGTGGCGCAGCCTTGGCAGTACTCATTCCCCTTGCCCTTGGTGTCCTCCGAGTCCAGCTCGGTTGACGAAGCTGAACGATAGTCCGTGGGTGGTCGGATAGCGGAATTAGCAGGGCCCGGGAAGCCGTCCATCACGATCCAAATCGGGGGGTTCTAGTAGCAACTTGAAATGGGGTATACTTAATTGTCATGGCACGCTTGCCGATGCCACCGTCCTTGTACCTGCTAGAAATGGTTTAATGAGCTTTTGAATTCATTTGTGGTGTTAAGGCGAACAGTGTGATCACCGGTGACAGGAAGGGGAGGGGGATGAGCTCTAGTGAATAAGCAATTGCGATATTCAAGGGATTCGATAGAAACCAACGCAAATCCTCTCAGTCCATCGCCAGGATGATTTGATCAGAAAGACCCTAGCTAGGGGTTGCAGGGGCAGATGGGGATTTTGGCTATCTATCTCTGGGCCCAGCCTGACCGGAAGTCTCGGATCTGAAATCTTGGTTTTCTCCCACGTATACCGGGGCCATCGGCCCTACTCCACACAGTGGTATGCAAGGGTCGTACTAGCTGAGGTCTGCGAGCCAAGCGTAGATCAGGGCCGTGACGCTGGCCTTGCGTAGCTAGCCGGTCGCTATCTCTCCAAAGCCTTAGTCTTAGTAGGCTATTTAACGCTTAGAATGCGTCGAAGTGTACGATAAGCAGTAAATTGATGGAATTTCTGCGGCGCCGCAACAATGGCTGCATTCAATATTGGCGCTTGCACTTCGAAATGACTAAATTTGGCATAAGCTCGACCCCAAGCTTTCAGTCTCTCAAGCTGCGCCATCAGTGATGTTATCAGATTGGCAATGAAATGAGCGATTTTCTGATGCATACAGCAGGCCTTGATGGAGGATGTAGCCGTTCTCCTTGTGAGGGGGATCATGACCGATGCATCAGATCCATATGGCTTCAATAGGACTTCAAGAGCCGAAACAAGCGGATACGGCATCGCATGTCCATCCCCTCGTTGAGTGAGCACTGATGGTCAAGCTCCTTTTAAAGTCCTTTGATTCCTGCAGGAGTGGACCCATCCAGGAAGTAGATAATGAGCGTGGGTGGAGGCATGTCAGCTAAATGCTTTCAACTTCTAGTTTTCTGTTGGACTGGTTTACTCTGGTTAGACACGCCCTCCTTCAATGACATTTTATAGCTGTCGACCAAGGATTTAAGATCTACGACAAAGTTATACTGGACCTTGTACAGAGAGTTCGCATCTACGGTGGCTCCGAATCTGTGTGCGAAAACACCAAATTGACGAGACCAGATTCCAACAATACACTGGATATGTACAATTACAATACGAAGTGAACGGGAGAGGAGGGGGGGGACGCATAAATGATGCAGTAATAAGTAACACGATAGTTGACCTCCGGATCGAGAAAGAAGCAATAATATCTTCGGGTTAGAATATCCTTCCGTGATAGGCGGAAGAGCGAAATGTCCTCACTTGTGTGTGCGGCGGGGAGCCGAGGGGACTTAGGGGGGGGGGGATAGGAAATGGAGATGAGCTGCGAAGATGAGGCGAGATCAGAGTGTTGGTCCAGAGTGGCGCGAAAAAAGCTGGGGGAATCTCTGGGTATCCACTCATCCATGCATGGGAGCTATTTTTCAGTTAGGACGAGACCACCCACCATTCCAGCTTTACGATGTGCAGAGACATAGTTTATGTAACAAAGGTGGGGATGTATGCGGGAGGGGCCATTAACCAGAACCGAACCGAACCGCATTTCGGTTCCGTCCCGGTTCGGTTCGGTTCGGAACAGTTTGAACAGGCCTGTACCACTAACCAAGAGCCATCTATAGTGCTTAGAAATATATATATATAGGTAATTCTTGGTCCGTATGGAACTCGCTTTCAGGTCCCCATTGTCAGGATTTGCACCAGTCCGAGTGTGTATCGTTAAATCTCCCTTTCAATTTTTTTTCGGCCAGATATTCCCAAATGCATGCGTCCTACACAAAGACCCTGAAGCCGCGAACAAAATATATGCGTTATGAATGTATGCACAATATCCAACATGGATAAGGCTACAACCCTTCAATGGTTCTGCGGTTCGCAATACCCTCCCAAGTAAAGAACCAGAACCGAACCGTGTTTGGGTTCACAGTTCGAACTGGTTCTCTGAGATCCGCGGCACCCCTAGTGCCATGCGGTAGTACCTGAGCAATTATGTAGTATGCCATTAGCAAAGGCACTGCGGCATACATCGAGCTATTAAAAGTTTGGTGACATTATGGTTCACGAGAGTGTTATTTGGGGCGTTTTGCTTATTAAGCAAGGCCTGATCTGTACTTCCGACGAATGACAAGCTGCCCTCAAAAACGGACTTCATATTCAAGCAAGCATTCCGATAATCCATGAAGAGCTGCATAGGCATAGTAGTATCAATAAGAGCTGACATGTTGAAGGCCCATGCAGGGGTCTGAGTACCCAACAAACCGGAAGCCTGCAGCTGAAGTGTGATGACCAGCTGCGAGCGGATTTTGAGAACGGCCGTAATACGAAGCGGACAGAAAAGACGCATGATCAGTGCAGTGATGGATAATACAGTAGTTTTCCCCTGGGTTGAGAGAAGCAATCATGATGTAAATATCTCCGACGCCAGAATATCCATCTATGATACAGCAGGCGGAAGAGCAAAATGTTCTCAGCTTACGTGTTTGCGGCGGGCGCCGAGGCGATGAAGGTTAGGGGTGAATGAACAGAGAATGACAATGAGTTGTGAAGATAGCGCGAAGTCGAAGTGTTGGCCGAGGGTGGCACGAAAAAAAGCCATGGGCCTCATCTCTGGGTGGCCACTCATCTTTGGGTGCTATTTTGGCTGAGACGAAACACCCCACGAACGATATTCAGAGACGTGGTTTAACGAGAGAACACACCCCGTCCCAAGAAGGGACCGGCGAAAGCTGCCATCCATGCGATGACACAGGAGCAAGAGAGGGTCTGCGCTCCTCCCTGGTCTGCGACACCATCAAGCTCGGCTGGTGAGGTTCTGGAGACTGGCCCCGATGTCGGAGCGGATGTCCAAGTGTTAGTGTTAATGTCCATCTGGAAGGTTTGTACGCGTGCTAAACGTATTAAACGCACAAAGAATATCAGGGTACTGCTAGTAGGTGAGAGGAGTTTTGAGACTGTGTCCCTGGAACAACACCTCTAGAGGTTTTGCACCATAATAAGTGGAGCATTGTTGGCGATATGTTGGCGATAGGCGGGTTGAGTGTGGCCGGCTAAATCGAAGGTGCCAGTGGCGAAAAGTCGAATAACAGCAACAACGCAAGTTCCGCCACAATGCCACTTGTGCAACCGCTACGATCTTCATATTTGGAGACAGGCTGAACCGAAGGGTAATTCTACATTTCTATATCAACTGTGGGAACGACGATGGTCGCACGAAATGATCTTTCCGGCAGCAAGAACTTGAAGTGTACATATGACGCGACTGTGAATGTAGTCCACTAAGCCATGATCCTATTATTGGGCAACGACCGTGAGGAAAGTAGGAAAGCCGTGCGCGTGCTGAGTCTCGAGCTAGGGGGGAACGAAGCCTGGACCTGGAGCTGAGATTCAAATAACAGGGCGAGTGCCGAACACTCTTCCAACGGACTGTTTAGCAAGAGGGCTGTCTTGCACGTAGCACAGAGCAAAAGCTGCCAAACCGTGCCACCCTTCGTTAACACGATGTTTTTGAATAGATTTCAATTCTACGACACGTTGCAGATACAATCGTATTCCAGAGGGTATGTTCGGGTGAGTAGAATGGGCTTTGTAGCACATAAGTGGTTTTGTGACTGAAGAGGAGACAACGGGTGACACAAACGGCAGGAACAAGTTGAGGAGCAAGACAACGAGCATTGATGAACACTCTCAGGGCTCAGTCAGCACGGAGATAGATACAGGAGCCTCCGCGTGATGGATAGCCCGGCAAGACACAGTGGCCGGAGGAATAGGAGAGCGCAAGCGTCGGCAACGGAGTTAAAGAGGTGGATGAACTGGAGCACCGCCACGCCTGCTTGCAACGTGTTTTCATGCGGCGCCTAGGTTTCATCAGATATGAAGTTCAAGTGTGACAGTGAAATACTGCACCTCTGGCTCCTGCCAATGCGCACTGTTCGTACCCGCACACTTCCCAGAACAGGCTGTTCCAGCGCGGTATCAGAATGGCCGATCGTTCTGCCCGCTCGCAGCCTGAGACGAGCTTATTACCAGCTATATCTTTACCGCGGAACTTCATTCACACTCCTCAACTCTAATAGGGGAACTGGCAGTTCGGGACAGGGGCAATGCTCACATTCTTAAAGACAACGATTGCCCTGTTCCACATGGGCATCACCATCCCTGGGTCGCCCGGTCACGGACGGCAAGCTAGATGCGCCAGGCTAGCCAACCAGTACGCTACCTGTCCGTTTCCGCCGACCAGTGTTTCCTCGTAGACGTGCTCCCTTCGGCGCAGGCACATCCCACGAAATGATCCTTTGGATAAACGGACGGCTCTAAACCAACCTGTGAACCCCTATATTTTGTTTCGTAGCGTCTTCACAGCAAGCTTTTGGGAGCATGCTAGCGTTAACATGAACCCGCTGGAGAGCAGCAAGCCCGGCAGTTTCGATGCTTATAAGTGCGGAGAATGCTGTTTAAAGGGGTTTAGCCAATCCCCCTATTAGAATATCAGTTGGGATGGATCTCTGGCCAGCATTTGCCTTCTGGGTCGCCTGCGGCCAACTTTCCTTATTGATTTTATCTTTTGCCGGAGATAACGGGATTTCTCCTGTCGAGGATTATGCGGCTTGCCACAGGAATCACTCCAGTTTTGAAGTCTCGCATGCGCAGCACTAATACCCAATTTACTGGGTAACTTTCTGTGCGTCCTAGCGGGAGACAAAGTCTGGTGGCTTGAGGTTCTTGTGCTGAAACCTGGGTGAACAAATCCCTCGTTACTTCTCACCGTTCAATATTAGTCCCGCTATTTTTGTGGCCAATGACCAATATGCTCAGGATTTTTCCGAAGCTATTTTCGTATGAGGCTTTTACCCTTTTCCGAGGCGATGGAAATCCTGCGGAAGACCCAAGCACGCTCGAAATGGGTACAATACCCAAGGTCCCAGGGCGCTTATATAGCGGCCAAATTCAAAGTTTTGTCCATTTCTGGTCTACTACGTGCTATGACCCAGTAGAGAGCCTTTATCTGCGAGACTCGATGTCCCCAAGGTTACATGCGCTGACGGGGTTCCAGCTGTTTCTTGGTTTTGCGATAGATCATAGTCAATTCTGGACGACTTCATACCGGGGAGGCAACTCCCAAAGGAGTGCGAGTGCGAGTTCACATCTTTGGAATGAGATCCGGGATTGTTGGACCGCCGCATTCATGCCTGGATTGAACCAATCCCGATCGAGTTCTTCCCAAAGTCCCGAAGCTCGCCTTCCCAATAAAGTAATCAATTGATTTGATTATCTTAACCCTGCTCCTTTCAACCTTCCCTGGCTGCCCATGTACTCTTCGGCGGGGTTGCTATTCTATTTTAAAATCACACTACTCCCCATACTATTATAATGAAGGTGATCTCGATCCACCGCCAAGGGAATATTCTTCTGCTGGAGTACCACACCATATTGGGTGTGTGACAATCGTTCCAATGTGGTGTGCTATTTGCCAATCCGCAAATAAGTTTCCATTACGTCTTGCTTTGGGAGATCATGTTTACACCATAGATCTCGGACTCCGGCCAAACGCCCGCTAGTTTGGCGCGACTTCGTTTATACCACTCCGGTACAGGCATATGTGATGGGCTGTGCTCACGCACCTGCGAGCGCAATGCAGATTCATATCGGTTCATGATCTACCACAACTTCAACAACCTTATAACAGTAATCGTAGTCACCCAAACTGCCGAGTCAATTGACCCTGACAACTCCGTGGTCAAACCACACCGGGGGCCAGCCGCCTTAATCGCGCATTTCACCATTAGGAATTTCGCATAATTTCACCTATCCTACGAATTGAGAAGAGGCCCGCAAGGCCATTGGGCTAGACAGAACAACTTATCAGGGTACGTATAGGATGCCATATGTGTGATCGCAACTGCAACACCGCTGCGTTCGTTCACAGCGATTACGGCGTTCTTCCCGCGAAGCCGGGAATGAAATCGGTTTGTAGGAGATGCCCACCACCCCACTACTGTCTCCCATAGGACAGGGACATGTGGATTGCCTGGCATCGTCACACCTGGCACAACGCATATAGCTATATGGGAAACACTCGTATCCAACACCTCCCTGATTGCTGGCCTAGAAATATGAATAATTAGTGATCCTACCCTATCTGCTCGCTCCCGTTATATGGATGTGCCTCCTAGCCTTCACACGTATTGCATACGATACGAATCGTATAAAAATGGTGAGTTGTGTGGGATGAAGATTTACGTTCCAGCGATGGGTTCCTAGTACGATATCAATCCTCCTGGACCTCGTCCCTCATGGGGATAACAGGGGAGAAAGGATAGCTGCCATTTGCACTATACTGCATATGCGCCAGTGCAGTGCTACCATCATACATCAATCATTTCCAACGTTGCGGCCATGCAGGGCGCTTGACAAAAAAGCACACACACACAATTCAACACCCTTAGTCATCGATTATGGATAGTCCTAATATTTCACTGTACAGGTGTGTACTCTGATCAAAAGCGACTTGGACACAGGTGTACAATTAAGGTCGGTTGACATCCCAAACAAATCCTGCGGCGAAAAAGTTATTAATCAGGCTGTGATTGCGCGGCCATATTTGTGCAGGACGATGTGCGCGCGCGACAAGCCAGTGGCGCCATTTATTCTCCAACTTCTACTCACTACGTACATACTTGTATGGACACGCTGTGCATCACACCAACTTGTGGATCCATTAAACCCCAATAAAATCAGGGGACAACAAACCATTGCATACGTGTGGCCAAGTTGCCATGATTCCCATCATTGTATTTTCGGATCGTAATGAGATTCAGTCGAATTTCCCTCACTCTCGGCCTCGTCGCACCTTACTCCAATTCCCCCCTTTCCGGGAATTCATGTGCAGAGGTCATTTGAGTGGTAACACGGCGCGGAACTGTGAGACCGTCAAATTGGAAATGGAAACGAGCTAAGCCGTCATGGAACGTTGTGGCTGGCTCTAGCTCTAGTCCAGTACTGGGAACCTGCCTAGCGGCCGGCGGGCAAATGTGAGCGGAATAACGTTAGCCTACTGAAGGTTTAGATGGTTGGGTTTGGGCATAACTGAGGAATATTCGAACAATTACGGGGGAGTGCAGAAGGATGAAGGAATTCGCGCGAACCTCAAGCTGGATATGACGACCTGGCTCGGACTGATCTCCCTACATGATAGCCATGCGGGGGCGAAGTTCAGGTTTGATGTAAGCTGGAAATACATTGTCTTTGGAAAAACGTAGTCCCAGAAACAACTAATTCGAACCAAACCACAACACATAAAAGAGCCGAAAAAAAAAAAAGATAACGCTAGCTACGAACAACGAGTTTCTTCTTCGTGGTTTTGTGTAGTAACAAACAAATACGCGACGCAACACAAAAAGTAACATTTGAGGTGATTAGAACGAAGGATTGTAAAGCGGAATATGTATGCGAAGGGTGGGCAGAAGTTTGATAGCAGTTGAGCAGGTATAAACGAAAGCTGGATAAGCACATTTTGTGTATGATGTGTGATGGATGATGGAAAGCGAGCGAGTCTGAAAGCGGGAAGGGAGGAAGAACGGAACGAGGAAAGAGCATACAAAGGAATGCTAACCATGGATGAACGAGAGGCAGGGTACGAAATGAGGAAAATCCAAAGACAGAATTCAAAGAACGAAAATGAGAACACAGACAACAGGAAATGCAGGAAGTAAGTCCGATCCAAAAGAGAAACTGTACGCCAAGGGGAGTAGGCGTAAGAACGAAGGGATAAAAAAAACAAACAAATGGAGACGCTTGGGGAGGTATTTGTTACTGGCAAGACGAAATAGATGGGCTTTAACGGGTTGATTAACAAAGGGTTTTCGGTAAGGTTGAAGAAATGGAGAAGAGAGAAGAGAGACGGAGATGATGGTGAAATGGAAGTCCGTTATAGCCCAAAAGACGAACGAACGAAAAAAAGGAGACCAGAAGGATCAGACATAAAAAATGGAGTAGCGCATACCCAGATGCGACTGCCAATAACGAAGAGAAGCAGCAGCATGACCACTCAAGGAGCGTGTCCCGCAATACCGTCCCCATTCCCACCTCCAACCCACTTGATAACCCTACTAAGCGTGTTATCCCTGTACCTCTTCAGCAAAGGGATCAACGACGTCCCACCAGTCCCCCTAACAGGGAGCCTTTCAACTTTCCTCCCTTCCACTCCATCCAAATCAATCATCCTCCCTTTCTCGTCAAAATCAAACCCAAAACAAACCCTCTGACTGTACCCTTTAGCACACGGATCGTTGGCGCCTCCTTTAGCTCTAGCAGGAACGATCACAAATTGAGTGACGATCCTGATATGAGCATCACGCCATTTCTTCAAAGAGGTGACACATGCGCTGTAGGCCTGAACGAGTTCAGGATGGGTGGAGGATCTCGCTTGAATAAAGGGACGGATCGTGTTGGCGGAGAGCATAGTGAGGTAGTTTTGATGGGCTTCAGTCATGTAACTTCTCATTCGGGCGTTGAATGAGGTATCGATTTGACCAGGTGATGAGGACTTCTCAACTGGGTGGAAACGGGGGGAAGCGGGTGGCGTCATGGCAGCGACGGGACACGTTGGGCAGGAGAGAGACGTCATCTCCGTCGAGTGAGAGAGCGTCTATATCAAGAGCAAGCTTTGAGACGGGTGGCGTCAGTGGCGGAGTTGGGGGGAAATGAGACGGAAGTATGAGGATCTTCTTCCAAGACGAGGTTGTTGTAGAACGGGTATTTGGCGAGTTGGGGGTGATGGGTGGGATGATGATGGGCGGGTGACCATCAGGAAGGACGGAACTAACACCTGTAACAGGGCACATAGCAGGAGTATCTGCGACAAGTTCAAGTTGCTTGTTATTCGGGTCGAGAGCGGAGTTGAATCGGGTACATCCTCCGCCCAATCCTTTCTTAGAGTGAGGGTGAGGTACATCCAAGAATGCTAAACAAAAGAAGATTGTCAGATTGACGTGACAAATTCCAAACGGGGCTAGAGGGGATCACTTGAAAAATGCCCAACTCACCATCGAAGGAATGCATGAGAGCGCTTTGACCCGCAGAGGGGCCCGAAGGCTGGAGAGTCAAGCCGAAGCCGTCAACTCCCTCGTAGTGCCAGCTAGGGGAATCCTCGCCTTGGTCGGCACCTTGGATCCACTGTCGACGATAGTCATGAGCGATCATCTCCGGAATAGAACCTGAAGTCACATACCGGCCTGAACTTGTTATAGAAGAAATCCGGGTCCAGACCGTCTCTCACCGCGAGAAGTATGGCTGTGATGTCATCCAAAGCCCCAGAAAGCCTGATCAGATCTCTCGTGACACTTTCCACATCAGGTTCTTCCATCTTTGCCTCCTGAACACACAAATCGATCGCGTCAAGAGCTTCCCAGCCTCTGACTTCAATCTTAGCAGACGTAAGAAAGAAATGTTCTTCCTGTTTCGATCCGGTGAACAAATCTGGAATGGTCATGTTCGTACGCGAAAGGGGCAAGGAAGGGTCTTTCAGGGCCCAGTTCCATAGGACTGTGTCCGCATAAGTGACGATGGGTGCAATGCCAAGTGTACGCGAGACTGAGATGAGTGGAATGGCGATGGGGGATGGGATGACGATCGGGTCGTCTTTGGTGAGGTGTGCGGCGCGTGGAGGCATAGAGTGGATGTAGAATTGAGCGAGGTAGGCGAGGACGTGGTGGGCCCGTCGGACTTTACGAACGTCTTGTCCCATTTCGGTGCAATCGAGTACTGGCATCTGTCGATCCATATCCGAACCCAATAAAACAGATCGGCAATGAAAAAAGAAGGAGGGCACAGTCAGGACTGCTGTCGATCGCGAAATGCCAAACGGCTACCGCGAAAATAATGATGAAGAACGTACGGTGATTACTCGTTTCCTCCACTTGGCGGTGTACTGCTTCTCTGTGGCGGTGGCGAGCCCCGAAGGACCGGGATTGACAAAATGACGTTTGGCATCGTCAAGCAGAACCTCCCATGGTCCGTAAGGATGGGGTAGACGGAGGAGAGGTGGTTCTGGAGGCATGAAGCCAGTGCGAGGATCCAGGTCATAGAGCGGAGATGCAAAGCCAGCCATGAGGAGAGATATTTCAGATGGAGTATTTGAGTGATTCTTATTGAGTGATGGGTGGTCACTGTGGGCGTCTGTAAGGGTGGAATAGGGTGAGAAGAGGAGGAAGGATAACGAGAAGGAGGAGGATGAGGAGGAGGGACGAGAGTAGGGCGGGACGAGGCATGGCGGTGGTTTTTTTGTTGGCGGCTTTATAGGGCTCGAGAAATGGATTTGGGATTGCCACTTGGGAATGGGATCATGGCGAGGAGAGGAAAGAGGTCCTAATTATCGATTGAATGTGTTATGTGTTGGATAAATGGGGGGATAAATATAATAAATAATCTAAGAGGAGTTAAAGCTTCCAACGACAAAAAAAAAATGAACCTCAATTCATTCTCCCCTTCAATTCAATCCAATCGGCGCAACAATTGTATTGTGACATCTCTTCAATTCAATTCATGCTCGGTTTCTATTCATTTCCCCATTTCAATAGGATTGTCCCATTCAATCCAACCCCAAATCAAAGCATCATTATGTATATTGAATTGGAATGGCAGCTGCCACCCCTTTCTAATTTAAAAATCAAATCAAAAGAAAAGGCACGTATCCGCCCCGGAAACATTCAAAGCGTCTGAATTTAATTGAGCAACACAAGAGAGATGCAACCATCATCAGGTTTACTGTAAAAACTTTGGTTGAAAAAGGATTTATTATTCTCCCCTTCGCGGTTTATGACGCTTTGACTCATTCAAACACCGCCATTACATACTTGCCACTGAATGCGGAAAGCAGCCACATGAAACTACTTTACCGTAAAATACTTCCGATGATGATTCCTTCCGGCCAAACAAAAGTACACACACACACAGTCCAACCCCCAATGCTGTGAGTGACATGCCCTATCAAGGGCCAACCGTTCAACTTCGGCATCATCTCACCTCCCTCATTACTCAATCGGAACTTGCCCTCCGGAGCCGAACGTCAGTCAGTCCGCTTGTTCACCACTTCCAACTCCCCCGACCGCTCGCACAGGTCCAGACACGGACGCATGGTCCTCCCCCTTATCGTGTACCACCTAAGCGCTTGTAAATCGGCTGGATTGTTATATCAGGCCTTCTTTATCTTCCGTGTGAAACATGACCCAACCGAAAAGTATCCTCACTACCATCTGTATGCATACAAACACAGGAGTCTAGCTTTTTGCTTGGATGTCGCACGCGGAGAAGTTGCATGTTGCCTCACCTATTTGAAATCCCCACCCTCGTTGCGATGGTCCTAATCGTCACGATACCATAGCATACATCATGTACCTTCCACGGGACTTCTTTCTGTCGTAGCAGACCCGTAAGGTGGACGGCATACACGCCAAGACCTACCCACAGGCACGAAATCGAGAATTAGCGCGTTTGTAACAGACTATTCCTAAACCCGCCCAACCGCCCGCTCGGTCGTCGCTCTCGGTCTCCGTGCTGTGCCATCAACTGTTACAGGATGTGTAATGGGCCAAAGCTACTTGCTAAAGCATACACTGCCTGAAATTGACTGAACAACGCGTTTACAAAGGCAAAACTGTCAAAGCGAGGAGCGAAACAACAGCTCCGCGTCTATTTACTGTTTATGTGGAATAATCTCGGGGATGATCCGTCCTGCGCATCGGCTGCGCTGTGGAGATCAACATCGCATGCATGGTTTCCAGCGCGGTCTGACACTCCGTTTCGCACTTCATACCTACGTCTCATCTATCCCACTTTGCTGTGCAACCTTCAAGTTACCTATCGTACCTGGCGGGCGCCGGACATAAACGTGTTATCATTCCCGCGCACAACCCCTACACAATCTGCGGCATCCCAAACCGACGCACACGATACCCATCCCCCCAAATTTCAATTCCGATCAAAATTAGCATTGACGGCACCAAGAACGTAAAAATTCACGCAAAATAACATACACGCGCGAGTATGCATATAACCGTGTAGGAGCTTGATCTTGATGTGCCCGGCTTGCATGTGGTACCTTTTGAATTATAGCGGTTACTGACTGCGGGTACCGATGCTCGGGGATGTATTGAATGAAGTGATCGGTCGTGTTTTTTGGAGGGGGGAAGAATTTTTCATCTTGCCTCCCATATGTACGTATAAACAGGGGATTTACGGTTATATCTATATCCCAAGGAGAAGGTGCCGATTCCGATGGAACAGTGAATTTCGGAAATGAAGGCTGATAATTTGCGTGCGCAAGGTTGGCATTGGTGGAAAGGGGGGAAAGGGAGGAAATAAGCGGCAGTTCACTGACCGACGTCCGATAACGCGCGGACGTTTACTTGTGCTAGCGATCAATTATGGATTGATTGTTTTGACTTGAAACTATGTAACCGCGCGCCGGCATCGGGTGGGGAAATCGGAAAACCCGGTTGGCTGTGAGCAGTAAGCTTCTTGTATCGCTGCACAGTGCGGCTTCCCTTTGGCGACGATACTTATCAAGCTTTGACATGTGCGGTGTTAGTACTGCATAATACTACCAGGAACCGGCAAGAAAATATCAAGGTGTCACGCGCCGGGTGTTACGCCTGGTTAACTTCGCTTACGCTCATGCCTTTCGGTGCACTAGGATAACGCTCAGCCATGGGTAGCACTCGTAATTTGAAAACAATATAACACATGCCCGTCAGTTCTATGACTTATGTCCGCAGATATACAATACACATGGCAGGATGGCAACTTTCACAGGGATATCAAATCACTCACAAACCCCTACGTATGCCCAACCTATCATACGTGCCATCACACGCGTGGAACAATACAATCATCCCTTTGTACGGTAGGTCCCAGCGCTTGGGTCTGTTTGGGTGAGTTCAGTTATTGAAACTTATTGTGAATACAACTCATGATGGATAAGACATACTGCATGGGCCCACGATGCGGTCTAATGAACCATCCCCGAAGTCTCAACGGCTGCCAGTCTCCAGATACTTACGCTCGGTTTGGGCGTGTGATAGGCGATGGCGGTTGTAAGTTCCTATCTCATCGGGCTAGCGGTTGTTCAACGGTACCCGGAAAGCTAGCACCCATGACCAGATCTTGGGCTCCTAATTCGAGTTATCGAACTAGCAAGCGCGTATGCCTACAAACTACATAGTAGGTTCCTTCTACCGACTCCTTACCGAATCAATATATTGATTCCGAATCGAGATCGAATTCAGTCCACTTCGTGGTGCGTGACGAAAGCGGGCGCCCTGAGATGTAGATCATGATCAACCCTCGAGATTGAACACGAACATATCGTTTCATTCCCTTACTCACACAATCCCGCCGAATCGTCAAAGTGCAACTTAAGAGGTACCTAGCTAGAAGGTGCAGGGACAGTACGACTCCGGTTCCTACACCTACCCTACCCTAACCATTCAATGCTGTCTAAGTAGCATTGAGCGGTCTCCTGTTTTTTTTTTTCGAGTGAGATCTCAATTCACCGCCTAACTATGAGTTGAATAACCTCCCCCGTTCAGTATACGTTTGTTGAAGGGAGTTTATGGTGGTAACACTGGTACCCGTGCAAATCAGAACTCGATTTGAACAAAAGACGAGTGTGCATCACGGTTAGTACTAGTGCTGAAATTGGAGCGGTTACGGGTACCGGGTACCAGCAGTACCAGAATCAGTACATGCGCGCGTAGAGTTGAGGGTGGAAGGTGGAAATTCAGCGCTGATTATAAGGAGATACCTCCTCTTTTTTTTTTTTGTCTTACCCTGCACAATATGTTCCGTTGCATGATGGGTTGGGTTTCGGTTGGATGGATTTGGTCAAAGTGTTTGAAATGTCAAGTCAGCTTGGGGAAAGCTGCCGGCGAACTTTGTTGTTATTCTTGGTGTTGCATGTGGGGGGGGGAAGTGCATGACATCCCCGCAACTCAAAAGAAGCAGATGTTTGATTCGGACAACGGGGGTTGTTGCACGGGGAATTGGGGAGGAGGAGGGGTGTGGGGGGGGGGAATGGAAGTCTTGCACATGGACGCCATCACACTACCGTCATGATATGTCAAGAATTGGGTATGCGCGGTGAGGGAGGTGTTAATTGCGGCTTCGAATGCACGTAATTACATTTGGAAGGTGTCATGACCTCGAATGTCATGCATACCATACTAGTTATTTCATAGAAGTAGATCGCTTCGTTCGGGGAGGGAAAGGTCCTTCTGGAAGCTCGTAGAAAGGTAGAAGGGTCGAATATCCGCTTCTGTACGTACTTGGTGAGTTGACCCAACTTTGGGGGACTTCGAAATGGTGTTGGAGCCACGTCACGAGTGATCTGGGGGGGGTCTGGTTCATCCATGTTACATTGCCAATCCATCAACAACTAGACCGTTGGGTGCGCGGCTACACGGCCGGTATACCAAGGCTTGTTTCACCCGTACCGTTGGGTATGCACAACGGCAATGTGATTTTCCCTGTACTTTTGGAGATAATATATATATCGTCCCAGAACGAAAACCAGAACAAAAAAAAAATTCGGGAGAGCGAGATATTGGATTCCCGGGACCTTTTTTCATTATTGTCATAGCTGACGTCTAGAGAAACGCCCATATGGTCTTGAGTTAGATGTGCCTGATGATCAAAAATTGGCGTTGACAAGCCTGAAGCTGGCCAGGCTCCTGGGCCCATTAATTCAGTTAACAATAGCTTGATTGGAATGCACACATACAAGTGAGCGGAGGAATATTTGTGCAGGGAATTATGGATCAGAATTAAACGGTTCGGACTGATGAACGATCAGTACTGGAATGATCCAAGATCATATCATGATTCATCAGCGTGGTGGTTACGCTAGGGTGGTTTGTAATTGTAGCCAGTATTGTTGTATCGTTCAGGAGCGCTACATCCTTTCGCCTGGCGAGTATGTAAGATCCAACGCATGATACGTTGAAAAGGGTAATCGTTTTTGCCAGGACGGGGGTCACATCGAGGCGGCGTCTTCGGCCTGCTCATGCTTCAATTTCGGGGACCCGCTTAACGGTGCCCGTGCCTTGCGTTGGCCGTCATATGCACAGGGTTAGATGACTCTGGCTGAGGCCTCAGGCTTGCGTCTTGTGACCTTCGGACAAGTGACTCCGTCGCTCGTCATGGCCTATATTGAAGCTCCATGGCAACCGCAACGACTCTGCTTCACGGAGAGACTAATAGGTGTGCCCATAGGCCGTCATAAGGGCTGACGGAGAAGTCTCTCTCGGCCATGACATTATTGTACATCCTCGGGTCGAAGCAGGCTGCGTGTTTGACTTCTGGCCCTCTCGTGGTGCTTGACGAAAAGTCTAGAACGACCTAGAACACGTTAAAGTTTCCTTCATCTGAAGGTCGTGCACGGCCCCGTCATTGGAGGATTGCCGCAACCCGCCGTTCGGCACGGACGGTGTGGATCTAGGCTGGGCCTTTACGGTACGTAGCACACAGATTCCTGCAGATGTTCTCCCGAGTAAGCCCTTTGATTGGCCGCGCTTCGTCAAGTACAAGCGTCTAAGGTATGATAAACCTCAGCTGAACCATTAGTCCATGGAGCCAGTAGCCATGCAAAAACCATTGCCAGCTACAGTAATATCAGTCATTCCCTCTCAGACGTCTCTTTCGCTGATCAGATATGATCACGATGTCAGGAGGGCGCTTTTGTTTCTCCTGGCCGAGGAGAAGGTCTGCTATGGGGCAGGAAGAAAGGCGATTCGCCTTCCGTGATTGTAAATTGAAGCCGCATTAATGAACTGCGGTTCATCTTCCCGTGCCACGTATCCCGGCCATCCACCCTGTTTAGTAGCCACCCGCTCGTAACAACTGAGCCCCCCTTCGCCCAGCTTACCGTGCGTTTGCGAATATACCTGCAAATTTCAATCTCAAACAATGTTACTCATGTGCGGATGGCGGGAAGATCGCGGTCCCTCAATTAGTCAGCCTTATTTTTTCGCACGGGCGCGTGCACCCACGGACTTCTTGTTTTGCATTTGCAAGGCTCCCGCTAACTCGGACAAGCTAGACGGATGTTTGCACTTCTACGCGATGGCAGAGCAGATTTGCTTCTCAGATCGAGAGCCGTATTATAGATTTATGAAATAATTGTTGGGCACACTTGGGGCCTAGAATTAATAGGGTCGGCAGTTATCGAATACTCGTGCATTTTTTCATTGCATGCAGCCCTTAATTGCCGCAAATGGCATCTTGCGTGCCCTGTCTGGGTTTGGCAGAAGGACCGGGCTCACGCATTTCACACTTGTAGGTGAGAGACGAAGTCCAATCCCAAACTGTGCAGTCGATAGATAAAAACCGATGGATCTGAGATAAATAGTAAATCTCGTGCTCTTAGAACCCTGCTGATGACACGATACTATACAGACTTCCAATGCACGAAACTAATATACGATCAAGTGAGTGCTTCTTCCGACTGGCTTCTTAACCCTCATGTTTCTTCGCTGACATGTCGAGTCCGAGGACCTGGAAATTGTTCGAGTCGTTAACCAATACGCATGATCAGCCCAACTTATCGATCTTGTGCGCTTTGTGGCTTTCGTGTTTGTATTTTTTTTTCGGGTAGCTTCCTAGGATGGGATATTCGTCCCTCTGTTCACTGAACAGCCGCACCGAAGCCGTTCGATCCGAGTTCTTGAGAGATGTTGGTCCCATGGAGGTTACGTGCTGCAATTTTTGTTCGGATGAAGATTGACCGGAATGTCCTTTCGGCAAATTTCTCCGCAGGTGTTGGGTCACATCTCGTTGGAGAACTTTCTTATTCAAAGTGACAGGTTACATCGGTGGGTTGCCAGACTGGATGTTTTCCTTGATTGACTAACGATACAAAGCGTTCCTACAAAAGACGCTAAGCAAGCAGTGTGCCGTTTTGCAAGACCAAAGAGACGTGGAGGGAGATACGAGGCAACAATTGTTGTACAACCAAGGTTGTGACATCTGTCGGCATGAGAAGAGGGCTGCTGGAAATTTGAGAAAAGTACCCAGTGTCATTGACAAGTTGGCCAAACGAAAGGAACAGGTGTTGGAAAAGATCAGCGAGGATCCTTATAACGGCGTTAGCTGGAAGGTAGGACCGTGGAAAGTCAAAGGGTTGTAACAATGAATATTGAAAGAGGGTGGGAGGAGGAACGTCCAGTGTAGGTGGGATTGAATGAATGGATGCGGCGTCCAATTTTGATGGACAATAGAGACGCGAGCTTGTTATGGTCCCTATTATGCCTTTTATTTACCCGTCGATGCTCAATTTTAGAATTTGACCTAGGCGCACAGGCTGGGTGCCGCATGCACGACCGTGTTGAGCCTTTGAAACGGGGGTTGATGCATCGTTCGAGGCATTCGGTGGATCCGACGTAAGGTTGTGTTGGGGATGTTGGTCAATGGGCGGAGTCTCGGATGTGTAGAAACCTTGATATACGAAGTGGGTGAATTGGAAGGTCTGAGTCCGCCATCACTAGAAATTTCAACTTGTGGGGTTCGGTTCGGAGAGCCGAACCGAAGGTCCTAAGTCGCAAACGCGATAACAGGTTCGCTCACACTCTGGTACAGTTTGAAGAGTTGAAGGAATGATTGCGTTCGGGCTCGAACCAATTGTCAAGTTGACGCTCCATGACCAATTCGGTTCGGCTCCGAACCGAACTACGGCATCCCGAGCATGTATGAAGCTGGCCAGGCACATGAGGGAGTTAGAAGGACGACAGGGGGGATGGATCACAGTGTAAATTGCTGCAAGGTGACCCCTGAGAGTGCCAACAGATTAAATAATCTCAAGTTATTTTGTGCCACCCAGTATGGTCCAGATGTGAGATAAGATACTAATCGTTGCAAGATGGATAGAGAAAGCTTAAATTGTTGGGCGATGAGATCGACGCAGTATCGGGCGTTGATCTCGGTGCAACGGTAGGATCGAGGTTGGTGGCTAGGCGCTTTGTGCCTACATCCATTATTTTCTCACAACTGACGTTTATGGAACAAAGTCCATCCATTTATTCGGCATTTTTTTTGCCCGACGCCCCCACATAAAGTGGGAGCGCTGTGGCACCGTCGACATGGGTTAAAACTCTCAAGCGCTGGATTGAATCCAAAGAGCCCGGGAAGTGAGCCGGCTCCGTCGTTCAGGATGCATGGCTACGTCAGGAATGACACAATTAATTACTGCACACAATATTCAGATAGTGGTGCAGGTACCGCACGCTCCCAGTAGCCTGAACGACGGTGATAATCGCAGGAGTCCGTCCTACTTTCCTTGGTCAATGGAAGCGCGTGCGCGAAAGAATGGATGTGTTGAGATACAGTCATGAATTTCGACTCTCCTCCACCTATCATGCTATCCGTTTGAAGTCCCAGAAACAAGTGGGGGGCGATGCCCCATAAGAGTGTAAATCGGAAATGATTGGATACTGCTGAAGACAGCGGAGAGCTGTGCGACTCATCATGTAGCCCCTGACACGAGGGAAATCCCGGTATTTTCGGGGCTCCCCAACGTGAAACTTATTCCAAACCAGCATTGTCCCCGAAGGCCGAGATGTTGTGGTCGGGAAAAGTCTGAGGCCTGGCTATGCGTCGGATGCAAACTGGCATCTCAAGCTTCCTTCTACTTCTCATTCCACCATACCGCTCCAGATGCAACTTTCCTAAGGCGTCCTTTTGCACCGTTGACCTCGTTTGTAGCTTTTGTTAGACCAATACGCCTCATATTGGTTAGTTTTCTGTCCTGTTGAGTACTTGCATCGGAGTCTTGCGGCGTTCCATCTCAAGATTCACAAAGTTACCTTTTGCCGTATTCACTCTCTCAGAGGCCGGGATTGACCCTTCGCAACAAAGCGGAAGACTTATGCCAGATATCTCTTCGGCCAGCACCATGATTGCTTCGCGACCTCCCTTCAATTCCGATTCGCCTCCATCGATCGCTATGCGTGGTGTTGGGGTCACAAGCGACCTTGCTCAAGTCCAGCGAACGCTCACGTCCCAACAGTCGAAGCCTTCTCTGACGTCGAGTAGCACGTCCGATTTAGGGGCTAGCGCTGATTCCCAGCCAGGGATAGGCCCTTCAACAACTACCGTCAACGACGAGTCTGAGGTTCCCGATGGGGCCATAATTGACGCACTCAAGAATGCAAAGGAAAGACTGTTTGTTCTACGGATCGGAGAGCAGATGGAGAACCTAATTCAAGAGCGGGCGTGAGTTGGTCTTAGCCTGTGAGAGAGTCGTTGCCACCAGCGCTAAAAAATTGCCAAACCTTCCAGGAAACCTTCCTTTGAGATATCGCCCTCAACTTCCTATCAGCGCATGCTGGTGCATAGATCGGCACAATATTACAAGCTTTCTCAGGAGACTGATGTCCAAACGAAGGCCATTGTTGTTGGTATCACTTCGGATTCAAGAATGTTCGTGTGCCTATTTTTCTTCGCCCCATTGTCCCCATTTTGACATTCGGAGATAACGTAGACCATCGCTTCGTATGGCGGAGATTGTACCGGTCGAGAACGCACCCGCTCCAGCCTTCAAAATTATGCGCCGATCAGCCAATGATCGACCGGTACCACGGAAAGCCCTCTCGAATTCTGGGGAAGGCGAGTCAGATGACGGACAAGGTTCTGAGGCGGGAAGCTCCATAAAATCCGTGGGTTTAGCCCAGAGGAAGAAGCAACACATGACAATTGCTGAGCGTGAGGCTGCTTACAACGAAGCACGATCACGAATCTTCCTTAGTGAAACCCCCGTTGCCAGCGCTGCAAGTTCGAGTACCCAGAGTTTGAACAGCACCCCTGTTACTGGCGACAGCACTGCCAGCGTTACGAGCGACGATGTGGGTCCAGCAACTCCTTCCGAGACATTCGTGCCTAAAGGAAATCAGAAGAAGCGTCACAACCCCAGTAAGGAACGGAGGAATGAGTCTCAACGGGCGTCACCGAAAACTCCGTATGATGTGGGTGACGATTCAGATTTCAATCGTAACGCCTTCACCTATCCATCTCTGTACGAGCCCTCGGCATCCGTGGCTACGCCTTTCGACCCATTGCAGTATATGGGAGCCGCGCAGGCACCGCCTCAAGCTAATGAAAACGGGCCTGTCCCAATGGCTTATCCTTCGTATCCGCCATTTGCTGGTTACCCTGCCCCATACATGGCACACTATCCTTTCTACCCGTATGACCCACGACAGTTTCCTTACCATCTTCCGCAGCCAAATAGCGACGCCCATAACACAGCTATTCCACCGCCAAATGCACCTCAGAATGGGCCATCGTACCCCGTGTATCCTCCCGGCGGACCCTGGTATCCTCCTCCAGGGCAAGTGATGCCACCGCCACTTGGGGTACCCGTTCCCACAAATACGAATAGTCCCCGGATGGGACTACCTGTACCCACCGGCCCATCCAACCCATCTCAGTTTCCAATATATCCGCCAGGACAACCATATTACTTCACACCGCCACCTCAGCAACACGGAAGTCCCCTCACTGAAAGTCCTATCCAGCAGCATCCGACCCCCTCAATGATGCCCCCATTCACTCCTCCACGGGATAATGGCTTCCAAACCCGTGCTCAACCCATGTCTAGAACTTCGTCTCGTGGCAGCATCCAGAATTCACCTGGTGGGGTGGGTTCTCGGTTAAGGCTTGGCACGGGGAGTATTGGTCTGGGAACTGCGCCCCTAGTGAGGCAACCGTGGATTCACAGTCCAGGGATGAGCGTGCCCATGAGGAGTGATAAGAGGAAAGGACCTTCGAGCGGTTCGAGGGCTGGATCTGTTTCTAGTCGATCAGGTTCTGGAGGGGCGATGACTCCCGCAGATGAGACAGGGTCAATTGCTGTAATGTTCTTGCATTAGCATCTGTCATTCGGGAACTAATCTTCATTTTTAGTCGTCGGAGACTTCATCATCATCATCAAGAAAAACATATACTTCAACAGCTTCTTCTGTTCATCCACTGCCGCCCCGTCCTGATTGGGCCATTGGGCTCACACCCCCACGGTCACACAGTAGCCACAGCAGGAATTCCAGCTCCTCGAACTCTACCTCCGCCCTTCAATCCATCTCTGACTTCCCTCCGCTCCCGTCTGGAGGGATTGTTCAAAGTGTGACGACGCTCGCAGGAAGCAAGGCATCAGAGCCTGGCGTATCCAACGTAGTGATCACTGCGGGCGTAACGCCTATCTCTAAGGGCGTGTGGAAATCGCCGTTGGTAAACCGGCCACTTCTACTGCCGAGCGTCCAGCCAGATCCAACTCCCATGCAACAGTCCCTGCAATCGCCTCAGCAGCACACGCAGCACTCACCGCATCCATCCAATGGCGTTTCGGGTGCGGTACATTTGGGGGTGGGAATGACACTCCCCCCTTTGACTTTTCCCCCTCCCAACCGCACGTTTAACCCTGGATCTGTCCCCAATCTTCCTCAGCCTCCAATCAATCATTCCACTGCATTTCGACAGTTCCCGGGTTTGCACACTCGGCTTGACGAGCACGACGGCTCGTTTAACAGACCCCCTCCGAAATCGGTGGAATTATTCAACCCCAAGGGTGGCAACCAGCCGAAGAGGACACCAGGTGCCACACCGCCACATCCTGTGACCCCGCCGGTGACCCAACCGACGCCAGAAAGTTGCGACGGGGGTAAGGATTCTGTCGTCAACGTGCCGGTGCTGAACAGAGGATCCGTCAATACTGAAACTGAAGACCGGATCCGGGGGGAAGCGGTCGCAAATGCGATACTTGTGGATAAGCTCGCCGATCTTGAGATCGGGTTTGACAAGGATTCGAACTCAACGATAGGGAATGATGGCAAGGGAACCGATAGACCTCTAACTTTCAGCTCAACTTCGTCTCTTCTCGAAATTTCAAATACCGAATTTCCGAAAGATACAATCAGCACTGTTGCACTAGCCCCACCCATGGCCGTCGCTATGAGTGACTGATTCCAACTGTGCATAATGCATGTGTGGCCCCCCGGTTTAGAGGTTGGGGAAGCATTACACGGGTCCAGTAGAATGCCTGGGGACATTAGGCGCTTAATACTCGTTGCTTTCATCAGTAGTTAGTTGTTTTTCTGCCGCATTATTATTGTTGTTCATTTCTTGTAAACTTTGTGCTTTTGTCATGGGGTGATGTTGAAACTATCATGTTGATGAAATTCTTGGCGGCTTTGATTGATGCTGGGGAGCAAAATCAACCCCAAGCAAGAACCATAAAAACACCATTCTACACCGTAAGTACAACTCTGTGGTCCCTTTAGCTAACCCTACACAAGAAATGATTTGATATGCGGCCCCGGCTCTTCGTTACGGGAGACTGTCCATATGTTATATGTCAGGCTAGATATGTTTGCTTGTTAGCCTGAAATAGAATCAACAATCAAGTAGCACGTACCAAAAGACGAAGATAACGAAACCATAAATGGTGAGTCCAACAGAAGCCCATTTAAGTCTCCGGGGATGATCGGGTCGAGTGCCGAAAAGCTGCCATGAACAGATGGAGATTCGTTGATGCGCACTCGAGAAGAAAAGATAGGTTTACCTTATAGTAGAACAGACCTGGGAGAATGAGGGTTATGGTTGTAGAGCCCGTAGATCCAACGAAAGACAGCACTGATAACAGCCATCGATCAGCCACGGCCCACGGTGAAGGAACGAACCATAATCAGTGGACACACCCATTTGAAGGTTATCTACAAAGTACGCGATCGTGAAACCAGCGATGATGATTCCGCTAGTCAGGACTACGTGCTTAAGCTCAGACATATTTGTAGCTGGTCCATGAACGGACACGTCGTCGTCATCTTCGTCCGGAAGGGCGAGGGCCTTGTGGGATATGATGACTCGGAGCCGAAGACTTTATCAAGGCAGTTCCGGCAAGGGTGGACCTGGAGGGGTAAGAGAATAGGATAAGAACGACGATGGCGAACTGGCCGAGGGCGATGAAGAGTGTCGTAGATGGATACATGGCTACGATGTCCGGTCCGACCTGCGCAAATGGTCCAAATTCAGCTGCAACCTTGGAAGTCGAGAGCATCTAGGTGCGTACGTTGGAACCGAAGGTAATATACCCGAGAATACCAACTACTTCATACGTGACCATTGCACCCCCAATGGAAGAACCGATGACGAAATTCATCCGTTCTTGAGTATTCGAGGCGAGTTCATTATATATAGGAAACAGCTGTTGTCAAAAAGTTAGGAATGCGGATGATTAACGTGATTTGAAGAAAAACAAACATTCTGTGCACATGTGAAGGCGAAGACTTGGACCGGAAAATTCGAGATAAATGAAGGCGTAAAATGAACGAGGTGCCATTCCCCAGGTTCTGCGCTTCCTTCCGGCGGTCTAAAGTGGCACGCGACCACGATGATAACCACATAAACTTATCGTGCGTTTTGTCCGTCAGAGATGTGACATTCCGGAAATGAAGGAAGAGCCCTCACCGACAGAGAAGAGGGCGACATAGCTCGTGTGTCGCAAACTATCTAACCGCTTGAGGAAGCATAGGGGGACGAGAATAGACATTAATACTGTAATCCAAAAATGTCCGGAGACGATCCACCAAGGCAACTCCGATTTAGAGTGTGACACATAATGCAGAGAACGAACGACGGATGGCATCAACCCTTTGATAATAATTAAATAACTACGAGTATGGGATATCGATTGGCATGCCAAGATGTGAATGAAAGGTAAGGGGAAAAACCATACCTAATTGAAACACCGAAACACTTAATTGCAATAGCGGCATCGATGAGGACGGAAAACGAAGGATATGTAAGCTGTGCGACAGCGAAGAAGGAAGATCGTCGTGGTGGACACTGAGCGGCGCATCGACTGAGGAACCACAACCCGAGTCCGGCAGTGGCGCCGGAGAATACGCATGTGAAGATACCGGGAATGAGTCCACCTGAAGCCATAGCCTATAAATTTTATTGAATTTTTAGCCCATAAATGATAGGGGAAACTATCCATTGGTCATACCATAGGGAATGCAAGCAGGCCAGTTCCAAGGAGAGTGTTGCTCAGGTTTCCAATACAGCCCGCCATCTGGGCGGTCCCATCTAATACTCCTTTCTGAATAACTTCTTCGTCTGGTGACGACCTACTGGAACTTGCAAGCAAAGGAGTTCGGGAATTTGTAACATTATCAAGAGTCGCAGGATCTTGGCGTGTAGTTTCTATCGCGCCATAAATTGGGGGCATTTCGGTTTAACCGTAACTAGCTCCCCGTTTGTAACACTCTTAAAGAATGGAGCGAAAAATAACTGGGATGGTAGCCGGAGAGGAGGAACAGGGGTGTGGTTGCAGCGGCCCTGAAGGGACTCGGATTGGTTCGGTGCGGCTGTGTTGGAGCAGGGTGAGTCACGTTACTTCCTACCCTTAGTGGCCGTCCTCAGCGCGTGCGCTCTGCCTGCTCCTTTCATTGATATCTACCTTGAGAGTGTGACATCGAGGATGGCGCCCGTTGACATGGAATATTATGATCTGGTGGGTGGTTTTTATCTGTCATCCTACCTTCTATCACTCTGGATTTACCTCCATTGCGTAACACGCCCATTCAATGGATCAGTTAGGCGTCAAGGCTGACGTCGGTGACGCCGAACTAAAGAAGGCGTATCGCAAGATGGCCATACGGTACCATCCGGATAAGAACCCGTCTCCAGATGCCGAAGAGATGTTCAAAGAAATTTCAAAAGCGTATCAGATTCTTTCCGATCCCGTGAGTGCACTGCGGATTGTGATTTCATGATTCCAACCAGATGGGTGGGTTTTGAAAGAATTTACGAGCCTCTTATGACAAGAATGGAAAGAAAATGGTGCATCTATTCGAATTGCTATACTGGGTTTGCTCAACTGACACTTCGCGTTACGCCTACCAGGCCGACCAGATAAATCCTACCGATGACACTCAGGGATTCTTTGCCAGTGTCTTTGGTGGAGACGCTTTCGAGGATTTGGTGCGATTGCCTCCGTCGCCTCTTATATTCTAAACTCATCGTTCACCTTAGATAGGGAAAATATCTCTCCTTTCTAACATGAGTGCGAAAGCAGAGGTGCTCATGACGGACGAGGAGCGTGAGGCATTTGAGGCTGAAAGAAACGCTGCTTCTGGATCGCCGAAACCTCCAGAACCTAGCCCACCGACGAACGAGACCCGTCCAAGTAATCTGCTGGATCCTGCATCGACTGCTGCTGGTGCTGCAAGAATGAGCTTAGCACCTGAACTAGTTCCTAAACCTGGGACGCCATCGTCTGATGCTTCTAGATCTCCAGAGAAACCTTCGACTGAAGGGAGAGTGAAGGATAAGAAAGAGCGAGCGAAGGCGAGGGCCGAGCAGAGGGAGAAGCTGACGAAACTGGAAGAAGAGAATCAAAAGGCTTTGGAAGAGCGGTGAGCTTATTATCTACTATGTTCCTTTTGGATGTTGCTCACGATTGGGCTGTCAAGTGTTACAATATTGTCGCAGAAGCTCCTGGATCGTCTGCGACCTTTCTTAGAGCTACAGAACCCGGATGATGTGAACGACCCAGGGAGGCGTGCCTTTGAAGAGAAAATCCGAAAAGAGGCTGATGACTTGAAATACGAGAGCTTTGGCGTCGAGGTGAGTAAGTGGGATCACTAGGTGAATCGGAAAGCTCAGGGTCTTTGTTGCAAAGCTCCTGCACACTATCGGTGGGTCCGGATCATCTGGATGCCATCAATCGGTTAAGTTCCATGCACAGGCAACGTTTACCTCATGAAAGCTACCTCTTATTTCAAGTCAAAGAAGTTCCTTGGGATACCTGGTTTCTTCTCTAAATTGAAGGACGTAGGTTCTACTGTAAAGGATTTCTGGGGGTTGGCCTCAGGTGCACATTCCGTGATGAAGGTGAGTCAATCACCAGGGGTAATTGCGCCCATTGGGTTGACCCCTTCTCCGGTTACTCTAGGATATGACCAAGATTCAAAATGGTCAGCTACCCGAAGAAGACCTACGCGCCCTCGAGGCTGATTTGACCGGAAAGGTGCGGTTATTACCTAAGTAGACGATCACTATTTCATACGCAACGATGTGTAGATCCTTCTCATCTCATGGCAAGGTACTCGATTCGAAGTCTCCCAAGTACTGAGACAGGTGATCGACCGAACTCTGAAGCACAATAATGGAGTGTCGGAGGAAGAACTCCTTCGACGTGCAAAGGTACGGGGGGGACCGGCGGAGCAAGATCACGTGTGACCATTGATTGCATGTACAGGGCATTTTTCTTCTTGGGGCGATTTACAAGTCAATTGAACCCGACGAACCGGCTGAAGAAAGGCGGGAACTGGAGCGGTACGCGTTCTACCATTGGATGGATCTGATCCGCGTCAACTAATGTCCGATCGATACTCTTGTTTTTCGTTTTGCTACTCACAACATAGTCTCGTTGCTGAAGCTGCAAAGCCGAAGAAGAAAGTCAAGAAATCCAAGCGTAAGGCACAAGAAGCGCGAGAGACGCCAGCAGCACCAGCCACAGTTACTCATGACTGAATTTGCGGCATGCAGTGCCAAGAACACCACAGATGCCCCCGCTCGGCTACTGCACCATCTGACTAATGTACATATTCCAATTTCTCACTGCTTTTCCTTCTGATCGTACTCTACGTACACTGGCGGCCGATGATTGTTCCCTTGGATAATAACAATTATAATAGTAATATCGCTGCTTGTGGTTATCACTTCCTATGAGCAATGTCGGCAGTGAGTACCGCCAAAGTTGTGATCCTCACCCGATCCGATACCTGAAATTTACATCCGGGAGGACCGTCGCAGTCAAAGTCAATTTGTGAATATCGACTTTCAGTTTCCTAATAAAATGCCTGTCCAAGGTCAACCTCATCCTTCAAAGGTGCTTGTACCCCCCTCACCCAAAGATCCTTCGGCGACCGACCTTTAATCAGAGAAATGTCTAATTGTGGTGCGGTCAACAATTCCAATAGCCATACGGGCTTGAGGATTGGCGCCATCTTCATTCTACTTGCAACCTCCCTCTTTGGTACCCTCTTCCCAGTCGTGACCAAGAGGGTCTGGAAAATCCCCGTCGTTGCATTTGACTTTGTCAAATATTTCGGTTCAGGTGTCATTGTAAGTCCCCACGCCGTCCCCAAATCCCCCTTTGGTACCCGGCCACTGACATCGGAATGACGACTTCGCCGCCAATAAAAACCTTAGATTGCCACCGCCTTTATACACCTTCTTGCTCCTGCTTTCGCGGAGCTCGGTTCGCAGTGTGTTACAGGCACATGGCAAGATTATCCCTTTGCGTCCGCCTTTGCAATGGCCTCCGTCTTCGGCCTGTTCTTCGCCGAGCTGTTTGCCTTCCGACTAGGCTCTAGCATTCTCGCAAGGATGGGAATGAGTTATGGTGAGTTTTTTGACGGATCCTCAGATTCTTGTGTTACCGTCCGACGAATCTGGTCGTTTCTGACGCCCCTAGACATTCATGCTGGACCCATATCGCACTCGCACGTCCAATCAGGTCGGGATCATTCCCATGCTGGAGCAACGAGCATAGAAGTTCAGCAGAACCCGAGTGCAACTGAGAAGCCACAGGAGGGGTCCCGCAATGAATCTTCAATCGAGGATCTGTCTGCACCAGTCGAAAGCAATTCTGATGTGCTCGCTCAACTCGTTGGAGTGGCCATCCTGGAGTTTGGTGTTATATTCCACTCCATTATTATCGGCCTCACCCTTGCCGTTAATGAGGATTTTAAAACCCTTTTTGTAGTGATCGTCTTCCATCGTATGTGATCATTTCCAGTTTACCAGTTGCTCGGCTCTTCATAATCATATTTAATTAGAAATGTTCGAGGGCCTTGGTTTGGGCTCGCGATTAGCATACCTCGCTCTCCCGAAATCATACAACTGGGTACCTTACATTGGTGGTATAACCTACTCCATCGCTACCCCCATTGGAACCGCAATTGGGCTCGGTGTTCGTTCAACGTACAATCCAGATAGCATGAAAGCCAGTCTCATCACTGGCACACTGGACTCTATATCAGCGGGAATCTTACTGTACACTGGTCTTGTTGAGGTACGTCTTCCTTGCTCAAGATGTGAGAATGTGATGGAGATACGTTTTGAATCATCAGCTATTGGCTCACGAGTTCTTGTTCAACCCGCGGATGCACAACGCCCCTATAGGTAAAGTCCTTTATGCCGGCGTCTGTATCCTGTTAGGCGCTGGAATCATGGCCCTTCTTGGACGGTGGGCATAAGGTTTCATTCCCTTCCGTGCTCTGTGCTCTGTAGTATGTACTAGTACTTCAATGTATGTTCAGCGTTCTTCCCCGCAATGCATGTATTGGATCCCCTGTTGGTGTTCTTTAAACCCCCGTGATATTGAATGAACCACTACATATCACATCCCAATTCTCGGAAGATCGTGACTTTTAGGGATCGTTGTACGAAGCCCGAAGTGGAAAATGCCGAACTGCGCCACCGGATTCAGCTGAAAGTCGATCCCCCTCGTGTCGCGAGGGTCATCTTATGCGCTCGCCGGCGAAGCCCTTACCTTACCTTCCATCTGGACCGGCTGTTCCGGAGAGTGGTGTACCACCATTAACCCCTCAAGCTCATGACCACCTCCGAAAAGTGATAGCACGAGGCGTGGAAGACGAAGACCTGCCAACGTCATGGGTCTCTCTAGTCTTGCATGCCGTCTTGGAAATGGGAAAGACAGTGGCGAGTGAGACTTCTCTCGAAGGTGTGAGACGAATGAAACTCTTGAATCGTCGTGTCGTGAGAGACCTAGAGATTGGAGCGGGTGTGGCGGTCGGCTCCGGAAATGCCAAGCCCGGAGAAAAGGGCCTGAAGGAGATGGGAAGATCACAGGAGATCGGCTCGCTGCTCCCGAGGAGTATCATTATCAGGGAATTCGGCCTCGCTCTCCGTTTCGCTCAAGGGGGGTGGGGGTGAAGGACCACAATGGCGAAGAGGATATTCAGGGGCTCCTTGCATTACACGAGAGAGTCTCACACTCGGCCGCTTCTTCATCTTCGCCTTCCATGCACCATTTGCTTATTACTCTTGCTCCCCTGACTGTTTTCTCTCATTATTCATTGGTGGGACGACCGGCGTGCACGTTTCATGCTAACAGGTTTGAACTTCCTCAATTTGAGTCCCTTTCGAAGGGTTGGTTCGGGACAGGTGCCGTCGATATTACCGGCATCGAATCGTGGAAAAGTACGCTTTTTATGAATTTTCCATGATGCTAAATCTGAGGTTTCAATCATAACCCCTCCTAGCACTCTATCGTCGGAGTCTAAACTCTGGGTCAGATATCCGTTTAGAGGATGTTCATGTCATAGGCGGATGCTTCTCTGTGTCTCACCTTTCATCAGAAGTCTATGATTCGCTGGTCAAAGTTCTGCGTCTCTCCGTAAGTTTAGGTCTCCTGTCATCTTTGTTTTCGAAAAAATAAATCACTGGATTTTTCAGGTATACACATATCTATCCATCCTCATCGAGCTTAGCTTCCTCCGCGACAGTGGTGTCAAGCTCGAATACGTTTTATCACCACCCCTTCCCTCCATTCCTCTGCCTCCTGTCGAACCTATCCCAAAAGGCCGCCTTCACCTGATAGCACACACGAAGGAAATCTCACGGCGGGGGCTATGGTCTTTCATCACCAAGAAGACGGCCGACTTTAGGAACTTAAGACCTCGATCGATTTTTGCCTCTCGACACTCCATTACTGACTCTCCACCATTGCGAACCGCAGAATTGCCTTCACCAACGATGGCCCCTCCACCTACAGCTATAGGAGTCATACCTGTGTCCAGTGCGCCACCCCCACTCCGCCAAGTCGAACGCCAGGCCCACTCACGACTGCATTACGAGGTATACAACATGAGTCGTCTATATTTTCTACATCCCATTCTGTCAAACCTGAGCCGCCTCCAATTATTGTTCGATTATCAAATGAAGAAGGCGAGAGCGAGGCTAAGGTCGGAGGAGAGACTCCTTCCAAGGCACGACACCGCAAACGATTGACAGGGGCTGATAAAGTCACTCTATCGACCATACTTGGCTGGAAATCGGATGGTACAGGATTTGGAAATGTTCATGGGTTCCTAAAACACCAAGCTATCACTGTGCTCTATTCCTCCCACATGTTCATCATGAACAGGGTGCAACAGGTAGGACACGCCCTTCGACCCCTGTACCTATGCCAGGGGGTTTTAGCGCTCACTTAACACCTTCTCATCCACGTTGGAAGACGTACCGATATTATGATGAGACTTATGAGACTCTTGGAGCCTGGATTCAGGAGGTTTCTTCTCAAGCTCAGGAGAATCCCCACACCGGAGAGGTGCTGAAGTATACTTGGTGTCATAGTACTTTTATGTTGACGGCCGACGTGCACCGTGCACCGGAGGCTACTCAAGAGGTGGGGCCTGATGAGGACACGATTACGACGTATCTTAGCTGTAATATCTGTGACGCAAACACGACCTCCGTGAAGTTGGAGAATGCTTCATTGTGAGTTTCGAATCTCAGTCATCTTGGTCAGGTTGACTTTTTTTTTGCTCTCGAATAGATTACTGGATTTCGGAAAATACCTCGAACTGGTCTTCTATTCGAAGGAATTGACCAACCTATCGATACCCCTGTGCAGCCATACCTCGACACTGGGCTCAACATCAGAGTCATCACACTTAATGCCACAACTCAACCTGACTCGACATTACAAGTATCATTCCATAATTATATCGTTCAGGCTATCATCCATTGGAGAAGACATGTATAATGCCCAGATCCCTCGTACTCAAGTCTTGAAAAGCCTCACAGAAGTGGTGAAGAAGGAACATCCGTTCTCATCGTCCTCGCCATCCTCGTGGGGAGATACATGGCTACGGGAGGAACGCGAGAAGATCCGATTGGATATGACATTTATTTGGAAGGCATTAAAGGACTACCTTTTATTACTGGTAAATGCCAGCCACCCTTTGGTTCATGCCCCGAAACACTGCCTAACGGCCATTATGCAACTTCGTAGGAAGAAGATGTCTTGTCAGGCTTCGGTCATAAACAATTACCTACGCCACCTCCTACAGAATCCCCGGAAGATATAACGCCTACACGAAGTAGTATTCAACCCAGTGGTTCTTCTGAGTCGCCCTCGACAAGTCGTAGCTCACCTGTGGTATCAAAATCTTCGAGAGCTAGTTTCACCCTGCCTGGAACAATTTCAACGTCCGTCTCAACGTCAAGTATTGCAGGCCTTAAGAGCCTGATCCACTCGGCGGAGCGTTCCTTGTATGTGCAACTCTCCGAGAGCAGCATCGATAGCCTCAACAATGTCCGGAGGGCGTTTATCAGCAGCGCGTCGGATGCTCAGCAACGGTTGTATGGTTTGCTGCCGCCAGATGAAATTCGAGTCCTTGATGAGCCGATGATTCCGCTTCCAGAGTGGTGGCAAAAGGGCGTGCACTGTTTACCTGATAGCAGTGTTGTAGTGAGGGAGAACGATTTGGGTTCGTTGATCGCGTTCACGCTTCGGTACGTCCTTAGCCTGTATGATATGTATTCGTGTTGCTCAACCAATGTTGCACAGGTCTCCTGAATATCGCTCTGAAGTGCAAGAAATGAGTCTAAATTCCAATTCATCTGGAGATCCCCCCACGATAATGAAAGCTGTACCGTCTATTGGGAGGCGTACATCATCCTTTACATGGAAATCACTCAGCCATCCGCCATCGCCTGCGTCCTACCCCGGTTTCCACCTCGATGGGTCTCTGAAGCACAAGGACTCGGAATGCTCCTCCATCTTGGACCCCGAAGACTTCTCGGCCGGCATTACAAGAATGGAGAATCCTCGCGATGCTTCATCACTTCTGAGCTTTCCGAGTGTCTTGTTACGCCGACGCTCGCATGATGAATCGGGGGCTTCTTCTAAGTTTGCCACTCTTGGGACAGCCGCGTCGCGAATCTCGGGCATCACATCACCCGCTGCGGCCTGGTCCAAGCCGGATGTTCGGGTGAGCCTAAATGTTGGACGGGGCGTAGTATCTGCAGGTACTGGCATCAATGATTCCTCTGGAACAAAACACCCCGAGAGTAGCGATAATCAGACCTCCGAATCTGTTGCTCGGGTGGATAGTGCAACACTGTCACCGTCGTCCTCACGTCATGTCAAGCAGAGGCTTCCGAGCGAACTCTCGACTACCACAATTAGACCTAATCAATCGCCTCCCGATGCACAAGTACAAAAGGAAGGAACGACCACCGCACCTACTCAGCCCCCTTTGGCTCCACCATCTCCACTGTCGTGAGGAGATTATCACTCCTCATTCGAGTGCTGAAGCCCCCACCGCTCCTCTCGCTGAAGATGCTCCTTATCGCCTAGCATTACTTGGGCCGGATCAGAATGTGTCATATCCGAAGATTGATGAACGCCCTCATCTGAAGTACGAGTTCGTCATTGGGAGACGTTTGCACATATCATGCACTGTGTACTATGCGCTTCAGTTTGCTGTGCTGCGCAAACAATGCGGCGTCGAAGACGCACTGATTCGGAGCCTTGAAAGGACCGCGGCATGGGTGGCTGAAGGGGGAAAGAGTCGCTCGACCTTCTTTAAAACGTCAGATAATCGCTTCATCTTGAAGACTATGGTATCCTCTTGGAATGTAGCTGATTTGTAAGTATTCGTTGGACGTCGACGTCCTGTTCGAAATGCGTAATCATCTCTTAGACCTGCTATTCTTGAGATGGCTCCTGCATACTTTGCTTATGTCGGCCAAGGTCATGACAAGACTTCTGCTTTGACAAAACTCCTCGGATTTTACACCGTCGAGATCAAAAACCTCGAGACCGGATTGATAGAAAATAAGGCGGACCTCCTCGTGATGGAGAACCTTTTCTACTCACAAGATGTGGTGGAGTCTTTTGACCTAAAAGGAATTAAGGGTCGAAAGATAAAGGACCTTACGGCTAACGTCCGTACCCTCTTCGATCAGGAATGGATGGATAGTATGTACAGCCCCTACTATTTCTGCGGGTCCACACTTAACGAACGTACAGAACAACGGCATTCTCCTCTCTATCTACATCCACAGTCAAAACATGTGCTGCAAGAATCGCTTAACGCCGATGTGGACTTCTTGTGCGAGAGCAACGTCATGGATTATTCGTAAGCCATCCCAACCTCAAAATAAGAGACCTAGTATTTATTGCAACCGGATACCTGTTTCGTTTCTCTCAAAAAGGCTACTAGTAGGCATCGACAAGCTTCATAAGGAACTTACGTGCGGGCTCGTCGACACGTTTGGTCAGTTCACCCGCTCATTTCACGTTGCGCGTGCTGAACCATCCCCATTTCCAGGCACCTATACCTTTGCGAAGACGCTCGAATCTAAAGCAAAACAAGGGCTTAAGACAGACAAGGAAAAAGAGGTTAGACCTATGCTACCTGTGGTTGCAATATGTTCCTAATCGATTGAATTAGATCACGGTTGTTCCGCCTTCGGAATATCGTGCCCGATTCCTGAAGGCTGTTGACAAATACTTCCTTTCCGTACCAGGTGGGTTGGGACCTCTCTGACTCCTCATCTTTTTTGCCTAGCGTTGCATTTAACTCATGATCACGTCTAGACAAATGGACCAAACCCCTGAATGGTTTCTTTACGCCAGGGGAATTCTTCCGCGCAACTCAAGTGCTCTGAATCATGTGCATACACGTATATGAATCGTTTCAGACCCTCAGTTTCGTATTTAAGATGTAGCATGGTTTTTAGATGCAAACGGTGGATTGATGCGTGAGCTGAGGCATAAACATGCAGTGGTTGTCCCCTATTTTTCGAACCGTTCAAGCATCACCGATAACTGCCGGAGGGGTGCACTGAGATATCTTGGAGGCCAATTGCGTTGAACGGACCACATAATACTATGTGGTAGATAACGGGGTTCGTACGGCAACGAACTTTGGGGGGAGGAAGGCATACCTTCTTCCTTTACGGAGTGGGACGATCAAGTTTCCCTGGAGACTGGTTCGCGGGGACCCTGACTTCATGTCAGCTGGTTACCAGTTCTCGTCAACCTAAGTTCCACTCCCTAGGAGCCTGCCAAAACTGAATAGTAACAAGTTCATCGTTGATAACGATTGTCACATTGCTAAGGGTCTGAATGAGGTCGCGGTTATCAGCCTAAAGGTATTCCACTGTCTGACATGGATCGGGCAACACGAGGGAAGTCCAGAATGACGTAGTATATAGTGGAATATCCTTCTCTGGAATCACAGACGGCGTCCAGCGCTGTAATGAAGTTCCACCCGTTAGCTGGGATGTCTCCCAGAGGATGGAAATTACGAGGGACTGCAGGATAGGGTGAATGCTGCAGCCTATTGATGTGTCGTCGGAGTCTTCGTTACGAGGTCGCCCGCTGTCGATGAAGACGATGAGACCGGGACGCCTGTAACGGCCATACCCGTAATGGATGACTTGATACCTAATGGGCGATTCTCAGGGGTTGCGAGGGCGACCTGAAGGCGGGGTGGTAAAGTATAGCCTTCGAGGATGAGGCAGGCTATTCTTACAAGTATGCGTGCATTCAGTCGTGTTTCTATGTTTTTCACACAGTCTGTCGCATCTGTGCCTCGCGATCAAGACTGATGTTAGGTGTTTCCAAAAGAGCGTCTAGGAAAACCCATGTCAGACAAGTTGGAACAGAAAAATAAATCCAAGCAGAGCCTGCTGCATTTGGCAATAAAAATAATGAAATGACCGGGGAAAGTTTCCGAACCAGGGGTTGATTTAGTGAGCGCTCGGAAGGTGAAAGCAAGCCTTACGGACCGCAGATCCCCAAAGTTGCTTGTACATTTTCTCGCCCTCCTACCGAAAATTTCACCCAGAATCAAGCCGGCGATTTGACAATCCGAGAGCGCAAATAAAGGCTCGAGATACATGGGCACAGAACTTTATACACAGTTGGACGCATCGCGCGACGCATGTCTCTTAGATGACGAGATATCCACCCACGCCAGCAGGCCAAATTCAGCTCTGAAGAACACTGGGATGGATATAAGGGCCTTATCCTGGTAGCTCTTTCCCAAGTGTTCTGTGCTTTGATGAATGTGGGGGTGAAGCTTCTGACTGCCTTACCCGATCCCCCGCCAGCACTGGAGGTAAAGTTGTCATCGACTATTTGGTACCAGCGAATTAATGCATTACATTATCTAGATCTTGTTCTTCCGAATGGCAGGTGCAACCTCTGTCCCTACTTGTAGATAGCTGACAATAAGGGTTCATGAAGATCCTCACATACACGTGGTGTCTCACCTACATGTGAGTCTTTCCCTAGCCCTCTGTTTACGATGGAGGGGGACTTACGTTGCTTCCTCGCACAAGGCGCTTCAAGGAAATACCAGACCCTCTTCTGGGACCTTCTGGTCTTCGAGCGGCATTTGTCCTCAGAGGCGTATCTGGGTGAGAACTCAATCCACCCCGATATTCATGCTTCCGAGTATCGAGTATGCGCTGACCATTTGCAATGCAGTTTCTTCGGCATATTCGGAATATATTACAGTCTCCAATTCCTGTCCCTTTCAGATGCTGTTGCAATCACTTTCCTCTCACCCACCTGTATCGCTATAAGTGGATGGCTATTCCTAAAAGAACAATCAACTTTGAAAGAGCTAGGCGCAGGTTGTAAGTAACTTCTTGAGTGCCATCCTCATGGACTCACAACTATATCGAAAGTCGTATCAATGTCTGGCGTGGTGCTCATTGCTCGACCGGAAACGATCTTCGGAACCACATCATCGAATCCGTCAGTAGAGAAAGGGACGCCTACTCAACGTCTGATAGCCGTGGGGTGTGCAGATTAGTCCAGATGCAGTACTCACCGGAACTGATCAAAGCATTCACGACAGAATAGCACTGATTGGTGTCATAGGAAATACGGTATCAAGTAAGCAGTTAATACCCATCAATCTCTAACGGTGATGTACTCACTATTTCTAGTTGTAACTATCAGATTCATAGGCGACCGAGCGCATCCCATGCATTTAGTAGCATTCTTTGCTGCCTGGTGTTTGGCTCTATCGGGTGTCGGAACGGTCACTATGGACATCAAATGGATCCTTCCTGCCGATCCTAAATCTATGATTGGAATAGTTTTTGTCGCCTTTTGTGGGTTCGCATTTCAAATACTCCTGACGGCTGGTCTACACCACGACACTGCGGGAAGAGCGTCCATTGCTCTGTATTTTCAAGTGCGCTGGATGAGTCCTTCGTTGCGATAAACCCTTAACCTGATTTGGTACTTAGGTGGTATTCAGCCTCATTTTTGAGCTGACCATATTCCACAACTCACCGCACTTCCTCGGTATCCTTGGGACTGCAATGATCATCGCTGGCGCAATGTATGTCGCTGTAAGCCCGATCCATGTTTCGCCAAGCGGTATGGCTCAGACTCACCGTTGCTCTAGGCTTCAAAGAAACCCCACGAATCAATAATGCCTGACGACGACACTTCCATATCGCTCCTCCCGCTGGAATGAGATATGCCTAGTGCCCCATAACCGCCCGTTCTTCTCTTTCAACGCTACTCAGAAATATAGACAAACACACGAATCCACCCATTGATCCGCAGGGTCGACGACGAACCCCTTTCGAGTGTGCAAGTTCACTAGAGGAACTTGGAGAACAAGGAAAGTTGTCCATGCTTCTCTTGCCGCCAGAAAGCATTCCCAGACTGAGTTAATAAGTCAACTTACCGGCTGAATCCTTCGTTTGAGCTGTTATTGTCCATGTTATCTGCTTCAGCGGCGCACAAGTATTAGCTCATACCGCTAGTTGGGATTGACGGTCAAGCATGTATATAGATGTAAGATCCTCAAACAAGACCGCACTGATACCATACGAACTCGTGGCAGAGGGACAGCAGAGCTACCAGTAAGTTATGTAGGCCAGTTTGGTCACACTCAAGCCAGGATCACATTGCCTTCGACTGGCGTACAGTATGTGCTGGTATAATTGATTAACGTGGGATAGGACATTATGGTTAGTAGGGTAACTCCGTTACAATCACAGCGAAGGGATGATCTCCCGGAAAGTAAATCAGTGTAGGAAAAGAAAAGTTTAGGGTGGGAAGCGACGAAACAAAGGAGGAAATCTCCCGAGAGGTTGTGGTTTGGTCTTTAGTTCCTAATCTTTTACCCTTTACGGACCAACGTAGGCGGGACCTCAGCCTCCATGATATCGTAATAGGACCGAGCAGTATCATGGATGTCGAAACAGCAAGGCCGCAGTCCTTAGCTGTTGTGTAGCGGAGCGGGCCGAATTCATTTGTTCGAAACCACGTGTGAAGATTGTCGCCATGAATTTTCCGCCCTGTGGGGACCTTTTTTTGGACTGTAGCTTACACGGTCGACCGCTTTCAACGGAACATATCCCATCCTAATTAGCTACTCTGAGGCAAATTTCGGATATAAGGAAACACGTTCTTATTTTTTCCCTTCTCAACTTTCTGGCATGCCTGCATCAACGACTGATTTCGCCTCTTTCCCTTACCTGGAACCGTCCAAGGCCTTTGACGAACTGAAGAATTACAAGAGGCAAGATGGACTTTCTGCTGTTGAGCTCATGGACTCGATCAAGAATGGGGGCCTTACCTATGATGATTTTCTCATATTGCCCGGGAAAATAGACTTCGCGGCCCACGATGTCGCCACGGAAAGCAAGATTACTCGCAATGTCATTCTCAAAACCCCTTTCATGAGTAGCCCAATGGACACAGTGACGGAGGCTGAGATGGCCATCAGCATGGCTGTGAGTTGGCCCTGTTCTTTTCTTGCTCAATCGATGTTATCCTCTCGAGAACAAGTCTCTCTTGTAGCAGTTCAATTCGCTGACATGACGTTTGGTAATAGCTTTTGGGTGGTATAGGCGTTGTTCATCATAACCAGCCAGCTGAACAACAGGCTGCCATGGTTCGGTCAGTTAAGCGACATGAGAATGGGTTTATATCAGATCCCGTGGTTCTCGCTCCCCATAACATGGTCCAAGATGTGATCGACATAAAAGAACGTCTTGGTTTCTGCGGTATTCCCGTCACAGGTAAGCGACAAATCCCCATCTCGTACCCTGATGATTCTTGCACTTGTCCTGCTAAGTAATGCGGCCTAAGGGTTGCGTAGTGTGCGGACAACGCTTAATTTTTGAGTTCTGATTTCATCTTGTGGAGTGTCGTTGTTTGTATGTTGTGTCGATGAACTGATGAACCCTTTCATTTCTCAGATACTGGAGTTATTAACGGCAAACTTTTGGGTATGGTCACGTCTCGTGATATCCAGTTCCGTGACCCTCGTTCGAAGCTTATTGAGGTCATGACCACTCAGCTTGTCACGGCTCCCGCCGGGACAACCCTTATCGAGGCCAACCAGATTCTTCGTGACTCAAAAAAAGGGAAATTGCCCATTATTGACCCAGAAGGCCGCCTTGTCGCCCTTCTATCCCGCTCTGACCTTCTTAAGAACCAGAATTATCCTCTCGCTTCCAAGAATCCAGTGACGAAACAACTTTATGCTGCTGCCGCGATTGGCACCCGTCCGGCTGACCGGGATCGTCTTCGTCTTCTCGTTCAGGCTGGTCTCGACATCGTCGTCCTCGATTCGAGTCAGGGGAACTCTATATATCAAATTGAGATGATCAAATGGATCAAATCAGAGTTCCCCAAATTGGAAGTGATAGCTGGGAATGTGGTGACTCAGGCTCAGGCTGCTTCTCTCATTGCCGCGGGTGCCGATGGACTTCGTGTTGGTATGGGATCAGGTTCGATTTGCATCACTCAGGAAGTGATGGCTGTTGGGCGTCCCCAAGCCACCGCTGTGTATGCGGTCGCTGAATTCGCGAATCGATTCGGCGTGCCTGTTATTGCAGACGGTGGTATTAAGAACGTTGGGCATATTGTTAAGGCTCTTGCCCTTGGTGCCGGTGCCGTCATGATGGGTGGTCTGTTAGCAGGAACGACTGAGACTCCCGGAGAGTACTTCTGGCATGATGGGAAACGTGTCAAGACTTATCGTGGTATGGGCAGCTTGGTGAGTGCTGCGCTATATTCTAGTGACTTCCCCTCATCACCTCGTTCGATTGCAGGAGGCAATGGAGCAGGGGAAACCATCCCGATCATCGGCTCCTCATGTCAACGGCAAGAAGTCTTCTAGCCCCGTAAATGGTTCTTCAGGCACTGGTTCGGCCTTGGCTCACGAGAATGCCGCGACGTCTCGGTATTTTTCCGAGTCTTCAACCATCAAAGTAGCTCAGGGAGTCTCTGGAGACGTCCAGGACAGGGGTTCAGTGAAGCAGTTCCTGCCTTACTTGCACACGGGCTTGCAACACTCATTCCAAGATATCGGCGTAAGAAACATCCAAGAGCTGCAGGAGAGTGTGAGGCAAAGCTCAGTAAGGTTTGAGTCGCGGAGCGCGCAGGCACAGCTTGAAGGCGGTGTCCATAGTCTGAACTCGTGAGTGTTCATCTTTTCCGAATATTCGGCACGACCAATGACGCTTCTCCAGATACACAAAACGTTTGTTTGCTTAGATGCCGTGCATTATTGTTGCACCTGTGGCCTCTGTAAATATAATCCGCCTGTTGTAAACTGCAAGCACTACCTCTTACTTGTTGATCATATTCGCGAAAAATACATCTACTGGCGAAAATTAAATCCAGCCACTGGATGAACGCTGCCCGGGTACAGGTTGCACCGGAGTGACCCGTCTTGTAAACATCGCTTCGTTCATTATTCTGCTGAACGGTACCGGTCAGTATTTTGTTTTCTTCCCATCTAACCATATCCACAGCATGGATTTGTGCTCTTCGAATAGTTGCTCATTTCACATTCCTTCCATCGTCTACCGTTTCATGATCACCACGCTCTTCTCAGTCGGTGCTGTTCACTTGAAGCCACTTGCGCTGCCTGATCGGTGGTCCCAGCGCACGAAGGACTTTGAACACCGACTGGTATTGATTGAACAATGTTCTCGTATTATTATCAGAGCCTAACACTCCCATCGGGTTCCCTTCCAGGGAATTTTACAACGATCTTCCCAATTTGTGCACCTTCGTTCAATAATTTGAATCCTTCGTGGATTTCCTCAAGTCCACGCAAGACATGCGAGACTTCGGGAACGATGCGATGCTTCTCCATGAACGCGGTCGCGTCCAGCAGATCCTTACGTGAGCCCATGGTTGACCCTAGGACGGGTAAGCATTGGTATCGTCAGATTAAACAGACCAATAGGGTTAGCACCTTTGAGCTCCACGTTCCTGAGTACCTCCCTCATTGTGAATTCAATTTTAGGCACTGAAGTCCTGTACCAGCAATGGGGAATGAGCTCTTCCCAATATGAAGAAATTAGACCTACATTCCGTAACATACGACGATCCCACCATGTTTCAGTATCTTGAGGGATTTCGCGCAGATATCTCCACCCGCCGAGTCAATGACAGAATCTAACAATGCAGTTCCCTCGTTCTTAGCGTTGGCGATGAGGATCTTTCCAAGATGTTCTGGCCACGCCTCTGGGCATGAAAGGCGAGCGTGTCAGCCGATGGCGGATCTAGACAATAAGACATGGCACCCACCATCTCTATAATTGACTCCATCTATAGCACCAAGTTCCTGTGCGCGAGCAATTTTTTGTGGGCTCGAGCTCGTCACATAGACGTTTGCACCAAGTGCAAGACATATTTGCATTGACACTAAGGCAACTCCTCCACCTATCCCTGTCTGGTGAACGCCGATATCGACCGTGCATCCCGAAGGAACAAATAGCAGACTTACGATAAGGACGTTATCACCTTTCTTTACATTTGCTTTAATGACAACGGCCCTAATTTCATGCATTTAGTCAAGCAGTAAGCAGATAAATGAACGGGCTAATATCTACCTCCAACCAGTTACGCCAGCGACGGGCCATGCAGCAGCATGGACCATTGGGAGATAATCTGGAACGGGGAAAACGTGCATTCGATGAATGACGACAAAATCGGAATATATCCCGCCCAACGGATTACCACCCAATAGTTCGAGCCTTTACAAACACGAAATAGAAGGTGATGTGCCTCGTGATTGAGCTGGGCAGGTGAATAAGGCATTACCTAGCCTCCTCTGGTCCATCCGGATTTGATTCCCACCCACGGGTTGGATGGAAGAAGACACGACGTCGAATAAGGGGATCTTTGGGGTGGTGGGCAAAAATTACTGTTCCTAATGTTGATCGTTAAGACATGGTGGACTTTGAAGTGGCAATGGAGAAGTCCAAACGAACCAACTCCGTCCCCTCCCATCACGCAGTCAGCTGTCGTTCTGGGATATAGGTTCTTGAGCTGCCATAGCTAATAGTAGGGGAATTTTCCATGTATCACTAGAGTTGGTAAGCGACTTGTTTCCAACAGAACCCAGGACCCACGTCGCGGTGATTGAGGCTAACTGCACCTATCCTGACGAGCACTTCCCCATCTTTCAAAGCCGGAACAGGACGAGTCTCCAAGACAGCATCAAAGTGATATCCAAATGAAGGCGTGGTCTTCTTCTTCAGGACGAGGGATCTAGTTTCCCTCGGATAGAGAGCCATGAAAAGTCTTTAGTTCCGTGCTGGGTCGCAGTGGCTAGTAGCCGGCATCAAGCCGCCCGGATATCGTAATTTGAGAGCGTGCGAAAAGCAGTCGTCTAGTTGAATCCCGAACCCGACGCCAGCATTTCGTAACAAAGGGGGACCCCAGTTTGTAGCTTTCCAAGTGACCTCTATTAATAAATCCCTGCCGAAGAGCCAAGTTGCTACGTCCTCTGATGCATGGGCGATCTGGGCCCGCATACCCTGCTCTATGATCATGGCATGATCATGGGCCAATTACGCTGCCGCAAAGGGAAACTAGCGGAGGTCGAAACTGCACTCGATCGAGAAGTCGACGGGAGCGCTACTCGCCATAGTGCTGACAATCACACCTGAACACATTGAGCAGATGCTGTGTGCTCCATGTTGAGATTCGTCTCAAATAACCCTGGGATCACCTGCACAGCAGTGTCACTCTCCACCTAGTTACGCAATGACTGTAACCGTGTTCTTTCTTGTTTTTCATCATTAACAGGAATGTCCTACTCGGAGTACGTGCGTATTGGATTCGATATCGCGCACCATCCTCCTTCGACCGCGTGGATCGACACCGGTAGGTCATTTCTTTGCTTCTCTAGTTAACCACAATGCCATCCATATTGACTTCCGTTTTCGGTGTGTTCTTGATGGGGACTCCCTTTCTCAATAGGAACTTTCTGTATCTCAATAACACTAAAGGGAAACTTGAGACTATTGGAACATCTGACCGCAGTGCGTAACGTCAGAAAAACAAAAGGGAAGGTTAAGTGGCGAAAGGGTGATGTAAGTTAAGTGGGAAGTTGCTGAGGAGGCAATAAGGCTCTCGCTAAGGTTCACTTTGACCCTTTCTTATTTATCTCTTATTTTATTGCTTGTTTATACAGTAGCAAACATTAGGCGGATTGAATGTGTCTCAGCTTAATTCTGTTCCCACGCTCTCGAGGTCAAAACAACGACAAGGGGACAATATTTGGCGTGTGTCACGCGACTCGTCGGCCGGGGAAGCTTTGTTTCACTCTGGGTCAGGGTGCTGCATAAAACAAACATCTTCATCGCAGGGCCAAACCTGAATCACTCCGCGTAGCAAAGCGTCGACCACTATATTTATTGAAAGGTCATCCTCTTAATCTCCTCAAGGAGCCTGTTTACTAGTGTGGACTCCTGTGGAAGATGGCACATCGAGTATTCGATCCCCAAACACTTCTTCCGTATTGGAACCGCGATGAGGTCGTTGACCCAAACGATGTGGCAGTTTACAGCAGGTACCTGAAACATTACCAAATGCTGACTCGCCTCAATGGAGAGGATGTGTACTCAAAATCCATCATGGTTTTTGTTGATGGAGCATGCCTCGACAACGGCAGCCCTAATGCGCAAGCTGGTTACGGCGTCTATTTCGGAGATGATTCACCTCATTCTATCAGCAAAGCCGTTAATCCTTGCGAACCCCAGACAAACCAGCGTGCTGAAATTCATGCCGCAATTGCTGCTCTATACCAAATACGCCGCTTGATCGACTTCAGGAACGGAAATCTCACCAAAATAATCCTCGTTACGGATTCGGCTTATGTTGCGCGGTCGATGAGCGAGTACATCCTCAAATGGCGGGAGAATGATTATACGAATTCACGTGGCTCTGACGTCGTTAACCGGGATCTCTTCAAGCGCCTGGATGGCCTCATCATTGAACTGGAGGATGGAAATAGGCGCCAAGTTCAGTTTTGGAAGATTCCTAGGTGTTGGAACTCGGACGCAGACGAGCTGGCAAGGGACGCCGCTGATGGTTGCTGTTAGAGGACTGTCACAGAAACGGATTATCACCATGGGTACCGGTAAGTAAGCTTTCGTTCATGGAATGATCGTTTTATCCCAATCAGTTGAGTTCACAAAAACATTTTTTCTTCAGATCCGCGTTGCCTGCCTCCAAAGACGGAACAAATCCTCTTCATTGATCTCCTCTTGGATTTTTTTTGTGCATAGCATAGTGGAGGGAAGCGTTATTTGTATATCCAACATAATATTGTTCTTGAGCCCTAGTCGCTTGACTCACCGATATATGCAATAGCATTGTGCAGGGATAGCGAAGCTTAGTTCAAATTCTTTGAACCAATTGCTATACTTGTTTGAAACCTTCGCGTCCTCTAACCCCAACTTTGGGCCAGGCTGACGCCAGCTTGAGTCCTCCAGGTAGGCCCCATGGCCTTCTGACAAGTGGCGACGTCTGGATTATGCCATACAATCACGAAGAGGAAAAATCGAGTGTCACGCATGTGTCGAAGAAAGGAAGCAGGCCACTGCCGAGAAGGTCAAGCGAGCATAGAAACAGACAGAAGAGAGGCAGCTCGCAAGACGTCACTAGTTGAATATTCCACACCGAAATAGTGGCAACGGAGTTGACGACGTTACCATAAAGACCAGCAGACATAAATAAACTAACTAGGTCTGGCTCGTCTAATGATAGCATCGATCAAACGCGGAGAATAACACCTGGTCCTCAGCCTAGCACGTCCTCTGGGTGATGATAGGGAGCAGCAACATCTGATTGCCGTACGCCAATAATAAGCAATATTGATAGTGGATATTTCCAGATCAATTTGCAGAAACAAAATCTTGCCATGAGGGTTTCAGGGCTCAACGCACGGCTTCACTCTGACTCCATTCATCAGATTGGTACTCTTGACATTGACTGAGATCGAGACGAAGGCTCGCCCCGATGAGGGTTCCCGAACAGGTAACCGCGGCTGCTATGGCCTTGGTTGTGGGGGTCGGCAATCCACGTTGAAGCGTGCCACCCCCACGTGACCCACTTTTCCCCGCGAAACCTGGCGAGTCCTTTGATCATCCAACAAAGTGCTCAAACTCTCTCCGATCTCTTGATTATTGTTATTAACGTCAATATATGGTCTCTAGTAATCTAAATGGCCAGTTATTTTGAAAATTACTCTGTGGGATTGTGCTGATCGGCTGTCATCATCTCGCTATCTCCCGCATCCTCCATTTCTCGCCCTCTCCTGCGCTCAATTGCTACCACCAGCTCTCTAACCTTGTCGGCCTTCTTTGGCATGCGACTGCTGAGAGGAACTAATGCATCTTGGAGCCTATATGCATTTAGCTGAGGCTCCAGCTGCGCGATAGTTGTCTTCGGGTTTCTTGCCCATTCTATGTCGTTGGTGAGTTCAACCGCCTTTAATGCCTCGATTTTAGCGGTGTATTTGAGTTCCTTTATCTGCCTTTTCCTCCTATTTTCTGCAACCTTCGCTATTCCAGCATCTGCAAGCAATTTTCTACGAGCTTTCTCGGATCCCGACGCGCTGATACATCGACCGGCTGTCCGCAAGATCTTGTGTTTTCTTGGCGTAAGCTTTGCTGTGATGAATTCGTCGACATCATTATGACGGATCATTAGTTCTGCGTTGAGAGTATCTAAAGTCTTTGTTGGGTTTTTGGTCAGTGCACTGCGCATTTCTCCTAGAAGTCCCTCATTTGTGTCGTTGGTTGTAGGCATGAAGGCAAGCTCCTTCTCCTCTGGACTCATCAAATCGATCTCAGACCCTTTCATGAGTTCAGCTGAGAACCGTGTAAGGGTGTCAAGTGCCCGTTTGGTGAATGCGATGAATGCGTCACGGAGGTTGGGGAGGTGTGGAGAAAGATGTTGGATGGCCTGAATGGTATCGGGTCTAATCCAATGGTTCCGCTTGTCAAGGTGAGCCATGTTTGGTTCTGCATCTTTACCCAAAACAAGGTCGGGATTAGCTATGAGGGATTGCATGAAGGTAAAAACGTGTTCATGCCATGCTCCCTCATTTAGCATGTTTACTTCCGTTGGCCTTCCCCTCCTAGCGTGTTCCACATATGGGTGAGAGACACAGAGTGAGAATAGAGACATGACTGCAAGTTCTGTGAGCGTAGGAATATCGTTGAGTGCATCATAGAGGTTTGCCTCAATGTTGGTAAATTCTTGTTTGTCCTTTAAGTCCCGGATGTACTCAAGGAAGCTTCGGTACAATGGTGCTCTAGCAATTAGCTCGCTTGCCGCATCCCCATGTGAACAATAGCGAGTGTTGGAGACATCCGGGAAGGGAGGACAATTTTTTCCGAGAGTCCTTTCCATAAAGTGACGGTAGGTATCATGATATCCTTTTTTGTCGTCACGGTGATTTAGTAGGAGACCGGCAAGCATTGTAGCTTTAACCCCTCCAGCATCACGTCCCGAAGATGGCTTTGACTTTGCATCAGTAGAGGCTGATGCTTTATCTTTGTTGAGAAGTGGCTGAGGTGGGGTAAGGTTGTTATTCCTCCAGAAATCATCAAGAGAAGCGCAGCCAGCCTTGAATATATTGAGATCTTTGTGCATGGAACACCCAACCCAGACAAAGTTGAAGATGTCACGGTGTTCGTGATCTGTAAGTTTGTCCGATACTTCGGTACCAAGCTGATGAAGTGACTGAAGCTTGGCCGCTTCAAGACTTTCCTCCCTCTGAGCATCTGATAAGGCCTCCCAAGCGCTGTTCCCACCCACTGCTGCAATGGCAGCAATCTCGTTCCTTGCATTGATGAGATTTCGCTCATGTTCTGAGAACCCCGACCAAGCATTGTGGCCAAGCTTCTGGATACAGTGCTCCGCCTTCTTTGCCTTCATTAGCCGAGCCCTTTTCTTCTGGTCCTCAGCATGGTCAGAATTAATCCCCCTGAGTTTTGTATAAATCGAGGAAATATCCCCCAGAGTATCGGGCTCGGAATTGCAGTGTCCAGTACGCGTCTGTAGGATATCCCGGAGCGCATCTTCAAATCCTTGCACCTGTGCCTCACTACGATGCGATGTTGCAGTTTGCATGGCAACAAATCGGTTCTTCCGGACTTGAGGGGTGGTGATACCCTGCTCCTTGCGCTTGTAATCGGGAACCTTCATCATGATGCTTGTGGCTTCATATTGTGTTTTCCTGTGAGAAGTTCCATCTCCACTCGTAGTAAAGGCTGTCAGAAATTACTTAGAATAGATATGTGTCTGTAATAGTAATATGAGGCAAACCTTCGGTGCGGATGAGTTCTGAAGCTAACTGGAGCTTCCCCGCTTCAAGGGCTTCTAGGACTATTCTTTGTATGGTACGGGGGCTTGGAGGGTTTTTGAGTGGTTTTCCAAGCATTTTGGAGACCTCATATACTGCCTTTCCAACACTCCGGAAGGGAACTCCATCTCGGACCAAGCGACGAATCAGCGTGCGGGCTTCCGGTGTGAATGTACCATTTAAGATCAATGGAGAAGACAACATGTTCTTCATGCATTTTTTTATCTTGCTTATTTGCCGACAATGGGACCGTTTGAGATTTTTGACCTTCTGACGGAGTTTTGCTATCAAGTTGGACTTCTTAGTGCACGTCTTCTGGGCATCCCTGGTGGAAGACTGTGCGATTTCTATCTCCTTTGCATGGATTTTCGACTTCCGGATGAGCTGAGCCTTGATGTCTGCACATTCCTTCTGTAATGCAATATTCTTTTCTGCCCGGATTGCATTTGACTTTGCTGCACGTTTGATCCTTTTGTTTTGGTTCCATATTTGACATTGTAGGTAGTTCTTCTCTTTGTTCCTCTCCTTGATAATTCCTGGGTATGTTATTGTTGCTTTCTTTTTTGTGCAGGCTTTGGCATTAGAAGGTAATTTGATTGATTCCGTGCCATTGTGTTCCATGATATTAACAATTGATGCAGCTTTTTGATTACGAGAACGGCCATTCCTTTTGACCCGGTTCCGCTGTGAAGCCATGCTACAATAGGATCCCTCATCAGTACCTAACCCCATCCCTTATGGTGTGTGAATGCACTTAAAAGAGCAAAAAGGGCCCACTTTGCGCGCGCGAATTCGGGCTTCGGCAACTGCCGCATGCTCTCGATAACCACAAATCCCGCTGCCCAAATTTCTCCTTCATCTCATAGTGTCTTGACTTTACAGATGAATTGAATATATATTGTATTGGATGTATCTAGGTATCCGTAGGTTTCGTTTTTAAAGTTAATGGCATCTTTCATGTTTTTCACTGTGATTTCTCGCCATATCTCAACAAAGAAGCATATTCAAAACGAAAAAAACCTAAGGTGCACTGGTATGGGTCACCAAGAACACTATTTTGCAATCACTTGAGTTCTATATCTGTTGTGTAGAGAGTCAAATGTCCTGCCGTTCCCAGCTTTATTTGCGATAGACAGCACAGCCACAGGTGGGTGGACGGTCGTCAACCTGAATTGCCGACCCCCATTGGTTGCAAGTTGGTAACATTCGGTGAGTGGCCCGGCAGTGTCCGTTACATTCGCACTCTCAATGCAACGAGATTTGATGTGACCGCCATCGCCAACCGTGTTTTTCCACTCCAACGAGCGAGTGCCGTTTGCCTTGCAACAGTAGCAAGCTCGTATGTAACAATTGCCGTCTCACTTGCAGGGGTGTTGTTGTTGTTGTTGATATCATATTTGTTACCCCGCGGTCACGTTGGCACGTGACAGAGCGGCATATCCCACTACATTACATCTGTACATGAGGGCCTCGACGATGGATGTCAGTCGAGGGGGAGTTCTGCTACCACAGCGAACACCCGGCACGGGCCTAAACCTTCACGCGGTGCCCCTGTTTAAAACTAATTAGGCCTCTAACATCTGAAGGGAGGATGACGTGGCCACCGTGGTAATGCCAATCAACCGCAACCCCGTAAGCCCAGAGCCGCACTGGCTGGAGAGATGCAAGAGCGCGGGTGCATGTCCCGCCGTCAAGCCAACCCTTCCTTTTTCTTCTCACCACTACCTTTTTGGGATGACGAGCGCGATAGTGGCAACGCCAATGGTGACCTCCGTAGGCCCAGACGGGACTGGCCAGAGGACTGTGGGTTCAAGTCCCACCGTCACCCCAACCCTTCCTTCTTTTCCTCTTCTCCACCACCTTTTGGGATGGTGAGGTGCAATAGTGGTAGCGCCAATGGTAGCCTCCATAAGTCCATGGGCAGGCCGGAGGAGTGCAGGTTCAAGTCCTGCCATCACCCCAACACCCTTCCGATTCATCTTTCTCTCCACTACCTCTTCGTGACGAGGCGCAATAGTGGTAGCGCCAACGATAGCCCCATATGCCGACAAAAAGTTGACTGCAAGGAATGCAGGTTCAAGTCCTGCCGTCACCCCAACACTTTCATTTCTCTCCACTACCCCTTCTACCAAAGGCCTATCTGCCACATGCCTTTATTCAACAAGCATGAGCAAGATGCCACCAACACCCATCGCCTTTCGCTGCCACTGGAACATTCACCAGCCTACCGTGACATAAACCCGTGAAAGCACCCTCCAACTCACCCACCCGCAAGAACCGCGCACTCAAACATTGACTTAACCATAGGCACACAGCAGCAAAACATGCGACCCCAACACTGGGGGTCGCGTGTCCTTTTCTCTATCCAACCTCTTTCCACCTCCATTCTCCCTCACCCGTTGTTCAATCTCAGTGCAGGGGTCGCATGCCCCTTTATGTGTTATTGCTTCATCTCACTTTATTCTCCTTCACACCATTGATTACTCGATGTCTCATACTTCCTAGGTCAAACAAATTCCTTTCTTCACATCCTTATGTTCTCCAAACTTTTTTCACCCGAGTCACTATAGTACGGCATATGCCGATAGGCACGGTTACGTACTCTAAAATGAATCCATCCATCCATCCATCCATCCATCCATCTGTACATGAGGGGACTTTCACAACGTGGAGTGTCGTCGGGTTAGTAGGGTCGGGGTGACGGTGTCCTCTGGGGTCTGGTTTCGGGTTGGTTTGGTTCGTCTGTGGATGGGGTTACTCCCCGGGTTCAGTGCTGTCACGATGGGTGGTTTTCTTGGAAGTTTCGGTCGATGGGAACCGAGGTACGATCGGGGGTAAGTCTGGGTCTCTTATCGATGGCGTGCGACTTCTTTAGGTATTTTGCCAGCCTGAGGATTCCTTTCGGTCTCCCCATCAGCATCATGGGTCTGGTCTGCCGTCCGCTACCCAGCAGGTGTCGAAACTTCCTGAGTTGCGGGCAGTTTTGTAGGACGTGGGTTCGTGTCTGGACCGCTGCGCCGCACTGGCATTCTTGGCTCTCTGTATGAATGCCGAAGCGCTGGTAGTATTCCCCAATGTGCGCGTGTCCGGTGCGAAACTGGATTAGTCTGCTGAATGTTTTCCGGTCTAGTGACTTAAACCTCAGGGTGGGTCTGAGTGTCGGGGCGATATGGTTCGCCAGGTGGAATCCGGAGCTGGGGGGGTCACTTGCAGGGGTGTCGTGAGCTTTGTGCATCAGCAGCGCCACTTTAATTTACTGCGTTCAGGCCCAAACTTCAAGTCATGTCATCGTTTAGGCAACACAGCGCCAATGACACTTGCGACACTGCCTCCCCGATCCTGGGTCCGTGCGCTGATCGCACTGCAGCACAGCCTCTATACTATAAACGTTGGAGTAGTGATAATAAAGCTTTGGCATTTACCTTTGTCTCTCGTTAACTCGAGTGTTATCGCTGAGCGCCTACAAGTCGACTGATAACAACACTTTCTGCAATGGAAAATGGTTGCATGTTATTCGACAGCGGGAATTGATGAGGAAACCCACATGTCCACCAATTCTTCGCAATCCTCTTGCTTTCCGTTACCTCCATAGACCGATCACTAAATCGTCTCGGCCACATGTCTGTATTGTTATCTGTTGGCATTTGTTTCTACTTTGTTCCCTTTCGACGTTCAAGCTGGAACATCAAAAGGGTGGCACACTTTCTGTGCAGTGCCAGACTCCATGGACTCTGATTGGACTCCTGCTCTGGGCTACTTTACTAGAATCCCTTTCGTGGCTGCTTGTTATTCTAGATGTACGGGGGCTATACATGTTATGTTCAACATCCAGGGCCATCTTTGGGGTGGTAAAGTGACGCTCGATCCGCCGGCGGACAGACCTAATATCCGACGCGGGAAATTTCGGGGAAATCGGGTTAATTCTCGCCATTTCCTGTGCGGAATTTTTTGGCCCAAACTGTGTACTGGGTAACTCGAGAATAGTGGATGGCGTGTAGACAATGGCAGAGAACTCTTCCCTGCTCATTGACAATGCGTTCATCGATGAACAAAGCACAGGGTGATGGTGTAGTTACAACACAAACGTCATCAAGGAGGTGTGTGGAGAGAACAGTGACAGAGTAGCCACATCCTGATATCTTGAACTGGCCGGGGAACTCAAGGAGATTATCTCTCGAGCCGGAGACTAAGTACTTCAACGTTTCTGCAAACCCGGGAGCGCAAGAGAATTGTGGCTAGAAGCATGACCCAAGTGAACAAGACCAGTGGCACAGAAGATGTGTTGGAATAAACACTGTCGCTTTCCTCAACCGGAGGTAGGCGCCCTGAAACGTCCAAAGCTCGCAAGCGCTTAAACCGTGGCGGGGTTGGATCATACCATGCCCCGGCGCTCTGATTAGTATTTGAAGACATTCGTGCCCATGAGGGATTGCCATCAGTAGCGCTAAATACCCGGCGATGGCGACGGATCCGAGCGTTTCTCGTCGCGGCTCCATCGGGGCATTCCCGTTAAAAGTCATCTACATCGGGGCTGCATACGTGCATAGCGGTGTGTTTCCGTTCAAGCTCCATATTTCCCCTGGACTATCTCCCGGAGTTCGAGCTTTGAGTTCCCGCGGAAAGTGTTTTCTATCATTGGGTAACGAGGGAGTGGGAAAGCGGCATGTCAGGCCTTTCAATACCAGGCTGCATCCGTGTCTTCATTCGTGAATAATTCTACTAGTAGGCGGGGTCTCCTCATAAGCTCGTGTCGTCGTTCAACCCTTTTAACCTCATGCAAGCTCTCCTACTCCCCACTCTCTGTCGTCGTCCCGGTGGTGCCTAGGCTTTTGAGATGTGTCATACTGTAACGCAGCGAACAGGGACGGGCTTGGTCAGCTGTTCTACTACCTTACACTTCAACGCCGCAAATTCATTAGGGTCTGCACTCTGAACTGTTAATCCACTTTATCTAAGCGCGATCTGGAATTAATCGACTTTACCGACGTCTTTTTGCATTTACATTGTCTTGCCAGTGGCGAGGACTTTCCGGAGCATGTCTGCCCGAAAGTTGTCTCAACATTGAGCCGCGCCGGGATCTTCCTGTCGGATGAACACGGGTCATTTGCATCGCCGAATCCCACCGCGGAACGGACTGAGCGGTATTCACGTTCGCGCACAATGTGAGTCGTACCCTTGGTCCGCAGTATGCCGGATACTTCATGCATGGTCAGCGTGCTGTAAGTGACGACTCACCAGGGGAATATGGTTTGGGTTTCATTCGGACGAAGAAGGACGAATTTTTCTCGAGACCCCGCCCTTGGCGCTCGTGTGAGCAGCCTGAAGCTCTGCAGGTTAAATATCCAGAATAAAACAAACAAACAAACATGGTCAGCGCACTCTTCGAGTTTTTTGGGTTTGTAAATCCCATCTTATGGCGCGTGAAGCTCTAGAAGCAATTATGCCACAGATCGCTTAGCCCACCTAACCTGCCTTCAGCGCATTGAATCCCTGAACACGCCCAGAAGCGAAGAGCGCATCATCTCGAGGGCGTAAACACAACCTTGTGCAAGATGTTGGCGTCTCGGGATAATATATGTCGTCGCGAGTTCCGCAAGCGGGTGAAAATCGAAGAGCCCCGGAGTGGAAAACTGAAAGCATTGCCGCACAAGCTCCATTTGTTGCCACCGTTAATTAAGCTCCACTTCACGGGTAAATGTGTTACATCTCTTTGCACCACTTGAAACCGACAGCAGGCCCCAGTTGTGCGGGTCGCTATTGTCTCGTAAAGATATAGACGGGTGCGCAGAGAACCCCCCGAGTCTCAGATTAGCACAACCGGCCTGTCCCTCTTCTGTTGTTTCTCGACCTCAGATATCATGGACGGCTTCATCACTCTCGCTGTTGCTCCTGGACATCTCTTATTTCATCATCAGAACTACTGTGCTCCGCCTCGGTGATTGAGCTTGAGACTGGGAAGGTAGCAATCAACTGAGTTACGGATGCATTATCGGGTGAATCTCCTCGATGTCAGCCAATTCCTCGCTCTTGAATTGCGTTTATCGATCAGGCAGCTCGCCTGTTTTTTCTATCATGATGGAAGACAGCCCACCGATAGAGCGTGAACCAACCTCTCTCCTCTTTCTCATGCCCCATTCACCCTCGAAACCGAATATATCCCTACTGCATTGAACCTCAATCAGTTGTAGTATATCTGGGCCCCTTCGTTCTGGGCGCATCATTCGTTATTTAACAAGCCTGCCCGATCCCGCTTCTTTGTGTCGATGTATATACTACATGCACTGAATTCCCTGTACATTAATCCGGACGCATCTCTTTGGTCAGGAAGCATTTGCGTGACCGCTCGTTGTGACCGTCAACCAATTGTGTGACTGACACCTGTTCTAGATCTGGATTCTGTTAGCCATTCCAATGATGAAGAGAGCAGCATCACTGGCATCCGGGCGTCTAGAACAAATTCTAAGACATGTTTCAACATCCTTCAATGTCCGGCCTCTCACTAAACCAGTAGATTCAACTTTCTTTTCCGTTGCTGAACCCCTTACATCCGATGCTTTGCGTGCTATCTCACGGCAGCTGGAGAAGTATACGCCAATGACCGCTGCAGCCATCGCATGCGACAGCCGGCCCGCTGCCTCGGTCCTCATTGGACTCTGTAATGTTGACGGTGTTTCGGGTGTTCTGCTCGAAGTAAGAGCGAAACTGCGGACGCATTCCGGAGAAATTAGGTGAGCTTCACATCTTCGTATCAGCGGAATGACACGTTTAGCTCCTCCAGTTTTCCTGGAGGGAAGGCCGATGAAGTAGGTCCCTGCTGCATGACCATGTCATTCGAAGTTAATCTTGCAGCCAGATTGACGCCAACCTCGTGGATGCCGCTCTTCGTGAAGCATTTGAGGAGATAGGGGTCAGACCTTCCCAGGTAGAGATACTGGGATGTTTAGCGCAACCAACTGTTTCCTCAACAGGACTTACAGTGCACTGCTATGTCGTAGGTTTTTGCCCACATAATTGGCGGAATGGAATACCCTAATTGTGTATTTGTCCCAAGGGGTTTATACATCCGTATGAGGAGCTGTCCCCCGGTGCCAGGAAGCGTACACCATCACTTGTACCGAACTCACACCCGGTTTCTATCCCATCCTCAATACCATTGCCTTCTCTTTCAATCAACTCCCTCCGTCCGAATCCTTCGGAAGTCCAGCAAGTATTTCAGTTCCCTCTCTCTTATCTCCTATCACCACTTCGCCTTCGCCCTCACAATTTGCTTATGCGCTCCTCTTATTGGGCGATAGACGTTACGGATTTCATCAAGCCTGAGCTACGGGGTTTGCTACCCAACGTGCCGTGCTCGCCAAATGACGGGGACGAGGCGGGACGTATTGTAGATCCTGCAGTGCCCAAGATCGAGGTCTGGGGACTTACGGGTCACTACATGAATGTGTTCATGCGGAGACTCATGATGCTATGAGTGGTACGCTTGAAGATCTGATCCGCATAGGTCACCCCCCATCGCACTGAGTCGCATGTGTTATTGCCTCGTGCGGACGCGCATCAGCGCCGACAATGCTGGCCCATATTCTTCCTGCATATGTCTTCTGTCTCGAGCCGTCCAACACATTATCACTGGGATCTAACACTTGAATCGCCGTCATGCTTTCAAACGAACCGGAATACAGTTAATCGGCAGCATACTTTACTCACGGTTGTTTTGCCAGGCATCTACTTGACGCGCCTTTCTGCGTTGCTGTCCCCACTGGTTCACTGCCAAGAATTTGCACCCACGGGGATGATCCACAGAGTTTGCTGTTACTCGAACAATGTATCATCCAGCCTATGAATCTTCACAAGCAGCCAGAAGCGCACGTTGAATACTTCAAGTTCGTATACCCTACTCCGTGTCTGACGGAAATGAAATCGGCGGTGCATACCCACTGTTATTACATACCGTTCTCGCGAGTCATTACAAAATAAACAACATACACTTGGATACACAGGTCAACAAACAATCTTTCCAAATGGAACCCGCACGGCGAAGCGTGAACATAGCATAACCTGGTCTTCAGTGCCAACAGTACGTTGTTCCCCTTGAAAAGCTTTGAGTGGCACCTGATGCCATGGTCGCCACACCACCACCTCGCTCCCTGCTCGAATATTGTCCAAATGCATAAGGTCAATGCCGGAAGCCCTACCAACGCCAAGCCTCCGCAAACTGGAAAAGAGAACGGTCTCTTCAGCTCCATTGATTGTTGAAGTCGTATGTTTCACTTCCACCTCTGCTTCTGTGCTTTGGTTCGCCCCATTCAAGCTTTGGGACTCGGTTTCGGGATCAGTTGGTTGCTCTATTAGTTTCACTTCTACCTCTTGTTTGAGAACCCGACAGCGTGTTAGAGTGAAGCTGCGACTATCTTTCCCCAGACCTTCAAAGCACCCACAAACATGGATAACCAGGAAGCGTAGATCAGGTTTCAGTACGGTTGAAAGCTTATGAGATGTCGTGCTCTGCTCAACCTTCGAAATTTGGGGCTTTCGGGTGGGGTGCCGCGATTTTGTCTTGGAGGCTGCTGGATTGACAGAATGGTTTGCATGCGTTATTGATCCTTGCCACAAGGCAATCCTCATTTCGTACGACTGTATTAGACTTGAAGCTCGCTCTGCTAGACCATTTCTGGGTCGCATGGTACTGACATGAGCAGGTCTAGCCATAGGCACCACGAAATGCGTACCGTGTAAGTGAATGGTGATTACCGCCAGACTGACGGAGGCGTCGTGTCTTGGACGGGCTCAATCCAAGGCCTCGCTGCAGTTCTTCTTTTTCTCGAGTGTTTTCGGGACTTGTCGGGGGAAGGATATCTTGTCAACGATACGCGCAGTCAGCGGGGTGACGATTATCCTATTATGGCCCTCAGTTTGTTCGTCCCCCTCCGAGGACCCAAACTCGGAAAGAGGTATTGGAGCAGGGAGTGGGCGCGTGGGAGTTGTGAAGACGGGCTTATGATGGTATTCGTCGCGGAAAATTGTTTCAGCAGCGTCAAGGCGCGAAGATAGGGAGGCGAAGGGCTTTTGCCAGTGAGGCGTCTGCGATACGTCTGGAGTGAATTGGCCTGAGAATGGATCGAGCAATGATTTCCGTTTCTTGGGTTGTGTTGGTGTGTCAGGAAAAGTGAATGGTGGTTCTATAATGGTTTTCCGGGCACTACTTGAGGCCGGCTTCGATCCGGGTGAGGCACGTTTAGAGTTCGAAGCCAGGAATTGTGCGAAGTCTTTAGCATCCCGGTTGAAAAGCTCCTTCGACTTCGCAGATGGACATCCAGGCTTCCTTATGGGTATGGAGAATGGACTTGATGATGTGTTAGATGCAAATCCCGCAGTGAACCGAGTGATGGGGTCGTCGTCAACAATTGACTTGCGCTGTTTAGCAGTAGTCACATCTTTCTATTCACGAAAGTGTTAATTAAAAGCATTGAAAAACTCCTTCAGGCTTGATCATACACGCAGAGGTGTGCTAGGACCAGCACGACCGGCCTCCAGAGGCGGATGCTTCGACATCTTTGAAGGAGGCCCATCACGGGACCGTGTGCTTTGCCAAACAAACAATAACAACGCGTCTCCGGATCATTTTTCAAAACAACTCGAGCTTTCCTATCCAATATCTACATGCCACCGAAGAGCAAGAAGCCTAAGACAATCCTAGAGGACCTCGAGTGGACTGGAAGCCAAGATAATGATGGCAGTGATGATGGGTAAGGCCTTTCAGCACGCCCCTTATATTCCTGCTCAAGCCGCCGTGAGATAAGACAGCAAGCATATCTGGAATTATTCATGAAGATAGAGGGTACTCTGGTCGAGGAACCTCCTCATTGCCGCATTTGTCTCTGATTATCGATATGTGGTTCAGCGGACAAAGCAAAAAAGAAGAGACAACAAGAGCTACAGCTTTTGACGACATCAAGGAAAAACCTCGACAGCTGCGTATGTGGACGCGCTAATACGTCAGTTTCTCTGGTGTTGAATACTACGTTAGCTCGTAGAGGGTGCAAAATCGATGAATGAGGTTTACTTCAACCTGTAGGCTCGGAGACGGCGTTTCCGATGCTTACACCGGCTAAATTTCTGGTAGTCAACACGAAATAAAAGGCATGCTAACAGAGTATGCAGAGATAGACGATTCGATAAGGAAGTTATGGGTAGCGCTGATGGAGGAACAGAAGACCTACGTGGTGAGTTGCCCTTCGCTTTCACTCGAAGGAGACAAATTATCGTGGGGCCTTGCTCCTCCCACTTGTTCTTAACCTGTAGGCCCTCTGCGAAGCACAGGACGGGGAGTTCGACAAGATTCGGGAGGAACGCGATGAAGGGCATGATTCAGCTCTGCGATCAATGAAGTCCGCTTGTCAAGGTTTGATGCATCTCTTGTCTTCTCTGAGCCGTTAAACATCTTTGCATGACCAGAACAATCGAGAGCCATTGAACACATCAGCGGCCCATTCCCATAATTTGATTCAAGATCTTTTGCTCGCTGGGGCGTCGTTCAGACTTCGTAACCGTCAGGCCTAAACCTGTTCCTCCGCGCAATATGCAGCGTAATATTAGATAGAGTGTCTGCCGCACCCGTACCGTTGAATCAATGATCTTGAGTGGGAATGTGAGAATGACTCTGGATCATGTAAGCAAGACTGAGTCGGCCATGATTCTTCGCCTCAAGTTATATCGGACGGTGAGTTCATGGCTACCAGCCTTTTTTGACACGGGTATGTTCATGCCGAAGAGGCGAATCTTCAGAAATTGAGACGTGCCCACGAGGGGTGCACGCGTGTTGGGTCAGGCTTGCCGCAGTCACGCCATTTTGAACTACTCCAGCCTTGAAGATGTCCATCGATCTTGGGCTTGACAGAATCAAGGCTCTCCTGGAACATATCCCATATGCTAGACCGACAATTCATGTAGTGGGAACAAACGGTAAAGGAAGTGTGTCATCTCTGATCGAACACGCCTTGCTGTCTGGTGGTCTCTCGGTTGGTAAATTTACGAGCCCTCATCTCGTCCATGCCTACGATTGCATTTCAATCAACGGTCAATCTGTCTCCCCAGTTACATACGAGCGTTTGTCGTCGCATCTCAAGTCCTTATCGGTGGATCACGAAATTGACGCGAGTCCGTTCGAGTTTTTGACTGCTACAGCACTCTCGGCGTTCGAGGAGGAAAAGCTGGATGTCGTCATCCTGGAAGCTGGAATGGGTGGAAGGCTGGATGCCACGAATGCACTTCCAGATGAAGTCATGCTGATCACTGTCATTACTGCAATCGACTTCGATCATCAAGCATTCCTTGGGGATACAATATCTTCTATCGCTCGCGAGAAAGCTGGAGTAATACGAGAGCATGGTTCGGTGGTTTTAGGGGATCAATCACCAGAAAGTGTTGCTGAGGTCCTCCAAGCCGTCGTCGAAGTTGCCTCACAGCAGAGCGCCAAAATAATTAAGTCAAAGCCCGCTACTCGTATCACTGAAGGACCAGGAAACTCGCCTTCCGATGGTGATGCCTGGGAGCCACCGGCTCCCTTCCAGAGCATTTCCCTGCCTTCACTGAACGGTGACAAGGAGATCCGGATACAACTTCCGCTTCTTGGCGAACATCAGCTTGGCAACGCCGGAGTCGCCTACGAAGCTCTCAAGGCTCTCCGGGAGCGACGACCTGCCTTATTCCGAGCTGTGAGTGACGATAGTATTTCGAATGGTTTTGGAAGCGTACGCTGGTTGGGACGCCTTTCTTGGACAACCATACCGTTGCCCGCCTTTCCGCCCAGTGAGGATAAAGATGGCCCGCCTTCTCTAAGGGTCCTTGTGGATGGAGCACATAATGAGGCTTCTTCACAGGCGCTTTCCTCCTATCTTGAATCTGTGGGATTGGGAGGGGGTCGAGGCCATACTCCACGGACCTTCATTGTTGCCTTCTCACATTCTCCACCGAAGACTCCGGAAGACATCCTCAAAAAACTGCTGAAATCAGGAGATCGTGTTGCGCTCATTCCCTTTAAGCAACCTGTCGAGGGCATGCCTTGGGTTCGGAACGCCTGGAGGGATGATGTGAGGCGTTCCGTTACAAAACGAATCGGCTCGTCGGGCGAGATATGGGAGCCTCAACGACATGTCGCCGATTCGCCCTTTCTACAGGCCTTACACTGGGCTAGGCGCAGGGGTGAAACGGCTATCATCGCTGGCAGTCTTTATCTGGCTGGCGATTTCTACCGGGAATTTGGGATTCTATAGCACGCCCGCTGAATGAAAAGGGATTTGAGAAGCGGTACTTCACAATGGCCCTGTCCATGATTGATTAGCAGCATGATTATGCATAACGAATAAGCGTTCTTGGAATCCCGGTCGAAAAGGCCACATTTCATTCACTACTGCCACATCAGATTACGGAAACACTAACACAGGTTTGTGCGCCAGACACGGCTGGAAAATATCAAGAGGCTCAACATCTGCAACCCCCTGCATAATTAAATGGTTCCGTTTTCTAGAACGACATCTAGTGACACGTGTTCAAGGGCCGGGCATGTCAGCCTGGTGAACGGGAAGGCCCCTGCCCCTTGATTTCTTTAGCTGCCCCGACTTTGCTTGTACTCCGACACTCAGCATCCCAATCATTCGGAGTTAATTCCGCTACACGTCTCGAGAACGACTCAAGAGTGCATAGCTCTGGTGAGCCGGGAAGGTGATTCCCCACCGGAGAGCATGCCGGGAGTCTAAGTGATCGATTCTGATATCTTAATCGAACATCTTGGAAATCTAAGATTTATTTGAAGCTTAAGTTGAAAGAACAATTCGCTCACAGTGAGTGGGTTTTGGAGGAGAGATCCATTTTTGGGAAAGTCCCGTAGGCGCGGGAACTGGTGTCCTAAAAAGTTCGACACTGATGTACGCGGTGAAGTCGGGCCAACTGCGGGAATGTGTCAATACGAATTCGCAGATGGAAAACAAACCATCGCCTTGCCGTCCATCAAAAACATCCAAGGTCTGAGCCATCCCAGCTAAGGAAGTATCGTGGCATCCATGAAGCGTCAGCTTTAGAGGATCATGGTCACCATTAAAGGCCTTGTTCCTCAATCGAACTACCAGTTCGCTGAGCAGCCGTCCCTGTGCTAATCGACGGACTTCTTCGTCTTTATCTGAGGGAACATTTCGAAGGTTCGAAGGGGAAGGAGCGCAGCAGTCAGTTAAACGTCAATCTAGGCTGGGTGGATAAACCAAACAATTTGCTGACATCCGTCAAACCACTCGGCTACCACCGCTTTCTCCTGCAACACAGATGACGGTTAAGTCAAGGTTTTCGGGAACATACGACTAACTATTGTGTCTATGACTTCAGGCTCCTCGAATTCGGGCGGTATCGTTACTCCATGCGCTTTTGCGCATCGAACCTTGTGAGAGTCAGAAACCTTAGGGTAATCCCGTGACGGGGTGGACGGGACTCACGGTATCAAGTAATCCAGAAGCACGCGGGCGACCATCAATTCTCACCGGCTTTCCATTGATATACTTCGATATCTTATTGTCTAATTTTTCCAGCTCTGGTGCCCATCGATCTGCCGCAGCTATTGGTTCGGAAGGTAATTACATGAACGACCAAAATACTCATAGCATGCGATATACCTTTCTCGAAACTTGCCATAAGTTCCTTGTACCTAGGACATGCAGCCCAATTTCCCATGAGGTTCTCGTCGGATGGATGCCTCATCCGTATTCTCGGGACACTATTATTCAGAAACATATTGGTCGGCCATAGCCCATGGATGATCTGTTGTGTAGTTTCGACGGTGCGGGGGAAGTAGGTGGATCGGAAATATGCAACTCCCGAATTGGCATCGATCGAATCCGGCAAAAAGCCAAGCCTAAACAGTGCCTATGGGCTTGATTGGAAGCGGGGGAACTTGAAGGATGCCATACTTCTTTACATAAATGTCACGTATCGCGTGGCCGAATTTCAAGCTAGATCGACGGCCCTCGTCTGTAAGTTCCCCATATAAGCTATCGAACATATGTAATTAAAAAGTGCGTCAAAGAAATAGCCACACGGGCGGCGCACCATTCTCCATCGTTACTCTTCCCATCTTTCTTTTCCGTTACGCGCAAAACTTCCAGGGACTCAAGTGTGCCGCGTGTCCCGATAACAGAAGCCTTGAATTGTCGTGCAATATTACAAAACGGCCATACAGAGGGAATATTAGCCGGTGGTCCTGTCATTCTGGCTCCCACAGGTGTCCTTTCTCCTGAGCAAACCGCAGGAAAATACCAATGACGTATGAGCGCCAGTGCAGGGCAAGAGAAACATACCATGGCGAACATAGAAATGCACTTGCTCCAGCACTAGGTTCCGAGGTGCATCATAACACTTAGATTCGAGCATTGCTGTAGAGGGGAAGAGCGCGTGGCTCGCGTGGGGGATGCGGAGAGTGTGGGAGAGTAAGAAAGACGCCGGTCAGATGATCTCGCCGCAAACCATTTCACGCTTGGCTGAGCGGTTGCTCTTTTTAATTTGCTCATGCATCCGTGAAGAGGCGCCCCTCCGCACGTTCGCCGTCTCCTTTCATCGATGGATGTCCCTAAAGTCAGCGATGAGCAGCAACTCGACGTTGTTCGCGCGGTAAAGGACATCACTTTTGGTAGTGTGAGTCAGATTAGGTTCCAAACTGTTATATGACGTCTTCATGATTTTGGATTTAGATTGCTGGGATGGTTGCAAAAGTTTTTGAGCACCCTTTCGATTTATGCAAAGTCAGACTGCAGAGCCAAGTGCTCGATGAGACTCCTCGATTCAATGGACCAATAGACTGTTTATACAAGACTTGGAAGTATGAAGGGTTTCGTGGATTATACAGGGTGGGCACATTCTAGGGACTCGTCGTACCCGAAGGCACTCCTGAGGCTATTTTACACAGGGCTTGCCACCGCCCGTTGTTGGCGCAGCAGCGGAGAATGCAGTTCTTTTCCTTACTTACAATAACATACGACGATCCCTCGCATGGATGGACCCGTCACCGATTAATGACCCTTCCAAGATGCCTTTATCTCATACCTTAATAGCTGCTGGCGGCGCTGGTGCTGTGACAAGTTTCGTCTGTAAAATTGACATCACCTTTTTCTTCGTTCTCTACCTGACATCCCTTCCCAGGACACCGATAGAACTTATCAAATGCAAAATGCAAGTTCAAATGCTTGCAGCTCCCCGCTGCTACCAGCAAGTGGCAGTGCGGGACTCCCACTGCCGACAGTTCAAATGTCCTCACTTCCAGGCCCGATTGAGATTCTTCGCTCGATCACGAGAACAGAAGGCATCCGTGGCTTATGGTTGGGCCATACGGGAACATTGATTCGTGAAACCGGTGGCGGTGTCGCATGGTTCGGCATCAAAGAGCTTGTTGCTAGATCACTCGTTGCGCGTCATGCGCCCAATAAGGAGACAAGTTCCGCTGAACCGCATTTAAAATCTTGGGAATCGGCCCTTGCAGGCGCATGCGCGGGCGTCGGGTATACTGTCTTGCTTTTCCCCGCTGATTGTGTCAAGTCGACGATTCAGACAGAGGAGAGTTGAGACCTCGAGCCCCACCGAAGTACGCGGAGTCTACCCCGCCAAAGTCCACCTTCACTGGCGTATTTAAGGAGATCTATCGGACTAGAGGGCTTAAAGGTCTATATGCTGGTTGTGGAGTTACAGTTTGTCGGAGTGCGCCTAGCAGTGCGCTTATCTTTTTGGTTTACGATGCACTAGAGAAACATTTTGGCCAGCAGTAATAGAATGTATGATGTGGGTGGCCATGGTTATCTTAATAAATTGTAGAATAAGCGCCGGCCTCGGTCTTCGCCGATTAAATCGATATTTGAGGATGTCGACACGGACGCTCGCGTGGGCATCTCGCTCACTGGCACGTCTCCTAGGAGCGCCAGGGCTATCTACCCATCTGCGTGCCGCAAGGCATTGCATCCCCGGGATCGCTCCAGCCTTCTATTACCCTTCATTGCAGCTTATTCGCACCAAACAGACTCGCGGGGCGGACACGCCAAAGGCCTCAAAACAGAAAACATCCACCAACGCACCAACCAAAGATGACACTGTTTTTAAGGCGGAAATGTCTAAGATGGAGGAGAAGATGACAAGGATTGTGAGCGCATTCACGAATCATGTCGCAGTGATGGAGAGCCGTGGTCTGGGGCGAGCTCAACCCAATTCATCGAGAATTTGCCTGTCGACTGCCTTGAGAAGGGTATTAAAAAACCCTTGAATGAAGTTGCCACTATCGGGGTGAAGGATGGGACTGCGCTTATTGTCACAATATTTGAAGAAAAGGTGGATACAGATATTTGTTCCCTTCCGTCACGCACTTACTGGAGGCCATAGTGACTGTCTATTTAGATGCTGCGGAATGTCGAGAAGGCACTGCGCACTGAAAGCATTTATGCCTGCGAGCCTGTCAACACGACAACACTACGTGTGTTCGCTCCCAAGTAAGTCGTGCGCTCTCATCTACTGCGGGGTGGAGCCGATTTTTATCGCGTAGGCCAACTTATGCCCTACGAGAGCAACTGGCTAAGGAGGCTGCCAAACAAGCCGAGCAGAGGAGGATATCCGTCCGGAACGTGAGACAAAACGTGATGCGGACCACAGGTGTCGACAAAAACTCCGCTGAGGCAAAAATGGTACGTTTGGATCCTTAGCATACCATCCCCACTCGCTGAGTAACCCTGCATTCATTGCTAGATCCAAATATATACGGACAAGCACATCGCCAAAATCGATGACTTGTTGAGAGTGTTACAGAAAATGGCGGATCCGAAGGTCAATAGTGGTCGATGACTCTTGGTAGAACTCCCCCATGTATCGACTGTTCCCTGTTGCCAATCCAATCAGCAATGTTTTTCTCACCCCGCGGGTAAAACCGAAAGTGTGACTCGAGTGATGTGACAATCGGAGGTTGAGTCAGAAAAAGCTAGGAGGATTAATTTTTATGTTCTTGAAAGGATCACGCGTTGGACTTTCCACAAGATCGATCCTACTCGCGCGACTATCTCTCAATCTTGCTCGATCTACCCTCGAAGCATACACACACACATCTGGCATTATTGGAAAACATTCTGCGATGTCTATGGCAGATATAACCTCTAAACTACGTGCTTTGAACTTGACTCACGGCGCGTTTGTGTCGCATGCTCCAACTACTTCCCCCGCCTCATGGAAAGAAGAACTCACCAAGACAGGGAACGTCCCTACTCCCTACCAGCTCGTCAAAACCCTTGTCTTTAAGCCAAAAACTGCAAAGAATGCGACTCCGATCCCAGTGATCGTGATCGCCAGGGAAGACACGGAGACAAACTCCTCTGCACTTGGGAAACGATTGAACTTGAAGGACTTGAGACTAGCATCAGCGGATATCTTGCAAGAGTTCCTCGGCGTCGATAAGGATGCCTGTAAGTCCTCTCTCTGCCTCATTCAAATACGATCGGGCACTAATGAATGCTTTGTTCTCTAGTGTCTGCTCTGTCCCTCACCCCTGAAACATTCCCTAAAGTCCACACTATCATCGACGCGTCTCTAGCCGAGTCATCTTCTTTCTATGCCCTTCACCCTTCCAAATCCGACGCAACGGTCTTCCTACGAGGCCAAGACATTGCTACATACCTCAGGAGTCTAGAAACCCCGGAGCACACAGTTCTCGTAGAAGATTTTCAGGCCTTGAAGGCTGAATCGCTTGTTCAGCCTGCTCCGTCGGTGTTTTTTTCCTTGTGGGAGTAAAAAAGAAACTGATTGCTTCGAAGCGCTGCCAAGAAACCGGAACAAAAAGGGGAGAAAGAGGATGCCCGCATAGAGGGCGCAAAGCTCATCGCTATTGGTATAAAAAAAGAAGTAGATTTCGCAGGGTGGTACACGAACGTAGGTTTCACTCTCGGCTGTCGTGTGATGATGATTACGATTTTTCAAGGTTCTGATCAAATCGGAGATGATCGATTACTATACTGTCAGTGGGTGCTATATTTTAAAACCATGGTCGTACACCATCTGGGAAGCCATTCAAGGTCAGTGCTTTCGTCGATCAGTACCATATTCCATGGGATCATTGGGTTTCGTAGAGTGGTTCAATGCTCGGATCAAGGATATGGGTGTTGAGAATGCCTATTTCCCACTATTCGTTTCTCAAAAAGTCCTCGAGAGGGAAAAGGACCACATTGAAGGCTTTGCCCCGGAGGTTGCGTGGGTTACACGAGCGTAAGGGATGGCTTGGGTTCAGGGTTTTACCCGCATGTTGAAGGACTTGTTATGATCTATTCTAGTGGGAGCTCGGAGCTAGAGGAGCCTGTCGCCATTCGTCCCACGTCAGAAACTGTCATGTATCCCTGTAAGTTGTGTCATTTCATGTCGCTGGATAATTCTCATTGGGTCAACGAAAGACTACGCGAAATGGATCCAGAGTTATCGTGATCTTCCTCTCAAACTCAACCAGTGGAATAGCGTTGTGAGATGGGAGTTCAAGAATCCACGTAAGCCGGTTTTGGGTATCCTTCCCGTCAGATATTAATTTCTATATCCTTAGAACCTTTCCTCCGTACACGAGAGTTCCTTTGGCAGGAAGGACACACTGCACATGCCCGAAAAGAAGACGCAGATATTGAAGTCCGCCAAATTCTTGACCTCTATCGCCGCGTCTATGAAGAGCTCCTTGCTGTCCCAGTTATTCCTGGTGTCAAGTCCGAAAAGGAAAAATTCGCTGGAGGGCTGTACACTACCACTGTCGAAGGCTTCATCCCCACCTCAGGCCGTGGTATCCAAGCCGCGACCTCACACTGCCTCGGACAAAACTTCAGTAAGATGTTCGAGATTGTCGTCGAGGATCCTGAGAAACCTGCCGGATCAAAAGACTCCAAATTATTCGTGTGGCAGAACAGTTGGGGTCTGTCAACTCGAGCGATTGGTGTGATGGTTATGGTGCATGGGGATAATCAAGGGCTGGTACTGCCTCCACGCGTAGCTAGCGTACAGGTGGTTGTCATTCCTTGCGGTTTGACGGCTAAGATGTCGGCAGAGGAAAAGAAGAGGATTTTGGATGCTTGTGATGACACGGCTGCAACGTTAAAGAAGGCAGGCGTCCGTGCTAGAGCCGATTTACGGGATACGTATACTCCTGGGTGGAAGTTTGCTGATTGGGAGCAGAAGGTACGGTACATAAAAGATTATTCTGAGTCACAGGGCCATGAATTAGACCGGTTCACTGTTAGGGTGTCCCACTCCGACTTGAGATTGGACCTCAGGACCTCAGAGCTAACAAGACACTTGGTGTTCGTCGTGATGATGCGACAAGACATGACATTTCAATCAAAGAGCTCACAACTGCGGTTCCAGCCCTCTTGAACAAGATTCAAGATGACATGTACAAGCGCGCAAACGATATTTTCCAGGCAAGATTGAAGACGGTCACCGAATGGGATCAACTCGTGCCTACGTTGGATGCTAAATGCATTGCGGTCATTCCTTGGTGCGAGGAAACGTCTTGCGAGGATGACATCAAGGAGCGTAGTGCCCGAGCGTAAGTGCTCTTTGTTCATTTATTTCATTTCATAGGCTCCATTCTGCGTGTCGGGTCTTTCAGTGCTGAGCAGACAGATGAGCGTGCACCATCGGCTGGCGCAAAATCGCTCTGCATTCCATTTAATCAAGAACGTTGGGGCACTCCAGCCGAGGGGTACAAATGCCCCGCCTGTCAACGTCCTGCTAAACGCTGGTCGATGTTCGGGCGCAGCTATTAGCCGTTGACGTTGACGTCAAATTACAAGGGTTGTATTTTGTCTGGGGAATGACTGGCGACTACAGTGGTATCCGCAGTGCTGTATTTTTTGTAGCCTCTTCATCAATTGCTCAGTACGCTTATGCAGCGATGACACAAATGATCAGGTTGCTTCGCTCTCCATTGCCAGCATCTTGGACATTTGTGATCTGATGAAGGGTGAATCGAAACAAGCAAGCCATTATAGATATCTGTGTAAGTGACTGATGAGCATGCTTTGGTTTGGAATGGACCGACATTTTACCTTCATAACCCCAACCATCCAAGTGCGTGGAGTGTAGGGAGTGTAGTGAGACATCTGACACTATGAACAATGTGCTCAGGTGGTCCTCTGTTGGTGCATGAGGGTCAGACGGTACCACCTCGGCGAACAGAGTATAATTTACTGTGAGACTCCAGCAGCCGCATGGCCTCCATTCCAGACTCCTGGTTGGGAATGATGCTTACTGTGGCTTCCAGAGAACTTCGCAAATTTCTGGGACGGTTGGAGTAAACCGCTGAACACAGCCCAACTTGGAAAACTCACCCTTCGCTACGGGCTCGCTCGAGGAGTCCGAGGACAGTATTTCGCAGACTGAGTAAATCGTTCATGTCACGGAGCACATCATAGTCCTCCCAAGCAGGATCCTGGCCCAAATTGTCGTCTCGGGACCGCTCCACGTAAAGACAGGGTGAAATAACTTACCATTTGCTTCCAGCCACGCTCAAAAACGGAGCTGGTAGAGGACCTCCCAGCTGCAAGCTGGCGAATTTGATGCACCTCCTCCGCAAGAAAAGGTATAATGGGCGAAATGATAGTTGTGAGTTGATCAAGGACCTATTGTTATTCGTCAGTTCGAAGGATAGGGAGGAAGAAAAAGGAACCTGACATGCAATAAAACCGTCACTACTGCCCGGCGCGAGATGCTGTTCGGGGATTCGGCGTAAAGAATGTCCTTAGTGACGTCAAAATATAAAGCAGATAACGTTGAGTTCGTGAATGCAACAAGTGCCGGTATGACTGTGTCCCGGCGTCAATTCGGGATGGTTTGTAGGATGGGGGAACACGAGCCTGATTGAAAATTGAAGGATTTAAAGGCTTCCTGAGCAACACTGTCGAGGGTAATGAGCTGATGCATCACATAGCGGTCGATCTATGAAGGTTGCTTCGTCAAGGACGAGCATAGTCGAGTTTACTCTACACTGACTATTGTCATATTTTGTTTTGAGACAGTCAAAGAATAATCAAGGGTGGCACCCTCAAGAGTGTTGCCGAGCAAGAAACGGATGGTGTTACGTATTTTTCGGAGAGTGTCAGACACTTGCGCGAGGACTTTGGGGCCTATCGCAACATCCTTGCCATAATCTACGCTGGCTGCCCATAGTCGAAGGACGTCCGCACCATACGCGGGGTCCTTGGTTTTATCCTAGGTGAACCCTGGCATATTAGACACGATTCCCAATCTTAGCAGACCATACCTTGCCACCAGATGTAATGACCGAGGGGCTAACGACGTTCCCAGAAGATTTACTCATTTTCCTCCCCTGCTCATCTAGCACAAAACCATGGGTGATAAGATGCCGAAATGGTGCTCTCCCAGTGGTACCATCAGGCCGTGACCCAATCGCCGTCAGCAGCATAGATTGGAACCATCCTCGATGCTGATCAGATCCTTCCAGACACGCATCGGCAGGTACAACATGCTCTCCACCTGCTCCGAACCTTCGAAGCATTGTCCAGGAAGTACCGCTATCGAACCACACGTCGATGGTATCAGTTCCTTTAACCCAATTCTCAGCATCGTCTGAGTTCCGGATGCTTGTCGGGAGGAATTCTGCGCTAGGTCCCGTCCACCAGTATGCAACACCTTCCTTTTCGAGGATGGATAGGATATATTCAAGGCTCTCGTGACTGAGCAATGTCTCTCCAGTTCGGGTATGGTGTAGCGATGGGATAGGTATTCCCCATACACGTTGGCGAGAAATGCACCACTCGTTCCTTTCGCGTATGAAGGACTCTAGACGAGTCCGTGCTGAAGGAAACTTGGTGAGCTTGCAGAGGATTCAGATTAATGTGAAGGTATCCCTACATGCATCTGGGTGGAATATGACGTCTTTGAGGGCTTCAAGTGCTTCGCCTTTAATGTCACCAACACGAGCGAACCACTGCGATGTTGCACTAGGTACGTATGCGCATTGTCAGGTCAAAGCTGGACTCCTCTCATTGAGCGATGCCTACCGCACGATCATTGGTTTCTGTGTTCTTGCATCGTATGGGTAGCGGTGCCTATACCTGTGATCATGTACGAATATGCCAGATTCCCGAAGGATGGAGACTATTTCCGCATTGCCTTCCCCCAACACACTCTTTCCGTATAATCTCTCCCCTATTTCTTGAGATGGAGCAAGCGATATTACATCATGGCTGAACCGTCCGTGCTCATCAACAGAACAGAGTATGTCAGCGACGATTCCCTCTTGGTTCGAATCTAGGGATGCACTCGAGAGAAATGCCAGATAGTCTTCGAAACCATGGGCAGGTGCCATATGCACCAAGCCAGTGCCAGATGACGGGGAAACATGACAAGAGGCAATCACTTCCAGGGGGGCGGAAGATTTAAAGAAGTGAGAGTATTTGGTGCTGACGATGCTGCTTCCTGATAAAGATGAGTCGTGATTTGGTCGTGATGCGGGCATGAAAATTACCTTGAATGGTGGCAATGATGGAATAACTGCCAAATATGTCCTTCAAACCCTCTAGAAGCCCCTCCGCAATGACCACAGGATGGCCTGTACGGGGTCCACGACTAAATGTGGCAATAGCGTATGTCAATTCAGGGTTGACAGCAATCGCCTGCAATGGTCATTTCAGCACTTCCACATTTACCAAGCCGAAGGGCACGAACCATGTTCGCGGGTATCGTCCATGGGGTAGTGGTCCAAACCAGAAGCTGCAGTTCGGACACGCCACGCGAAATTAAGGTGGTTCTTAAATCTACCGACGTGGAATCAAGGGAGAGTATCGGGAAAGCAATATACGCCGCATGTGATATATGATCATCGGAATATTGCAGTTCGGCTTCGGCTAGTGCAGAGACAGAAGAAGGAGACCAATGGACGGGGCGATGCTTCCTATATATCAAATCTTTCAGACATCAAAAGGCTTGACAGATTAGAGGATAACCGAGGGGTCTCACTTTTCTTAACCATATCCTGAAAGATACGGAGCTGGCGCATCTCGTAATCATGATCTAATTTACTGCACGTATGAAATGTGTTGCACAAAGAGCGACATCCACCTTACCCAAAGTACGGTACGTCCCGTCTTCGTTCCAGGCAGCCATGATGCCGAGGGAGTGAAACATTGAACGTTGCACAGAAATCTGGGACCTTGCAAACAGCTCAGCCTCCTCTCTAACCTTCGCGGCAGGAAGAGTGTTTGGCATCGACTGTGTAAATCAGAAGTTTTAATAAATGTGGATGGCATAATATATGAGCTATACCTCGAGTTTTTCGAGAGCCTTGGTTTCAATGGGTAGGCCATGACAGTCCCATCCGGGCACATAACTGGGATTCAGACAGTGTGGGCGAAGGCAGAATCATTGTCCTCAGGACACGCACTTAACACGACGGCCCTGAAGGACCTGGAACCTATTGACTATGTCTTTGAGAACTTTATTCATTGCATGACCTGATGCGTGAATAGAGTCGTTAGAGTTGTTCGATAGCACGAGTGTATTGCAATACCCATGTGCAGTTCTCCATTGGCATATGGCGGGCCGTCGTGGAAACTGAATAAAGGGCCTTTGTTATTCTCCCACTAAGGTGCATAGATCAGTTGGCACGGGAAAAGCAATGACATATAGCATGAACCCCACCTGCCACGCGTATAGTCCTTCGGTTGTCTTGTGCTTAAGCTCCTGCTCACGTTGAGTAGGATTTACCCACAGTTTGAATTTTGTTCTGGGGAGAAGAAGGGTGGATGCGTATGATTTCGCTATATCTGCACTCTCAGAACTAGCAACGCGGCATCCTGATGAAAAGCACCGAGAAAAAACCATTCCGTTAGAAGACGACCTTGGATTCGCATTGCGTCGGATCCCATGTGTCGAGCTCCGATATCAATAACCGTCAACAAAGCCATCGCTACCAACATTCGATGCGTCGCCCTCCTTCACCTCCTGCTGGCTGGCAATCTGTTCGGCCATGGGTGCATCGTCTTTCCCTAACTGTGAAGGAGATAACGCCCGTGTCTGTTACTTTTGTGCTTTCTTGTGCATTACCGGGCAACCTGCTGGACGAGGACGATGAAGCTGGGACGCCCTCGGATCATCACATCAGCCTCAGTCCACCTCGCGCTGTAATACACAAGCATCTTTCCATATCTGAGTCCCTTGGGAAGGGTCTCTCTATCAAAGTCAATGGCACACCATGGCAGAGAGTGGTGATGCACATTGATGACGACACGGATGAAGACGCACTGGTAATTTTATACGGTCTGTTGCCTGCCCGAGAGTATGAGATTGAGCTGGCTATTGCTTCCGGGGAAGACAGTATCCGCGGGAAGATTACAACTGAGCCTTCCCATGTAGGTGAGCATTGCGAGTCGCGTAGAAGATTGCTGTTGATGTGCGTGATGTGGATATAGACGGGTCCGTTCTTGATTCGGATCTCATCGACGAGGCTCACACCAACATCAATTCTACCCAACCCCCCAACCCTGCTACAACGCGTTCAGCAACGCCTACCTTAGATTCTCCCCCAAATCCACCCCTCACAGTGGAGGAACGCGCATCTCAACTCCTCCAAGAACTCTCTGCGCTGAGCGCAGAGAAGGAAGCCATTGTGGCAAGACTTAAATCTGCCCGAAAAGAGTCTCAACGAGCCGATCATGCACTCCGCAATGAGATAGAGGCTCTCAAACGAGCGTCTGAGAAGGCGGCTCAAACTGATTTACGAAATCGCCAGAGGTTTATTGCTTTGCAGGGGGCAACAAGGCAACTGTTGTCGGCCTCAGTGGAGGCAGACGAGCAGGTGAAGCTTGTGGAAGAGTCCTTACCACCACTTGAGGACCGGCTGCGTGCTGTTGAAACCGAGTATCAGGAAGTGCAGAAAGAGGCCGCTAGATCTAGAGCGCAGGTCCAAGAGGCTCTCAAGTCCGACAAACGACGGGTGGTGGAGATGGAGGTGCAGCTGGCTTCTTTAAGCCATCGTCTTGATAAACTTTCGACCAAAAGAGACAAATTGGTATCAGATACAGTTCCAACATTAGAGGACCGCTTATCTCAGCTAGGGAAGGAAATTGAAGAAGTCGAACGCTCGAACGAATCTTCGGAAACGTCAGCACCTATTGGTGCTGCAGTCGCAGATTAAGCACACCGGCTCCACGCTACCTAAATATCTCATCGCGCCGATGTTGGCCCACCCGTATTCCCCTTGCGTAGTGATACACCTCTGCATGTCCTACTGGCCGTCCATCCGTCATTATCTCAAGCCACGCACACCAGCATACCGCCTCCGCCTCCGCCATCAAACCGTAAGTCTTTGTCCCGTCAATCAATTATCTCAAGCCCCTCTGTGCTCTGTACCTGTTGGGCCATTACGCCTCGAGAGATCGCATAGCTCAGATAACAAGATTTGTAATTGTAATCTATTCGAGGATTCATCTATCGTATTCTGGAGATTGTCTTAATTCAAATAATTCCCTAATGGATTAAGTTGTAACAATGGTATTCATTAGATACAAGTAGGAGTGTAAATCAAGGAATAAACAACGCGAAGTGTATAGATGGATGTAACGTACGAATCCAGTCTGTCCGTTCCGGGGATTTAATGGCAGATACAGTCGCTGTGTCCGAGGATACTGAGGTAGGAGGTCTAATAAACTCATCTACAAGCATAAATATAGACGACCCTAGAGTTCAGCGCCATCGCGAGAACCGGTCAAACCAAACATAGTGCGCAGTTCGCGAACGTTAAAGCCTGCGAAACACCAAGCTAAATATAGAGTATGTGCACCGAATGAGACGGACGTACGGTTGATTTTCTTGCCGCTGCCTTCTCCCAAGCTCCCCTCTGCCAGTTCTTGCTATGGCGGATATAAGTCAAGAGATCCATTCTTGCGTATCAGGGACCCACCTTCCGTCGCTGCAACTCTAGTACTCGGGCCTCGACTGTGTTTCGAATTGTAAGGCGATGGATCAAAACTTTTTTCTGCTGCCCAAGGCGGTGTACCCGATCAAAGGCTTGATTTTCGCCTAGAGAAAATTTAAGCCAATCGTCAGGGGAACGACATAAGCACTCACTCGCGAAATTCCATGCCAGATCTAAACTGATGACACGATTAGCTCGAGTGAGGTTCAATCCCACTCCGCCAGCCTTCAAGGACACTGACATTACATCACATCAGTGTGGGGACTGGTTCAAAACCTTCTGTTACTGACTGAGCATAACAGTGACCTTGGGGTCAGTCATAAAAGTATCGATGGAGTCGTTCCTTTGGCGAGGAGATAGTCTCCCCGAATACCTGACTCCATGGTGAGAACTACCCAGCCGAATCATACCCCATACTCACATAACATGCTTGAATCCATTCTCCTCCAGGTACGAAGCACATAGGTCGAGCACAGAGGTCCATTGCGACACGATAACCACCTTGTCCGGATCATGATTCAAGTCACTTTGGGGAGGTGATGTTCCATTCTTATCGCTGGAGTCTTGATTACGCCACTCCAATAACAACTTCATCATTTCCTAAAACACGAATGTGAAGAAGAATCTTTTATGAGATGATTGTGACGCACCTGCATTTTGGTAGACGGAAGGAATTTGGACAGCGCAGGAGGGGCAGGTCCATTAGCTATATCACTCCCCGTGGACCTGCTCCCGACTCCCCGTTCGTCCTCAAGGGTGTCTGGGGTAGGACTACAACCCTGCTCCCCTCCATCTGAGCAAATGAACGCAAGACATGATTTCTTTGGGGGGATTCGGACCTGCCTCTCGTTCGGATAAACTCGAGGGCTGGAGAGCCGAATCCACCGGCCGACTCATCCCCGCCCATATCCCCCGAGGCTCGAATGCCGACCTCATATAAGAATACTTCTTAGAGATCGGTTTCTTGCAAAGAGGGCCTATCATGCAATAAATCGCACAGCCTTTGTGAAATATGCACACCCCGCTTACATGGGCGCTCATCCGGTTTGCATTTGTCATCCCGTAATGGAAGTTCCGCGACGCTGTGACAAAGGTCAGCCGTCCTCATATGGCTGCGAGGAGCGACACTCACCTGTCGAGGCACTCGCCACAAAACGAATGTCCACACTGAGTTACCAGTGCATCCTGGCCCAGAGGCTCATAACACACAGGGCAAGACTCTTCAGCAATGGGGACATCCTTCGTATAAAGTAGTGAGCTGGCAATCATTTGAGAATGATGTTGTGACATACCTCGCTTTCCTGATGGTCACTGGTCGTTCGCAGTGCGAGCAGGCGTGCTTCAGCTTCTCTTGCTATCATCTGGGTGATTCTTTCTACAAAATCGACCCCCTGCTCCCTGCTCGCTCGCTGAAGCTCTGGACAGGGACATTCAGCGGACTTTGTGACATAAAACCGGCCAGCCGTGTACCGTACCGTTTCTCAAATCTTTGGGCATTTCCTCAGGAGTGCGGAATGCGTCTGCATACTGTTCGATAAGGCAAGGGTGGACACAAATCTGACGAAGCCGGAGACTTTGCCAAGATTCAGGGCAAAGTACCCAAGCGAATGGACTCAATACCTACAGCATAATCAGGACATGGGCGTAGTTCTACCCTCGTCCCAGGTGGCTTAGAAATATGTCTCGGCGAGAAGATATTCTACCGTACCTTGAGAACGGTGCCTTCGCGAAGATACTTGTTGAAAACCATGTTCGACTGCATAGCTTGTGAGCTCGACGCCAGGTAGCACTAATCCGGTAAATTACGAACCCGCGCTGCCACGAACTTATAAATATCCGCTTCCTACCACAAAGATGCGTGAGCAAAAGTGGGTGATGAACTGTTTAACCGAATGGATCAACAGACCTCAGGAGAGAAATAAAGTTCAATATTGAACATATGGCGGGAAGGCAAATTCACGAGAGGCTTCCCATCCAGAAGAGAATCCTTCTTTCGACGCAGCCTAAAATATCGCATCTCATTGGTACGATGCTGAGGGTTCTTGGAATTCCCTTACATGGTGCTCTTGAAGATTGCCTGCAATTTTGTACTAGCAGAAGTATGAGTTAGCCAACACGCCATTCTCGGACTTGGGTTGTTGACGTACGCGCATATAATGGCCTTCTTACCCTCTCCATCGGATATGTGATCCTATCCCATTCTACACTTGTATCATGTCTAGTATCAGTAAGCACAATCCAAGCTTACCTTGAATGTGACCCAATCCTGCCATGGACGGATATTGAGAAATCTGAAGAGTGGATACGCATCATTTAGGCCATTCACGATGGGCGTGCCCCTTCGGACGGCAATAAGCGCAAGCACCCCAAGGAATCAACACCAAGAAACCTACGTCAGACACTGTAACGGTATGAACGCCCGTAAATTCGGAAGGTTGAAGAAAACCTTATAGAGTAACTCACCCAACGATACTTCGCCACTAATTCAGCAACGGCTGAAGACACATGCGTCTTGCGATTGCGTCTGAAATCGCAGGGTAAGTCGAAGGAATGCCATGGACGGCGTCATCACAGCCTACATGATATGGGCCTCATCCAGGACGATCTGTCAAAGTGGGCTGAGAAAATAGGGCCCCAGAAATCGAGATCGGGACGTTCTCCACGTACCCTATACCAATCAAATTGAGCGAGTAAACCCTTTGACCACTTCTTTGCCTCCTCTGCGTCGTTATCACTGCCAGCGTCATCATTCATAGTTTCGTCGCCCTTCAATTTCTTGGCTTTTGATTTTTGAAGACGGTTGTACTGACGGAAGCGAAAGTTAGCAATGCAATGGTGTATTGTTCCGTCAATTACGCACATTGGGACTTGTTTGGATAATGTGTGGTAGGATGTGATGACAATATCATAGAGTTGAATAGACTTCTCGTCTTTCAGGCGATCCTGGCCGTGGTATATGAAAATTTTAAAGCAGTTGTTTGTGGCCATTTCGATCTCAGACTTCCATTGAGCGAGTAGCCCAACAGGTGCCACTGAAACAGGACTTGGTGAGACATAAATTGACGTATAAACTGCATGCATGCCTATGAGTGTGGTTTTGCATGCAGGATCCTCGGATCGATTCTGTGATATTGTTGCGATGCTGGTCCTCGCCGTAAGTTAGTTGAATCATTTAGCGGAAACTGAGGCTTACGTTTGGATGCTGTGGACACGAGAAAGCAAGTGACCAGGTAGCTTAGCCAGATCACCAGATCACCAGATCATACAAGTTCAAACTCACGTCCTGCTTACAATTAGCGAGATTGATGACTGTAAGAAACGCTACACTCACTTTCCCAGGCCTGTCGTTCATCAATTGGGCCATCTATATTCAGCGACAGGGTATGACGGACGCAAATAAACCGCAATCGTCTTACCCATTTCATCTGCCAAAATTCCTCCGCGATTGCTGAGGTCAATGTGAGAAACAAGCATATGAGACGGAGCATCTTCCAAACCTTGACCTCTCCCGATCCAACATCCATGCAACACCTAGTATCTGGTGGGGTAAAAGGAGGATGGACATTCCGTCCAGACGATCTTTGATACTAGAAAGCCCAAGGTTTTTCAATGCATCTTCGATCTTGACGTTTTCATCAAAGCCATCTGACGCAGATTCGATGAATTCTTGAACGCTGCAATGAGAGAACAGCATGAGTGGCGTAGAATATGAGACAACCCACATCAAGACCAACCTAAGATACCGGGAACTCAATCCTGCGCCAGATCTGGTAGGAACGTCGTTACCCGAATCTACAACGTCACTCGCGCTGCCGACTTGGCTTAACTGGACCATGATTTGACTGAGGATATCAATTGAAGGCCAGGTATCATCTTGGGGAGCGCCTGGCTCTGCAATCCCCATATCGTTCATGTATTGAGGTGCATCGCCTTCGCCGATAGGCACTGGGAGCGACTGTGGGGTTGTGACGAGGGCAGGAGCGTGGGGGTCAAAATTTGTCCATTGACCAGGAGAAGACGTCCAAAGGGGCACTGGGGTGGTCAGAAGGGGTGTGGGTATCTGGAACTGTGAAGCTGGTGCAGGGGGAGAAGGTTTCAGGAAACGCGACGGGACAGGAGCCGATGACCAAGACTCCGGCGGAGCCAAGGCAGGTACAGGGGCAGCCATATGAGCGAGGAGTTCTGAGAGCCGAGCCTGGTCTGCGCCTCTTAACCCAGTGTAATAATCATTGACACCACGCAGCCTCTCAATCTGACTTTCATGCCTCTTGGGAAGACCACCAAGGAGGAGCCCCTGCGCCTTCAAAACCTCAATGGACTGATTATTCTCTTCAATCCAGTTGTCATAGCCTTGAATGGAGGCTTCGAGAGAATCGATTTCCGCAGCATTCGCGGACAGGGGCTGGGGCGTGATGTTTGCATTGCTCGACAATGATGCTGGTAGAGTGAGTGAAGAGGAGTCACCGAACCCGGAGACACGGTTTCTCTTAGTATCTGGGAACACCAGCGTCTTCGTATCGGCTTCTTCGTCCTCGATTAGGCTCTCCAACCTCTCGAATGAGCCAAAGTCCCGTTTCTGAGGAATTAGTGAAAATGTAGACATGTTTTTTGTAGACAGGCGGCTTATCAAGAGCAGCGGATCCAGCGCTGAGCGTATTGTATGGCGTCAATTTGTCAATGAAGGGAGTGGGAGGGATGGCCTTTAAGGGAGTCCAAGAGGCGAACCACACGCTTTGGTTTGTATTGACTAATTCGTCTGTCTCCGCGCGGCTCATCAATTCATCAAAGAGTTTGACGCCGGCGCTTTGTTACCCGAAGTGTTGGAGTTCCGCAGTGGCGAACTGTAGGATGGTGCGGCCCTGCCGGTGGGACAGCAGTAAGCGTGTAGTTGAAAGCCTTTAGCCTTTCCTTGGAACTGGGAACTAGGTTGAGGCTCCAACACGTGGGAAGTGGAGGGCGTGACAAACACAGCATTCTTGGCAACTGATTTGCAGACGCGCGCCGCGCATCAACATGATGAAATCACGCGTTCTGCATGCCACACGAACACATGATATTTGTCTCACCGCTGATCGAGCACGAAGGCGCCCAAATCTAGATTGCGTGAGGTTCACAGGTGCATATATATGTTTGTGACATTCGCCTAGGCTTGAAGGAAGAAATCGATAATGTCGATGCAGGTCCCAGTGGAGCATAAACTAAGAATGGTTGTTAGTTTGCGTGCCCATCATCGCCTTCCCGCCGGTTCGCTCGACCGACATGCCCCCACGGCCAGCTTCAAGATACTGAATTTGGTCGACTGAAGAGATTAAAACATTCGACGCCATGAGGCACATTGACGCGCGAAATCTACTCACTCCATGTCCTGAAACCATGCGGCAAGGGACGCGTTCGACACGTGAAGGGCGTTATGAAGGAAAGGGCTGGGAGAGTTCACGGTCTGGCTATCACGGTAGAGGAGAGCGGTACGGCTAAGACGATTGAGAATCAGCTTCGGATATATGTATGGAACAGCCAACAAGCACCATGGCGTGGGGAGGACTCCAGCCTCTATATTATATAGTCATGGTGAAGGAAGAGGCAGTATTCTGTCGGGCATATTTAGCAAAAGACCCAGCCATTTCACTATAAGCGATTTGATTGCTTGCTGGTTCGTTAAGAATCAATTACTCGTGGGCGTGAAAAGGGGCTGGCGAGGCGGAAATTGTGCAAAATGCTCTTGAAGCGCTCACCCGACATTCAATTAACTTGGAGTTCGATGGCGTGGGAAACGACCGATGGAACGATCATCTCCCGACAGACCGCGTAGGTGATCGACCGCAAAGGTGCCCGACACACCCTGACATGCGCGTTGGGAAGGGAGGCGCCTTGTTCGTGTAATGTGTAGCTTGCTGTGTGAGCGAAATCGAGCTCCAATGCTTATGTTTGTACCCAGTTTCAGCACCAGGGGGAAGAGGAAGCGGTTCATCGCACAATTAATACCCCAGTGAAGTCGCAATGCCTAACACGGTAGTTAGATGTCAAGGCACTCTGGTTTACGAGGTGTAGGCACTGACATCATCAGCGCGACGGGCGCAAGAGGCAATGATGATTGGTGGCTGGACATACTCTTCGCCCTCACACTGACCCAGCTCACTAGCTATGATGCATGCATGTACGTCATAAAATTACCGTCGTCACCATGGGGTCGAGCCATGTCCATAATCTCAATGGTACGATCGCGACAAGATCCAAAGCTTCTGTCAAGTGCAATTCGGGAGACGGTGAGATCGGAAGATCGTGCGTGGTGTCATTGTCCCACCGCACGACGGGAAAAAGGTGCGAACCGGAGTCTCACACGTATGATGATAGTTCATTAACGGCAATATTGAAGATACATACAGCACTTCGCAGTTGAGAGAACGGATACGAAACACACCCTTATTTTGCTCTCGTCAAGACCTTGGAGGAAACATCATAGGCGCTTCAACCTCTTTTCGTTTTTCCTCGCCAGCCAGCATGTCAATTATCTTCAAAGCGAAAGGAAAGGCCGTGCCTAGTACCCAATATGTTCTCATCCTTTCAACATACCTATCCTTCATAATATGAAACTTACCCGGTCCACGGCTAAACAACAAGTAAATAATCGAAGTCATTGTGCGGAGACGACGGGGGACATACCTTGTCACCAACGTTCCAGACACCACCACGCTTTCCTCTGAGTATTCAAACTCTATAAAAGGCAGATGGTTGGGAGAAATGATTCCATTCGAGATATTGTTATTACCATTTTCTAATTCGGATTTCACGGAGGGATGAGAAGTAAGTGGCTGGCGAGCTAACTTCGCATTGAGCGCTGTCAGTGTGCCTGAGACGTGTGTTAATACCCGCAATTCGCTGACAATCAAGCAGAAATCGGGTTTACCAGCGCAAATCATGCCGACGATGTTCTTCTTGCTGATGAAGGTGCGCACAAGTTCCTGTACCTTTGCATTATTCGAGAGCGTTTCCGCCCCTTTCGCCCCTCCTGGAATCAGGAGAGCATCATAAGAGAGCTAAAAAGGGTTCATATTTCCAGCATATCTCCAAACAGGGGCTTCGCACTGCAGCCTACTGGATCGTTCACGTCGTCGAACCTGACGTCCGGCACAATCCGTACGCCCCTGGAACAATTAGCGAATGTATTCCCAGGAGGCCCCACGTATGCCGATGTTACTTTGATGCCTGCACGTACAAGTGCGTCATATCTGCGAGAGCGACGAAGTGAGTTCCCGCTAAATAAGCTCTCAGAAGATGAACAAACGGTACAACGCTGTTGAGGCTGGAATGAGTGCCCAATATTCAAGCTTTATTTCATACCGACTCACAATTCAATCTCTTCTGTCCCGTCAGCAATGAGAACGAGCGCGGACTTTGAGTTCGTCATAGTGGCCATTGCACAGCCACAGGGTCTTCCCATGAACAACTTCAGCCAAACCAATGCGAACCCTCGAAGCCATTCGATAGCAGAGGAACCATCGAGGCCCTCCTCTATTGTTGAGAACAGACCAGCTAACCTGTCCACAGGCGTGAAAATCGCGTCTATATGCACTGTGGGCCAAACATTTCACCTGTCTTCGGACCGGGTTATCTGACTTTGGGTACGTAGGTTTCTCTGACGATTGGACTCCTAATTCCACTGGTATATGCAAGAAGAAAGTCTGGGCACTTGGTGACCGAGGTCGCTCCGATCATTCATACCGCTCAGTCTTCACCCTCTGTCCTTCTGCAGGCGCGAAATCGGTTCCCTAGGCCATATCCCACTCCATCCCCAAGTCCCCAAACGCCATCATCATCCTTAACAACCCAGGGAGGATTCGATGCCCTGGGAAAATCTTCGTTTCATGGAGTCAAGGATGCATTACAAGCACTCATTATTGCTACAGGGCTTGTCGGGACCATAGCCAGCGCGTCATATTATGTGTTTAAGAAGGCAACAGGCATCCAAACTGTAAGCAACAACGTATTTCGCAGATGCCATATATTTCTCATTTTTTCCCCAGATGCCAGAATTCTCTAAATTTATGCGTCAACGTATCTCAGCATCGGTTCCGTCTTCTTATCAAGCCCGTCTTGAATCTGCCTCTCAAGAGTCGTACGTTTCCAGAGATGAATACGAGGCTACCCGACCGAGCGGGAATCCAAGGGTAGACGCAGTGGAAGATCGCCTGCGCCAGGCATATCTGGATGGAGGTTTGACACGGTGGGCCGACCAGATCTGGAAGGAGCTAGAGGGGGAGTTGGAGGAGAGCAATAGGTCAAAGGGCTAATGTGGTCTGTGATGGTGAGTTAATGCTAACTCACCCTGCCCACTCATCCTTTGTATGGCTTATCGGCGATCCATAGTCCATAGAATTTTTCTTTTTTTGCACGTACCAATAATCCCTAGCAATGATTGTCTAGTAGTTGCAATTTTTTACGCCAAACTTGCGCACTCCTCCGCATATTCTGAGATCTTTGGCCATTAGCTGCTATTCTGAATATTTCATCTAGGTCTCATCACCGACAGCTTGGCTTCGTGTTCCAGTGCATGGATATGGAGGCGTGATTACTGGAGGCTTTAGCGGCACTTGAACGCTTGCGTGATCCCCAATGGAGGGAAAGGCAATCTGCGCTGCGTTCAGTTATATCCCGGGACTTTTCAAGGCCTGAGCGTGTCGATTCAACCTCGGGAAAGTCAGGCTTACTGTATCCCACTGGACTTCAATGAAAGCGCGCCAATAACCAGTAATGAGTATTTCCGCATAGGGCAGCGTCAAGTGTCTGGACATCACCCAGAAGGGTTGTGACACATCACATACAAGGCTATGATAATGTGTGTCCTGGAGTAGGAGTGGACAGTGATGCTAGCCATCTTCTGTATCGCTTAGAACGGTTTTCGCTGCCACAGTCTCCCCACCTCTCAGATGCTGAATCATGGAATACAAATTTATCCCCTCCTGGCCTCGGCCCTTCATCCATTCGATCCTGCATAAACCACTGGCCGTCGCACTCGCTAGGAGAGGCGCAGAATGCAGTCCCCCACCAGAATGCCACGCTACACGATGGACACCGACTTCAGCAGGCCAGGCACCGGACCCGTCATAACTGCGCCCTTCCTGAGGAGCCACTGCACCGGATTCACCTTTACGCCTCTTTGCGTTCTTCGTTGTCTGTGAGCGTTCAGTCAATTCCTGTGTGCGGTGTGTCAATAGCAATGTCCACGATTCGAGTTTGCAAATCTTCACCATTGGCAAGAAATTATCAAGCATCCGGTACTGATTTGTGTGGGAGTTATAGTCCATTTGATAGGCTTTCCATTGGAGAATCGGCTGCGGTGATTGCGAATGCTATCAATACCAAACCACGTTAAAAAAATCACGTACCGCGGACGAGCCTGCTTTCCTAACGTTTTTCATCAGGCAACTTGTCATTACAGAGCCATCCGAACAGGCAACAGCAACGTATGGGTGAAAATCGGATGTCGAAATGTCCTGCGAAGATGTGATATGTGGTGATGAGTGGGCGTGAATATTAGGGAATCATACCCATATAGGGCCATTGGCAATGAGAGTTGTTGTACCATGACCGATAAGTTGCGGAAATAGCCCATAATATTTCAGGAGGTTATCATGCTCGGGTACAAGCACTCCCCCGATGTATGGGGCGTACTCGACACAGTACGGGATATCTAAGCGTGAAAACTATCAGTATCACAACCTCAAACACCTGGAATAACTCCAGCTAGCCTCTAGCCCGGAAAGCCGGATAAGCTTGGTTTTCCCTGGTATCGGCAAAGTACATAGTTCCAGAGTAAGAGGTGGCCAATATCGTTGTGGGATCAGAAGTGATATCTCCCTTCAGTTCTCCGTCAGAGAATATGTATGGCGGCTGGCGCGCCCAGGTGACGGATCGAATTGCGATCTGGGCTGCAGGAATGACCGCATACGGGAGAGGATCGATGACTGAAAGTTTCGGTTAGTCCAACAAAATTCCGAGTGCTCTCTCACATTCGTACCGGTCTCTCCTGGTTTCCGGTGTAGCAGTGCCTCTTTGATATGATATACCAAAATGGTGCCTAGGTATTGCTTGAATAAGCCAACTGAACGAAGTGGTATGCAACATCATGCAAAGCACTTGCCATTTGAACATCCAACAGCAAGTAGTTCGCTATTTGCCCAACTCAGACACGCACAAGCCGAGTTACTGGGGAAAACCTTGAAAATTGCCTTGGTATGCACTACAAATAAGCCTGAGCGGCAGTATGGCTTCAAAACGAGGAGACCACTGACTATATATCGGATCTTCAACATCCTGACCCAAGTTACTTCTCAAATGGTGGGGATCAGGAACGGAGTGGATCGAGAGCGAGCCATCCGTGAATACTCCTGCAAGAATACCGAGTTTTGGAACTGCTGATTCAATGTTGGCCTACAAAAAATGAAGACAGCTAACTAAATTAGGGACTGGGCAACTCACTGAATCATGAGAAGGCAAAGGGTACCATTTTATTTCGAATGAGGGTCCATCATCAACACAGAGTATCATTTCACATTTAACGTTTGCATCGAGGCCGGATGCCTCCTCTACCGGTGGACCGTAACTCCATAACTGTAGGCACGCCGGCCTTGAGAATGCCGTGTCTGGTGAAGGGGACAGAGAAAATTTCATGTTGGGGAAAGTTGCAACGGCGAGATATCTATGATAGTTTCTCTCTGAAGAACGTAGGCAGTGTGTTAAAGTGTGTAGGGGTTTCGCATGTACCTTTCAACAATCCATCCGTCATTGGGCACCAATCAAGTCCCCATGCAGGCCCCCCAACATTGAAAACTTGGGCGGTCGATGTGCTGAGATACTTCGCTGCATAATGTTGTTACGTCCCAGATTCGTCGAGGCGATAGATGAGCATAATCACCTAGGGAAACAGATTCGAATGTCCCTAGAGACACGATGGTTTGATCTCCGAGCGGACCAAAGAAGCAGTCAACAGGTGGAGGTGGTGTCCAGTTCTCGCTCTCATCGTCAGCAGTCGGAGACGGCAGATATTTACGCCCATCGCTGAAAAACGATCAATTATTCACCACGCAAACCAAGTTGCAGAAAAGTTTCGAGCTGTGCGGGGCACTTATACACACATTGTGGTCAATATTTCAAGATCGGAGGCACTACTAGAGACGCCAACGAGTGTCAGTGGCCTAGGGTGAGTGCCATCTGGTTGATACAATCGTTCTTTGTACCATCCAATATCTTCCATCAGCTCCCAGGCAGGCCCTGGAAAGAGGCTGCGCGACCAAGCTTGGGTGAGTTTGTGTACATGTCTGTAGTCAATTGATGGCATGGTCGATAGGCTCAGTTCCCGAAATGGTCGAGGCTCAGTTGTCAAGCGGAAGGAAGTCCCAGGAGGCACAAACGCGGGATAGGGCCGGACTCTTACAGAATTGTCGCGAGACGCAGATGTAGTTTTATTGCCAGCACGAGATTTAGACGCATGGATAATGGGTACAGAGTTGAGCTATTCACTTGTCGGACGTTGAGTCTTCTCTCGCTGTTTTTTGGCCAACTCGCTACTTGAAGATAAAGTACGATGAGATCTCCCCAAAGGGATATTTCTAGACGTCGATTCTCCTGAAGCTGGAGTAGAAGGTTCTAGAAGGTCAAGGTTTTGACCAGAATTACTACTATCATCATCAACAAGCATGTCCTCAAAACCAAGATCTCCTTCTTGGTCAAATTCGCTCTCACTTGCCTGATCTTCGATCAGAGGTCGCCCTGAGCGGGTGACCGATGGCCCAGCACTTCCCTCATGAGCAGCACCCCAATCTAGGATATAGCCGTCATCTTCCTCTAATTCAATAAACGAAGCGTAGGAGGGCTTTGTCTTCCGCTGGCGCAGCTGAACCATGGCGAGCCGACGGGATTTTTGTGATCACGAGACCTGACACCGGATTTTTTCTTTCAAGTCAAATGAAAGTTCAACTTCGGGCGTTGTTGGAGACGATTTTCATAAGGCGGTGGTCAGGAGTTCATCAATGCAATACTGCCTCTCTTAAGTATGGCGATGCGCTCCCAAAAGGATCACGAGCCTTTTCGTTGACACTGGCTTCCCTGAGTCGCGTTAATCCCCAAGCTCCATCTGTACCTACGGATTCTGCACCAGGTGAGCCACTCCGGACTATGACTTTCTGATATTTTTAACATCAATGCAGATCTGCCCAAATCATCATGCGTTGCGGGAATAGTCATGCCCGGTCTTAATTACTTGAAGGATCAACCGCCCGTCGTGGCAGTAGGAGATAAAGAATATCCTTCATGGCTTTGGACGATCCTCCAGCCTAAATTATATCCTCCGGAAGAACAGGGGCTTGGGGGTGCGGCCCAGAAAGCGAGGCATAAGAAAGAACGAAAGGAGAAGATTCGAGCGCAAAATTTCATGAGAACCCAATAAACATAGATCCATTCTTGCATACATATAATTATGTGGTATTTTCTGCACCTGTCTGCGCTGTGCGTGTCCAGGTAGCGTTGGGGCTTATGGCGTTTTGGGTTTATTCCCGAATTGCTCGTCCGCTGCTCGTTGGACGGGTCGTATTGAATATGTACATCTCATGCGGAGGCGCCGCACCATACGCTGTCTATATTATTGTCCCATCGGAGCAAAGTGGCACCCTGTTGCCCGCTCTCATCAAGATGCCTACCGAATGATGATGGATGTCAGTGGCGCAAATCGTAATGTTTATTTTTCCGTGGATCCTTTAGGCCCGCAATACTTAAGCTCTCGTCTCCGTCCATGGTCTTCCTAGTCCGTGCTATCTCAAGCGGAAAGGGCAAACGTATATATAGAAAAACATTCAAGATGACCGCCGAGTCTTCAACATGGGACATACGGAAATCGCTTTACTTGATCACGGAAGATTTTTGCTTGATTGCTGCTGATGGTTTTGTGCCTCCAAATCCAAGTCTTCTTCAGTACGTAGTTGTGCTCTGGGAAGCTAACCTCTCATACTCGCTTGACACTTGCATTAATGGCTTGACAATTTGTCGACTTCTCACTCTACCCAAACATACGCAATAGCAATGACTCAACATTATACGAACTGCCTGTGTCTAGATATTATGCAGTTATAGCATGTTACGGGCCAAGTACTCTAGGGTGTATTTGCCCCATGCTCGGGCTACATTAGTTCTTGGGCTGTACTGGGGCGGTTGGAAAACGGAGTCAGTGGGGTCAGTAGTTGTGGTGTGTGTGGAAAGATGGACAGAACATTGATAGTGGGAAGGCATGATGTCTCAGACAAAGCGAGTATTCGCGATATTAGAGCCGTAAGTTACGATCATAAAGGAACAGTTGGGCCAGGAAACCGCGCATGAACAATTGCAAACCGAAATCAGCTTGCTCCAGTGTTCTCGAACCGATGTCTCGACCTTGCACTGACCAAAACTGAGCATTCGAGATTGGAAAGAGCGGGTACGTAAATTGTCGAGTGAGGCCCTGTAGTCCAGGGTTCAACAGCAACCAGCTCGCGATGAAAGTTTTCCTCATGAATGGGAGTGCCTGGAAGTGCGACGTGCCTTTTCTTCAATTGTTCGGAGAGTATTTCCTAAAACCCGGACATCATCAGCCTGCAAGATTCTCGGATCAGTCCCCTCTCGCTCATCCATGAGCTCAGGACAGAGCTGCGCAGATGGATAATACACCTCCCCGACTTTCCCACCCCAATCAAAATCGATCAACATCACCCGGTCTCCACTGCAAAGGATGTTTGGTTCACGGAGGTCCCCATGAACAAAGCCAGCGGAATGAAAAGATTGCATGAGTTTGCGCAATTCATTCACCCACTTCTGGCAGTGATCCGCCAGGTTGTCAGAATCACCGGGGTGTACAGTGGGGGTGATATAATCCATGGCAATGGCGAACCAACCTCCCGGTAGTGGCTCATAGCCGAGAATTTCCGGTGCATGCCCTTCTTTTGCACACAGAGCATGCAGTGCAATTGAGTACCGACGCGCAAATTTCACAATGATTTGCTCCTTGCCGAAAGTTGTGGTTTCAGCAATGTACAGATGACGAATATCATGTACATGTGGATGAAGCCCGAGAATCCGGAAACGGATTTTCCCACTCTTTTCATACCTGGGTAGCTCTGAAACATATGGGAGTTTGTAGTAACCATGTTCGAGCTTGGGCCGAGTGTGCATCAAGCGTTTCGCATCCGAGTCTATGCAACTCAATAGGTCCAATGCAGCAGAAAAGGCAGCATAGAGTGCCTTCTGGTCACGACCTTCACATGCAGATGGAATGCATGATAGCGTGGGGGTGAGACTGACAATGTGCCACTGACCGAGGAAAATTATGGCATAGAAGGTAATATATGGGCCTGGCATAATGTACATCATACTGGACCGTTCCAAAGACATTCAACTTACCAATAACAGTTAGACCAAGGCATGGGACCCTCCAACCTTTAAATAATGCTGGCCCGCTGGGACGGTTCATTGCATCCTTATGCGAATGTGCGATACAAGAGGCAAGCGTAACTGTAGGCATCAAAGCAATGTCACAGAGCTCATTTCTGAACTCAACAATGCAAGATGCTGCTCCATGCGGTCCATCATAGTGACCGCTTGTGCAGGAATCACCAAAGTCAAGCCCAGGGTGATCGCGAAGAGAGAGAATTTCGTTCAAAGCAAACAGGCCCTTCCCCATCCTCTTCGTCTCATGATGATAGAATTGGGTCATATTCTGCGCGAAAGAATCAACAGCCAGTTCGAGGTTCTGTCGCTCCATATCCAGGCGATCTGGATAATGATTGAAGATGTCCTGGAAGCGACCAAAGCCGTGGTACAAGAGGGAAATTGGGGGAACTGAATCTGGCGTAGGACGGTCATCCAAGATCCTTTGGTTCGACTCTCTTTGCAATAACATGTACTCGACCTGCTTGCCTATCAACGAAGGGGCAGTTTTGGCGAGTCTGGATTCCAGCGCAAGGTCGACATCATCAGAAGGACGAGGTCGCTTGCCAGGGGCTAGGGCTATCGCTAAAGAGATGAACGGCGTTCAAGCAGGTAAGGGGTGAACACGACATTTAGTCGATTAATTGCACTCACTAATAAGTGGAGGTTGAGCAATAATGTGTAGATGTTTACTCAGAGGTGGAGGCGAGAAAATGTCCGACAATCTTTGCAGAGGGAATAGCTTTTTCTCATCTTCAAGTTCCGCGTTCTTCACATTCTCCTTGACATTGCCGTCGTATGGGATGGAAACCATCCAGAGTGCGAGCTGGTCTGCGTCAATGTGATCGAGTGCGTTCTTGTTCTTCTCCTTGATAGCATCCTTGAGGTTGGCAACAGACTTGTTACTCGCAATTTTGACCGGAAACATGCAGTTAACGTCATCGCCACGCATGATACACCACAGTTCGAAGATAGGAGGATCTAATTGTGGGACTGAAAATGAGAAAATGGGTCACAGACAGAGAAAGCTCCGTGACTATTACCAACATCCAGGAGCTGAACAACGATGTGTAAGGTTTGATCATCCGGTTCATCCGAGAAAATGTTGGACAATGTCTTCATAGGCCATAGTGCTTGCTTGTCTTCAAGTTCAACCTTCCCCTCGAAACTGTGGTCGACTGGGATGGAAACCTTCCAGAGTCTGAGGAAGGCTGCGCCAACGTGATCGAGTGCGGGCTTCTTCTCCATGATGGCTTCCTTGAGGTCATGAACATCCTCTGCATTCGAAATTTCCACTCGGAACACTCGGCCAACATCATCGCCAAGTACCCAGCAGTTGAGATTGAGCATGATAGACATGGATTATTGGCAAGTCTGCTTAAGAAAGGACGTAAAGCTCGAATGAGGTCGACTGGAGTTCGCGGTGGAGAACAGGATATATAGCCGCACTGCCACGTGACAACGGAGGGCAATAACACCACCGCCGCTGGACCCTGCATCACGCAGACTTGTGCCAAGCGCAAAAGTTAAATCGGTTGAAGCTTCATGATTGAACGACCATTGGCGCGCGCGGCCATGCTATGGCGACTGAAGGATTGACATGACCCGGCCGCCGACGCAATTATATAACGGGTGTAGCGTAATACCCATTTGGATGTTTGGCCGGCGCTGTGCTCCTCTCAACGGGGAGCCAAGACTCTTGCGGAAGAGGTACTTAGAACCTCCGGATCATTCCACGAAAAGGCGTATAAACCCTGACGAGAAGAAGCGCCGAGAGAAAGTCGTGGAGGGGTTGGGTTGCGGGATGAGGCGATTGGGGAGATATATAAAGGGTCAGGAAGAAGGCGGCAGCGAGTCCCCGCTTGTATGTGTACCATCGCCGCGTGGAGGCTATCTGGGGTTAGCGCCGAAGAGTTGACCACGCCAAGCTTGTAACCTGTTGAATTGGTGTAGGCTACGTGTCCTATGAATTTATGCATGCGCAAGCTGCGGCCACGGTCAGACTCTTACCCAGTTCGTTGTCGCTCCGTGGACGCGCGAAATCTGAGCTTTTTTGTTACTACAAGTGCCTGACGACGAGGATCCACCCAAGTAGTCGTCCGTGTGTTGTGGTCAACATAGTAAGGGCGACCTTCAAGTGTATGCCTTTCTTCCCATCCAACGGGCAGAGGCCCACTTCCGGCGGCTGTCTGCGGATCATTTGCACCTACAACAGCGGTGGCATCACCAGTTGCAGGATTGGCACCTCCCGAACGTGAACCGCTTGCAGTCCCCAAAAGGTCATCCTCCGGGATGGCAGTATGAGTATCCTGCTGCGCTTGAATGTTCGCCGTCTGGTTGTTAGAGGGTCTCTCCCATGTCGTAGTTCGTGTATTGTGATCGGCATAGTAAGTGCGACCAAGGCGTTCCCATCCAGGGGGCAACGGGCCATGTTGATCCTCGTAGGGATTGAAGTCCCGCATGTCATTCACTGCTTGAGCATTTGCGGAAGTGGCAGCTGCGTCCGTCGCCGCGTTTGTAGCTGGTGACGAGTTACTGTTCGGGTTGGTAATCGCTGGGGAGGTGGCGTTAGCAGGGTGACTACTACGAAGGGAATCGGAGTGCCCGAGTGTCGAGGCTGCTGGAGGGCTCGATACCCATGCAGAAGCGGGGGACAGAATATCAGAAGTATCACCGATGGAACGGGTATCCCCAATGGTGCTTGTGGAGGCAGACAGGTCAAGACCTTCCAACGCAGCCACCGCTTGGGACACACCAAGATTTGGATTAGGCATGTTCGTATCCGTGGATAAACAGACCGTGAGCTTTCCATGTACTACGAAGTTATCGTTTGACCCCTCGAGGCTCAAGGTGAGCATTTCTAAAGAGTTTACCCCACGCTCAGTTGGCCATTAGATTGGTTGAACACTGCTATCGGTCATACCTCGCCCTTCACTGTGGATATCGATGTGATCCCGCACACAAATATTGACAACTCCAAGGAACCCCTGATCCGGCTCATCAATTTTTCCCTGATCAAGTACTTGAATTGCGATGACAGATGATTCCTTGACGTTTCTGTGTGGATCCGGAACTCGGTCAGCATGTATCGCAACATGACGGAGCCGTGGATTGATACTCGCACATCGAAACCTTCGTTCCAGTACGGATCGAGAGTCCTTTTGATTATACTGGTAGTGGCAGTCTGTTCTGCGTCTACAGTTATGACAGCGAATGGGTCTGGGAACTCGAGGGCATCGCGCTTCGATAACCCATTCGCTGCGACAGCTATTCAAGGAAGATGTGAGTCCCAACAGGCACCATAATCCATTCCGTGCTTGTACTTGCCTGTGATGTGCAGTTTCTTCGTTCTTGGTCGAGCGCAAAAAAGGACGTCGGATCAGTGGCGCTTGGTGGCTCCTAAAATAGCCCCAGCAGCATGCTCACGCATTAACGTCAGAAACAGCAGCCATGAAATCACCCTCCTTTACCGGCCGCTTTCGATGGTACGTTCTACACGAATGAAGACGAGCTACGGATTCCTGTCCACGACAGGGGTTGTCGCACTCTCGCACAGCTCAAGCACTAGTTGGAATCGGGGCACTTGGGCCGCCTTTCCTTGCTCGGCCAAAGCATCTCTGACGCCCAAATCAATCATTGGTTATAACACTGGGTACTTACCGAGAGAAGGACATCCCGGTAACGCGCCTCCGATCCCGAGCGGCTCGTCTAAGCCTTAAAACGCTCACTTTCCTATCCCCTAGCTCATTGGACCCTTACCCAAGACTGCTTCACACCACAGTTCGGTATAACGGTCCACCCCCTCAATCTTAAAATTCTAAGTTCGATCAGTTCAGCGGCGAGACGTGTTCCCAGGCTGGGCCCAACCACCAGACTGACATACAGCAGTTATACCCTCCGATTCACTATTGCTTCCCCCAGAATCTGAGCTCTAGAGTGCCTCATCTCTTGCTAAGCGCAAGCAAATAATAGGAGAGCTAACGCGGAACGTAAATGAAGACTATGGCTAGTACAGCCTAGTCAGCCATCTAATGATGGCCTATAGAGGGGGGGCCGTTTGGTCTTCAAATGGGCCTAAAAGGGGGTATTTACTAGTGGATGTCCTGGACATCCTGGTGAAGACTGATCCATTCACCAGGACGTCCCCAGGATGTCCTAGGATGTCCTGGGATGTCCTGGGATGATTCTATAATTCAATCAAATTCAATCAAATGCTTCTGTGATTCAATCAAATTTGTATTATTCAGGGTAGACATTCAAAACATAATGCCGCAATTGAATCTGATTTCCCATGACAATCCTCAGGCTGCTCAACTGTCTGTGCACAATGCTGGCCACTGTCTGAAGGGGTGTCAACACTGTTTCCCACGTCCCCAACACACTTTACGCAGATGGATAGCCCCTTTGAATAGCTTCCAGAATATATATTTTGAGACTGAATTGACCAATAAATCATCGAGAAAAATGCAAAATACTTTTTTGGATGCAAGTCTTTTGGGTTAGTGTGGCTGTCCACCTCATGTCTGTGCACAGTGCTGGTCATTGTCCGGAGGGGTGTCCAGACTGTTTCCCACGGTGTCAACACACTTTGCGTAGTTGGATTGCCCCTTCAAATAATTTGAGACTAAATTGACAAGCAAGTTATTGAGAAAAATGCAAAATACTTTTTTGGATGCAAGTCTGCTTGGGCCACTAAATTTCACTGACAGTCATCGAAGTCATCGAAATTCCTGGGTCACTGATATCATATCCATTCCTGGCCATCGACTTCCGGTCCCTCCAATCCCTCTGGCCTACCTCCGCTCCTTTACTAACCTCGGAGCTCCCATATTCCGCAATCCTCTCGGTACCCCTTGATGGTCACCACCCCCTCCTTTCAATTTATTACCAACGCCTCCCTAAGTACGGAGCCCCAAAGACTTCCAGACAGCTCCGACGTCCACTAGTGCACCCCTGCCTCCGCTGGGCAATACACTCACCTGCCCTGCAGAGCCCACCTTTGGGCCCATCCCTCCTTTCTGTTTCTGGGTTATTGCCTGCCTTTCTGTTAACCCTGCGACCTGACTCGTCGGTAATATTCAGTCGGCTAATGTTTAACCCCGTTAGCTCCGCTCCGTTCGGCTCCGCCATTTGCGGACCCATCCTTGCTGTAACCATATATATATCTCCAGCTTGTACATAGGTTACACCTCAGTAATAAAATCGACTAGAGTTACCCCCCTTCAGTCCTGGTTGCCAGTTAGTAAGTTAGGGCACAGACGTGTTACTAGGCACAGCGCTCTTGGCATAAATCGCTGAGGCCGAAGCCCTCCGCCATGGAGACTTTCCTTCGTCTCGAACCTGGTCTCTGACAGATATCCCAAAGACTCGTGTCCAAAAAAGTATTTTGCATTTTTCTCAATAACTTGCTTGTCAATTTAGTCTCAAATTATTTGAAGGGGCTATCCAACTACGCAAAGTGTGTTGACACCGTGGGAAACAGTCTGGACACCCCTCCGGACAATGACCAGCACTGTGCACAGACATGAGGTGGACAGCCACACTAACCCAAAAGACTTGCATCCAAAAAAGTATTTTGCATTTTTCTCGATGATTTATTGGTCAATTCAGTCTCAAAATATATATTCTGGAAGCTATTCAAAGGGGCTATCCATCTGCGTAAAGTGTGTTGGGGACGTGGGAAACAGTGTTGATGTCATATCCGTGCATACCCGACCCCGACCCGACTTCCGGACCTCCACCCTCTTCACCTCCGGAGTCATAACCTACTGCTGCCGCTCCGATACTCACCTTCGGTCCTGGCAACACACCTCCTCCTTACCTCTCCGACCCTATCTCCGTCTGCTCCGATACTCATCTCGGACCGAACACCGCCCCTCTCGCCACCCTCCTACTACTCCGCTCCCCCTTCACAACACCTCCACCCTCCCGTCATCCCCCTACGCTTCCCCCGTCCGTTCCGATACTCACCTTCGGACCTGACTACTCTCCTTCCCGCCACTCCTTCTCCCTTACCTTTCCCCTCTCTCCTCCCTCTGTTACTCCTCCGCCACCCTTCCGCCAAGTTACGACCTTCCACCGCTGTTCCGTACTTCGCACTCGGACACCGCTCGTACCTTACTCCGAGCCTCCGTCATAGTCCCTACCTCGGACTTTGACTCCACCTCGGTCTTAGTCCATTGCATTGGTGACCTCATACTATGTAAACACCATTGCCAAAATCCCTCGGACTTTCAACCCCGCCTCCGTAACCTCCGTAAGCTCCGCAACCCCCGAGCTTCGCAGACTGCCTTCGGCGCTCTCGCCGCTTGTAATGTATTTCTCGCGTTTTTCCCTCATCCCTATTTGGACTACTGCTTCTTTCTATTCTAGCCAGTTAGCCATCATCCCCACTTCCCCTCATCCTCCTGCCCCTCTGGGCCTCGCCCTCCCTACCTCCTTTCGGATGTATCACAGGTCCTGCCTTATGACCTTCGGTACCTCTCCACTCCTTCTACCCTTTGTTCCCGTTCGGACGTCTTCGTTCCGATTCGGTTACCCTTTGTCCTCCTTGTGCTTTTGCCCCTTCCATTATATATATCGGCGCTTGTACATACTCGTTTTGGTTTAGTCCGAAATCGACCTGAAATGCCCCCTAGAGACTTCCTGCTCACCTACTGTGAAATTAAGGACCAAATGGACAAACAGCAATGGCACAGCGCTCCGCTTGAGTCGCTGAGGCCAAGGTCCCTCCACGCTAAGTCTCCGATTCCACTCCGGAGTCGTCTGTTCCCGCCCGGTTCTAACAGTTGACACCCCTTCAGACAGTGGCCAGCATTGTGCACAGACAGTTGAGCAGCCTGAGGATTGTCATGGGAAATCAGATTCAATTGCGGCATTATGTTTTGAATGTCTACCCTGAATAATACAAATTTGATTGAATCACAGAAGCATTTGATTGAATTTGATTGAATTATAGAATCATCCCAGGACATCCCAGGACATCCTAGGACATCCTGGGGACGTCCTGGTGAATGGATCAGTCTTCACCAGGATGTCCAGGACATCCACTAGTAAATACCCCCTTTTAGGCCCATTTGAAGACCAAACAGCCCCCCCTCTATAGGCCATCATTAGATGGCTGACTAGGCTGCATCTCACTGCAACTGACACTCTGGAGCATATATTTTATGAGGTAGAAGGGTTCAAGGCAGTGAGTGCCTTTTCGAAGAAACAGGATGGAACTCATGTGCTGCGACTTGGTTGGTGGCAGTTTCATTTTCATCTAAATTATCATTAACTTAATACCTTTTAATTAGCCCCATATCTCGACCATCTTGGAGGACCTCTTCCAGATGAGATCCAGACTATCTTGAATGATGGTTTATCCACACCAATCCAGATTCATTTTTGCAGTGGGGTTTGCCTCTGCTGAGGGCTTGGAACCAATTGGCCCAATTTGTTACACAGGCTCGGAGGCAATGATACAGCCATGTCTGATGTGACACTCTGCAACATATGTCATATTCAGGCTGCTTCTCAGGCCCACCTTATCCATATCCACACTGATGAGCAGAATGATGAGGCAAGTTTGATGCCAACAGCAGTTATGATGTCTATGGCTTATCAATATTCAATAGGATGAGACAAGTTCAGTCAGTACAGTGGATAATGAGATCAATGAGGGCCTTGAGAGTGAGGTTATTGCTGTTGGGGATGCTTCGGAGGTGCAAACACATGGGGTACAATCAATTGTCAGCTAATGTTAGATGAAACTTATTTAATTCATTTTCATTTAACTAGGATTTGTCTGATCTTTCGGATGGTATGGCCTCTACTTTTAATGGATTATTAGTTACTCATTCTTCAAATCCAGATTCTTCACTATTCTACCCTAGTGTCTCAGCAATATTGGAGTTTGCTGACTGCATTAGGGGTCTTGCACCTGATGACTCATCAGACTCACACTCATTCTTAATTTCTGCTGCAATGCAGGAAGATCTTGTGGAAAAACTCAAGGCAGAGATCATCTCCTGCTACAATGATGATACCTCTCACATTGCACTTGACAAATTTTCCAGAGGATTGTCATTTTGGATGTGGGTTACAAGGGAGTTTTTATTTGGCATGCTAGGCTCATATATATTTTAATAATAGTTGAAACTCAGACAACACTCAGTGTCAGGGCAATAGCCCCGAACCCCGAGTCACATGTAAATTAGATACATATAGTCACGTGGGCAAGCGGGAACCTCTGGGTAACTGCTTACACACCACCGTAAAATACACTATCTTGTATCACTTACGGCCTTGTGTGCTGAGCCACCCTAAGACCTCACACTTTTTTAAGTGCATGAGGTGTGTTTTACAACACAACCCACAACTCTACAATCTTAACATCTGACTCGGAAGCGCCTATGGTGCCTAAACATGCCCGCAAGGGCAAAGTCACATCTGCAGCGACACTAAAAAGAAACGAGCAGTTTATAAAGAAACCGCAATCTCCCATCATGGGAGATTCAAACCAAAAGCCGTCGTCAGACGATGACGAGGATCAACATGATCCGGCATTAGCAACCACCTCAGGGCTGGTCCCTGAAGGTTTTAGAAACTTATGTGGAGTAAGTGCGGGGCAAAATACCCCCAGAACTCCACAACATACCGATCTAACCCAAGCTGGGGAAGATCCCTCACCTCCTCACGAGGTGATTGACTTGCACGGAAAACGCGTAAGTGCCGAACGATCAGCCCAAAAAGCTGATTGGATAGAGTCACAGGAAACTCCAGGGCCCCACTATCCCCTGGAGCCCCCCCTCACGTCCCCAAGTCAAGCCCCAAAGGCAGACAAAGGGAAACAAAGGGAAGAGCCCCTGCGTCGGCTATCCGAAAAACTACTGGACTTGTTCCAGGTTCCGTCTGAATGGAGGACGGAAAGTGAAGATCAACTTCTTCTCAGGCTGAAAGCCCGAGAAGGCGCGAAAATACACCCTGAGAGCAGGATCTCCCAGAGCGTGGAAGCTCCAAAAGAACTTCCGCTGTTTACACTCCCACACACCATGCCAGACAAGGCAAGGTCGCCAACCTCGGAGGAGATCTCCGAGATAATGAAGAGGAGGCGAACTGAAATGAGGGAGTTCGCTGAGGAAGCCTTACGTAAAAGTAAGGAAAAATCAGCGAACAAACCCCTCTATGAAAGGGAAGCACCCTCCACAATGGCCTTGCCTAAACAAAGCGAGCGTGGAGTGTTCACTCCAAGAACCCATTCTGGAACCCCCAGAAGCGGAAATGTCAACTGGGGAGAGTCTCTGCTCACCCAACCAAACTTCCTCCTGGAAAACCAGGAATCACGCATAATAAACGCGATAAACTCGATCCAAAAAAAGATCGAGGAAACGAACCATAATAGCACGGCTCGTCTAGACATAACTCTAGAAAGAATGGCCAACGCAATCGATGCATTGACTGAAAAAATCAGTGAACAAACAGATTTGCTGAAGGAAATAAATTTCTCACAAAAAAGTGAGGAAACAAATAAACACCCCTGGACCACGGTCCAGGACATAAATAGAACTCGTGAAAAATTCACGAAAAGAACCACCAGTGAAAGCACACTGGAATATCATCAGCGACTCGACAGAGACGCTAAGGAGATCCTTCTCCCAAGGATAGGAGAAGATGATGCCGAAAGAAGGCATCGTTCAGAGATTAGGAGGAGAATTGGCACATACCAAAGGTTCGGCCAAACGTCCACTTATGATGGACCTCTCGAACAGAGAGGTAACTCATTCACACCCTCTCAAAACAATGAGAGAATACAAATACAACTTCAGTGTCAGGGCACACCTGCCTGACCCTGCGCTGCACCCCATGCCGTACTGCCCTACTCCGCTTTCCCCACTATCACCCCCCGTCCCTCTTTCCTCACTTTCCCCTTTTCTCTCTATTTCTATTCTACGGTCGATTTCCCTTTTCTCCATGTACCACTATGTACCTAACCCCGCTCCCCTGATCGCCACACGTGCCGCGCACACTCCTGCCTACTGAGCGGCCACCTCTGGGATCTCCCGCAGAGACACCCAGGGAGGTGTGGCTGTGTGCGGAGATGACGTGGCTTCTCCCACGTGACCCTAACCGCATGTATATAATAGCGCCTGGGGTGGGAACAGAAGAAGCAGCCTTCTTCTCAACTTCCCACTTCAGCCCAAGTGGTCAGGGACGCTCACCCCACGACGGGACTGCCGCTATGCATAGCCAACACCTGTCCCATTGAGTCCCTCGCGCCGGGACCTCGCCGCTCTCGGAGCTGTCCCTGACATTCAGGTGAATTTGCCTGAAACCAAAGAAATGCTGTGAGGAAGATTTCCCCCAGCAAAAACCCCCCCAAAGGAGAGATCTCCATTGGATAGCGACCCCATGAAGGCAGGGGAGCAAGAAGAGTACCTGGAGAAATGGTACGAAAAGGCCATAAGAATGGCCGAAGTGAGAATACTCACTCCCTACCCAGAAGGAGTGAAACCAGAAGCCCTAAAGAATGGGCCAGCATTCCCTGACAAGAAATGGTCAGGGGAGAACGACATGGAATCGTTCTGGCAGTGGTTCACAGAACTACTGGGATTCCTTGCCTCGCGAGGATGCAAAGGTCCCCAATTTGACAAAGTCCACCTGGACTGCTTGATTCGTGGATTAGGGGGGCCCACATTTGACCTCAGAATTAGACTCTGAGACGAAACTCTCCTCAGAGGAGACAAGGGCATGTTCCTCGAAGTTCTCAACATATTGATGAGAACCTTCATCAAAGCCTCCGCTGCGTTGAACGCGACAAAGAAATACCACAACGTCAAATATGAAGCGGAAAAAGGCCTAAAACAGTTCTACTTAGAACTGTCAAAAGCAGCGTCCCAGATGGTGACGCCGCCAGACCAGGCATCCTTCAACGCCAGGTTCCTAAACTACATTCCCCTTGAATGGAAGAGGGAAATGATTGCTCATGATAGAATCAGAGCAGACTTCTCCTCAAACGAGGAGATGTTAAAAGCAATATCTCATGTAGACGAGATAATTGACGGGCTGAAGATGTCTTCAGCCTACAAATCAGGTTACTATACCAGAACAACTACCATGGCAACCACGAGCCGCGGCAGAGCCCTCCCATCAGGAAAGAAGGCAGAAGAGCTGAAACCCAGATGGAAAGAGGATACATCCTCGAAAAACTCGAGGAAAACTGACCAAAAGTCAGTTCCAATTTGCGGCAAATGTGGCAAAATAGGGCAAACGAAAGATTGCCCAAGACACAATATAACGAGCGATGAAAAACCAAGGCACATAGCTGCCATGGAGATCGCGAACTCAAGGGATGAAGAGTCGAAAGGCTCATCAGATGAGAAACCAGAGAACAACTCTGGTAACTCCGAAGCATCAAGCTTCGAAGTAGAGGACCCATACGAAGGACCTCAATACTCACCCGACTCAGAGGGTGAGGAAGTCAACGTCGGGACCATAAGAATGGGCCCAATGTCAGTCATCGACCACGATGACATAAATTATAAAATCAAACTGGCTGTAGCACACCAGTTAGAAAACACGGCAGACGAAAAAGTCGCTGAAGCCTTGGTGGAAGCACCAAGAAAAGATGCCTTGGGGAAATACACCAAAGTACCCAAGGAAAACAAGGACAAAGGGAAGAAGGACCAAAAGTCCATCGAAACCCAGTCCCCCTTGTTTGATGCGAAATTCCGCATCTCAAAAGACGCGGGAAAATACCCCGCAAACAGACCGCTCTCAACGAAGAGAACGCTAACGGCTCACATAAAAATAGCAGGCATAAAAGCCTATGCGCTATTCGATAGTGGAGCCAAAATGGACGCGTTATCGCCGGACTTTGTCTGTGCGGTCCACATCCCAATTCTCCAATTGGAGAACCCAGTCGTCCTTCAAATGGGGACGAAAGGAACAAGATCACAGATCCTGTTCGGAACCAATGTGGACGTTGAGATCAACGGCCACGTAGAAAAACACTACTTCGATGTAATTAACATCGACAGATACGACGCCATCTTCGGCGCCCCCTGGTTAAACAAAAACCAGGTAAGCTTAGACTTCCAGTCCCACAAAGTGAGAACGGTGAACAAGGGCAACATAGACACCCTTGGAATAAGCGAAGACCGTGTGACGAGATCACACGGATGGAAAACTCGAGCAAGAGCCCGAGAACAACCAAAAAAGAAGCCCCCCTGACAGGGAGGTGGGATTGAAACACACCTCAGGGTAATCACAAGAAAATACCCTGAAGGTTGGCCCAATCCTAGTCCGGAAGGACTAGAACTTCCAGACGTACCACACCTGGAAGGTCTCTCCATGAACAACCCCGAGTTCGAAATACTCAGGGAGTGGTGGAGAGAAAAATTTGAAACCGTAATGGTGCCAGCGCCATTAGAAATGCCTCCCTTGAGGGAGGTGAACCATCGAATCCCGTTGAAGGATCCGAACAAGAAATTTCGGGAAAACACCCCGAGATGTCCCGCAGCACTGCAGGAAGCACTAGCGACCAAAATAGATCGCTATGTAAAAGCAGGATGGTGGTATCCTGCGAACAGCGAGCGAGCATGCCCACTACTGTGCATCCGCAAAGCAGATGGATCTTTGTGCACAGTAATAGATGCGAGGAACCGTAACTCAAACGCGATCCTCGACGTCACACCAATGCCAGACATGCGACTGATCCAAGAATCAGTCGCCAGAGCAACATACCGATCCAAGATCGATATGTCGGATGTGTACGAACAAATACGCGTGGATCCAGAAGACGTCCATAGGACGACATTCTCCACGCCCCATGGGACGTTGTTGTGGGGACAAGTCCGCGCAGGTCAAACCAACACTTATCACACATTTCACCCCCTACTGCATCAGGGACTAGGATTGGTGAGTCATGGTAATAGTAGGAGTTGTAGAGACTGTGGAGGTGGTTCTGACGAGCCCAAGATCGTCGGATTTGGTGGAGTAGTTGAGGAGATCTGACATTTTCTTTATTTTCTTTACTATTTTCATTCATTCACGCATGTGACTTTCCTTTTATATTTGTATCGGACTCTTCCGAGACAACTGTACAGACAGTTAGTTAGAGGTTAGACAGAGTATCAGCACCGCACTCA